ATATTCAGAACTAGAAGTCGTTTAAGAAATAGATTATGAAGTATTTAATTTTCTCATCATTTGGTAAAAGGATATTTTCTAAGCTGTTAAAATTTGTTAGAATCATAATTTTTCTGACAAAATTATATCCTTTGCTCTAAATTAACACATACGATTCGGAAAATAATAAGAACATTGCAACTTAAGTCTCGGGAATTATTTGTATATTAAGTCCAGGGGCGTTTCCAGGATATTTGAAAGAGGGGGCGTTGAATACAATTTTAAGCTGAGCGGAGCTATGCAAAAAAAATTTTGGACCTTTTTTTGGCTAACAATTTTAAATAATTGTGAAATGCACCAATGTAACGGTTCCTGACTTGGAGCATGTATATTTTATAGTTAAAGTGTCAGGGTTTGATATTTTTTATGCCGAATTCTCTCCATTAATTGTTTATGGTATATTAAAATGATTGGATGGATCTTAATAGCAGTAGACCAATAACGAGAAATTCCAAATTCTAGGATATAGGGCGTTACTTTACATTTCAATATTCCTAGGCCAGGATTTTATGAACGGGAGGCGTAATTCCGGTTGCCCTGGTATAGGGTCCATGGGGAAGGTCAGAAGCTCCTGGATTTCAACAATTTAGCATCAAATTATGAAGTATTATAACTCCATGATAGACAAATTGGTGAAAGTAGTCTGCCTTCGGATCATTCAAATTATGTATTGATTAACATGTGGATATCAAATCTTTGGAAGAAGTTGTAAATTCAGTTCAAAGGTTATATGAAATGGGCATGAAAAATGAAAAATAAATCTTTAACGATAGCTTTTTCTGATATTTTGATATATATATACCCGTTTTGTTAAAATATACCTTTTCACTGTTTTGGTCTTTTGGAAAATATTGTTTGTGCTGTATTTATACCCCTTTACCAAGAAATTTGTTTAGCATGCATACGTATATAAATTGCGGTTTTTATCCAACGCAATCATAGGTTTGAACGTTGTTTTCAATTTAGTAGATATAAAAAGATGTGGTATGAGTGCCAATGAGACAACTCTCCATCCAAGTCACAATTTATAAAAGTAAACCATTATAGGTCAAAGTAACGTCTTCAACACGGAGCCTTGGCTCACACCAAACAGCAAGCTATAAAGGGCCCCAAAAATTACAGGTGTAAAACCATTCAAACGGGAAACCAACGGTCTAATCTATATAAAAAACGAGAAACGAGAAACACTTATGAACCACATCAACAAACGACAACTACTTAACATCAGATTCCTGACTAGGACAGGTGCAAACAGTTGCAGCGGGTTTAAACGTTTTAATAGTACCAAACATTCACCCTTATATGAAACAATAGTGAAACATTGTATTTATAATACCCCGTTCTAGATAGTCAAATCTTACCCCTTCCAATGCAAGGCACAAAAAAAACAACCCCATTTCAGACAATTTAGCTGAAAATGCAACCCCGTTTGTCGGAACATACCCGGTATCATATATATAGCGAGTATCCCCCGGATAGATGTAGAATGGCCACTGGTTAAGTGTCACACAAAACAACCATTTCATGTATAGATTTACTTACCGTTTTGGTTGTTTAAGAAAGGTGTCCAGTCACCCATCAGATGGGGGAATCAGTATAAAAAGAAATCAGAGTATGTGTTTAATTAATGAATATGATGAATTGCCATATTCAATACAATATGATATAAGCAGATTACGATTTTTTTTGTTTTTTTTTAAGGGGGGCGTACGCCCATTACGCCCTTACCTGGACCCGCCCCTGATAAAAATCTTATAAAATTAAAAAGATATATAATGAAGTAAATTAGATATCTTATAAACTATATAAGATATTTGATTATTAATTCTAACAAGGATTTGTATAGTAACTAACTATACAAATCCTTGATTCTAATTTAGATATCTTATAAACAGTATATAATATCTAATTTATTTTTAGAGATATTATAAAGTTAATATATCTTGTAAAGTTGATAAGAAACCATATTAACTTCAAATTAATTAAGACATCTTGTAAAGAATACAAGACATCTTATATATTTTATAAGATATGTTACTTGTTAACTGCATAAGATATCGTGCAATAGGATAAATCTAAAACAGAGACATATATACACAATTCATGTATATATGTCTCTGTCTAAAAACAGCTTACCATACTCCTAGGTCTTTAGCGATAAATTAAGTTAGATTTGTGAGCAGTTTTGGTTTCAACATCTATTATTTTTAACATTTCTTCAATAATTAAGATAATCTTCAATAATTTTAAGATAATTGAAAACTTTTTGGGAGGTTTTAGTGTAGAACACGGATTTTGTTCCGTTCCGAAATTGTTTTAGTACTAAGATTTTAAAACACTTGGAGGACACGTGCGTGAAGAAGAAAAAATAATGCAGACGAATGTTCATCGCATTCCCCTTTTAATTTACACACAGTTTGCATGCTTGATTCTTTAAGTTGGTAAGTAGAAATTATCAACTACAAAGCAGTCATATTGGATGTCGTTGTGTTGTTATTAATGTTAATGAGCATATCAATTTGCAACATGTCCAACTTCATCATGCGATTCATGCCATCGGCATCATGGTCAACAACTGGTCAAGGTTGCAGTCGCAAATCAGCTGATTGTTGAAATTTCATGCATGGTTGTAATCAAGATTAGACCATGATTTATGCGGAATAGAGTCCTATAGTATACTTCTAACAACATGTGAAAGTCAGACACAAAAAATGGATGTGAGAAAATCCTAAAACAGGTACAGCAAAATAACTAGTCCAAATAATTATGAGGTCTTGAAAGGCTATTATCGATATATTTTTTTGCTTTGACGCCTTACAGGGCTATTATATTTTTTTTTGCGTTGAAGCTGTACAAACTATCCATCTTTGCAATATATAACAACATGAATAAAGGCAGTTAACAATGAAAATATAATATGTTCATTTTTAACAAACAGTCTTAAAACTATATGGATATTAAACAGCAGATGGTAGGGAAATTTGCAAACATTTTTACAGCAAGAAATTAGGCAGGGGCGGGTCCAGGGGCGGGTCCAGGTAAGGGCGTACGCCCCCCTTAAAAAAAACAAAAAAACTCGTAATCTGCTTATATCATATTGTATTGAATATGGCAATTCATCATATTCATTAATTAAACACATACTCTGATTTCTTTTTATACTGATTCCCCCATCTGATGGGTGACTGGACACCTTTCTTAAACAACCAAAACGGTAAGAAAATCTATACATGAAATGGTTGTTTTGTGTGACACTTAACCAGTGGCCATTCTACATCTACCCGGGGGATACTCGCTATATATATGATACCGAGTATGTTCCGACAAACGGGGTTGCATTTTCAGCTAAATTGTCTGAAATGGGGTTTTTTTTTTTTTTGCCTTGCATTGGAAGGGGTAAGATTTGACTATCTAGAACGGGGTATTATAAATACAATGTTACACTATTGTTTCATATAAGGGTGAATGTTTGGTACTATTAAAACGTTTAAACCCGCTGCAACTGTTTGCACCTGGCCTAGTCAGGAATCTGATGTTAAGTAATTGTCGTTTGTTGATGTGGTTCATAAGTGTTTCTCGTTTCTCTTTTTGTATATAGATTAGACCGTTGGTTTCCCGTTTGAATGGTTTTACACCTGTAATTTTTGGGGCCCTTTATAGCTTGCTGTTCGGTGTGAGCCAAGGCTCTGTGTTGAAGACGTTACTTTGACCTATAATGGTTTACTTTTATAAATTGTGACTTGGATGGAGAGTTGTCTCATTGGCACTCATACCACATCTTTTTATATCTACTAAATTGAAAACAACGTTCAAACCTATGATTGCGTTGGATAAAAACCGCAATTTATATACGTATGCATGCTAAACAAATTTCTTGGTAAAGGGGTCTAAATACAGCACAAACAATATTTTCCAAAAGACCAAAACAGTGAAAAGGTATATTTTGACAAAACAGGTATATATATATCAAAATATCAGAAAAAGCTATCGTTAAAGATTTATTTTTCATTTTTCATGCCCATTTCATATAACCTTTGAACTGAATTTACAACTTCTTCCAAAGATTTGATATCCACATGTTAATCAATACATAATTTGAATGATCCGAAGGCAGACTATTTTCACCAATTTGTCTATCATGGAGTTATAATACTTCATAATTTGATGCTAATTGTTGAAATCCAGGAGCTCCTGACCTTCCCCATGGACCCTATACCAGGGCAACCGGAATTACGCCTCCCGTTCATAAAATCCTGGCCTAGGACTATTGAAATGTAAAGTAACGCCCTATATCCTAGAATTTGGAATTTCTCGTTATTGGTCTACTGCTATTAAGATCCATCCAATCATTTTAATATACCATAAACAATTAATGGAGAGAATTCGGCATAAAAAATATCAAACCCTGACACTTTAACTATAAAATATACATGCTCTAAGTCAGGAACTGTTACATTGGTGCATTTCACAATTATTTAAAATTTTTAGCCCAAAAAAGGTCAAAAAAAATTTTTGCATAGCTCCGCTCGGCTTAAAATTGTATTCAACGCCCCCTCTTGTCAGATATCTATTGTCCATGTCAATCAATATGATTCACTACCAGAGAGTACTCAAACCTCTTTCCCAATTTTGTTTATTGTGACCACTTCTTTTAGAACAAAAAAAATGTGTACAACAAAATCCATTAAAGTTTTTTATTTTCTAAAACATAAAATGGAAGCCCTGGTAACCCAAAGTGATGTGTATGAATGATTCTTTTTTTGTTCATGCACTGTACAGAAAAGTATTTGTAGAAAAACAAATTACTGTGACTTGACTGTAAGGCCACTTAAAATTAATTGATAGATTTTCATCCCCGACGCCCCTCTGAAATTGTCCCACCCCGATTTTTTTGATTTTTTTTTTAAAGATTTACGATTTCCGGATTTTGTTTATTTCCGTTACCGGTAAGTGCCGATAATTTCGTTTCATTCAAAACTTCCTGTTTTAAATTTCAGTTTTCGTATTTCTCCTCGTGTAATATAACCAAAATGATTAAGTCGACATATTCTGCTGCTTAATGATGACAACATTATCTTCTGAGAATATAGATTGATAACTAGAAGGGCATGAAATATTCAGGTAACGAGTAATAGGCGGTGTCCAAGAACGCTAATCACGGTATGTCACAAATTTCAGTGATTAGAAAACCGTACATTTTTTTATTTATACAATGACTTTGTGTCAGGGAATTTGGACTGTGAATAATATCCAAAGCGCAAGAATCGTGGAACACATTGGTACAAAAACATGACTGGAATAAAGTAATTGACACAAGCACGAACTTGTGCGATTTATGACCGTATATATTGAGTACAAAGAGTCGGCCAACATACAAAATGTATTATACATGTAGCAAGCCCTTAGATTTACCCCAAGGCTGTCGTTTTTGTGGACAAACAGCAAACACCCTCTGTCCCCAGCCCCTTAATAGAGTCATTAAACAACTTCTTCTTTTTTAGTTCATTTCATGTTTTAAATTTTAATTATATTTGCACCTTGCATAAGAATCTTCAAGGCATCAACCCTAGTATTTTCAACACAGTTTGAGTTTTCATTTCACTCTGTACTCGTTATATTTGTGTTGCATACCAATGCATATGCTTTATTTTATGAGCACTACAAATCATAGCTTAAAAGAAAAATGAATTTGATGTAGGTAGTCTAAAAGAGAACATTTCTCCACGTTTTGCTATTTATTAAAAATAGGCTTCTAAAGCGGCCATTACATGTAGATCAGTGGTTGCCAATCAGAAATATTAATTTAAGAATTTGAAAATAATGTAGAATTCCTTATATATACATGATATAAGCATATTATTACCATTGTATATGAACAACACGTCACAAAAGGGTTTAGGAGGAAATAAAAATTTAAAAAATAAAATACTCCCACCCGCCCCATTTTTTTCCAAAATCTGGATGAAAATCTACTAATTAATTTTAGTTGGCCTAAGTGTTGCTCTCCACCTATTGCAGTTAACTATTTAAAATTTTGACCAAATTGCAATTTATTATATCAGACCAAACTGTTCAACTGGTCAGAAATTTTAACAAACTGCTGTAGAAAAACACAGTCATTTAACATTTTGTCTTTGTGAAACATTAAAAGAGGAAAAAGTCCATGGATGGAGTTTTACAATGAGGGAAAGATTAGTCTTCCTTTGGTAAATCTCTCTCAAAATGTGGCTTATAGATATATTTTTTCTTTATAACCACCACCAAAACAAGTATGGATAACTATTTATGTATGAAATTTCTTCTGTTCAACTCATACATGTTCAATTTAGCTTAATATTTCATTTAATAAAGTCATCTCATATATTGCCTTCTCAGCAGATATGTCAGTTACACCAGACTTACAGGCTGTTTACAGCAAATGGGAAAATAAAGGACCAGGAAGAATACAACCTGATACCAATACCCAAAAGATCCTGCAGGATGGGCGCCAGAAATGGAGGGATAGATATGAGGACGAGATAAAACCTCAGACTCGAAGGTCATCTTATAAACAGAAGGCTATACCAACAGAAAATGTAATATTATAGAATTATGCAGCAAAATGCTGTAAAAAGTTAGTAGGCGTGTATTAAAGAGTTAATAAATGCAAAAAGAAAATAATAAAATCTTTTGTATGCAGTATAAACTCTTTCTGTTTTAATTAGTTGCAGGTTTAAATTTGGCATCAATGAAAATGAAATGGATATGTACAAATGATACATTATAGTTTAGACAGATCTAGAAGACACATACCTCTTAAATAAATGTTTTAAGTGTAGACATAAATTCTAAGTAAAAGTCCTTTGACTCATGCCATTTTCACGGATAATGCAAAGGAGTAGGCCCTGTAAGACCCCTTTTTGCCCCAAAATATAGCATTTTTACAAATTTGTTGAAATGTGAACTTTTAGCTATTTTTTGGAAAGAAGAATAATTATGTTCCATAAATATGAGCTATTTTTGACAATACACTGCACATGCATCAGGAACTAACATCATAAATTCATGCAAAATTACTGAAATCTTCACAATTTTAGTATTTGTGCTATTTTGAAGACGGTTTTTGTTTAAAATGGAAGTGGCCGCATTAGTGTTCAGTCTTTATATTTAAAATTATGTTGTATTTGATGATAATACATAACATATATAAAATTTGAGACTGAACACGAATGCGGCCACTTACATTTTAGACAAAAACCATATGAAAAGTGACGTGTTATGGCATATTTGATAGAGTTTTCATAATAAAGCTTGAATTTAAGAGTCTTAATGACCAAATCAGTTCAAATCTTCTACATAAATTAATTGAATCGACTGAAGTAGACACTTTAGCTTTTAAAAAATGTCAAAATTGTTTCATTAGATGTACTTCGAATTTTAGGCCAAAACTAGCCCTTACCGGACCTTCTTCTCCTTTGATTCTTTATTTTCTTATTAGTCATGAACAGATCACAAAAATTGTCATTTTGCAAACAACACTACTGATATATATCAGAAGCTTTAAGCAACAATTCTAGTATGAAGCACTTCCTTTTCTTTGTTATTAAAACATTAAAACATCTAGTGCACCAGAGATCAAAATAGACATTTCTGACAATTCTTCTATTTGTACCAAGTTGATAAGAATCAAACCAGGAATGACCAAACAATATTTTTTTGAAAATTGTAGTTTTATATGAATTATATAGTAAAAATTTTTGTGATGAATACAATTGGCAGTGCACTGTAGTTTTCCATGAAGTTGTTCTAACATCAACTTGAAATTTAGTACACATGTTCATTTTGATGTGAGTTTTGAAAATATATTCAAATTTGGGGTTTGATCCATATTTTGTAGCTCAATGATCAAGTTTGGTTTAAGGTAGCTAACCAAGAAGCCGTGGTCACATCAACTTGAAACTTTGTACTCATGTCCATTAGGTTGCGAATTTTAACAAAAATATATGCCAAATTAAGATTTTGACCAATAATATTTCTTGGTTCACTAAATATGGAAATAGTGTGAGTGCAAGTGGGGCATGGTGTCCTATGGAAATGTTTTCTTGTTTGAAATTGTCTTGGATGTTAAACCCATATCTCATTTTATTGATCAATCCATCAATCACTTTTTTTTTTTTACATAGCCCGTTATATTAAAAGATGAGAAAACCAAAATGTTGCATCCAACATGTTATTTGATACTTATTAAAAAAAGTATCATTTATCTACCAATAGACGTATTTACACTTGTATGCAAATTTGACCGCCATTACTTAAAATCACACAAGTTCCCATAAAATTTGACATCACAATTTAAAAAAAATTGACGTCATAATTAAAAAGTGATTGTTGCTTATGTAGAGCAGATCTAAGGTCATTCAGAGACAAAATTCAGTTAAATACCAAAAGTGTAAATAAGTATAGGGCTATTCCATTAAAATGTATGTGGGAGGGTAGGAAGGGAAGTTTAATTATTGAATGTGGGTCATGGGTCTTTTTTCAGTATGCGTCTATTACCATTATCATTTTATGCAAAATTATCTAAAAAATGGTTCTTGGTTGTAGGGATATTTTGAAAGTCCCTGCCTACCCTCCCACATACATTTTAATGGAATAACCCTTATTACTTGATAGGTGGGAAAGGTAGGAAGGTATATGAAATGAATCCAGATGTGATTTAAAAAAAACCATTTTCATCTAGGATCTTTTATTTTAGGTGAGTTATAATGTAATCACCCAGTTTAAGACAATGCCAACCATTACAGCAGACAGTTTTGTTACTACAAGGCCATTGATGGGACGCTGTTGTTCCTGTGTACCATACAGTCAGAAGGATTTTAGTGCATCAACACAAAATCATGGCATTAATAATATCCTGAATGTCACTAGTGGTGTGAGGTCAGTTGATTTAGATTTAGTGTATATACATGAGCTGCATGGGATAGAAATCGACCTTATGCAAGTGCATGTATACATGTACATGTATAACACTTTTGATTGATTTTGGAGCATTCAAATACGAAATAAGAAATGGATTTCGGTCAGTTTTGTAGGGTTCTTATATCAACTCAATTTTCAAACAGTTAAACTCACGTCAGACTCTGCATAGAGATTTGTTCAAACCCAAAATAGATTAACAGATGTATTGATATCGATTTGCATAAGGTAGATTTCTATCCTACACAACTCACATGTTAAAAATTGCTTGATGAACTATATATAATAGGATATAAAGTTGATGGGTTATAAATAAGACTAGCTACTTTTCTTAGTACAATTTTCTTGAATCAGTGTAGCTTACAACTTTATATTTATCGACCGATCAGATTTATTTATCTTGACTTCTATATAATTGTTGACCTGTATCTAAAATTAAATTGAAAAATCTAGACTTTATATTGGTGCTTTTAGATTACTTGCTGAAAAAATGATCTTTATTACATACTAGAACTAACAAAGACTGAATTATTTATATAAAAAGATATGTAGAGTATATTGGAATGAAACAACAACACAAAAAACATCAAGAGGTTATCAATTGGTCTATTATAATCTTAAATGTCTAATCCTGGTAAATGATAATGTATGAAAATATTGAATATAGTTAACAAAATAGATAAATTGAAGCAATCAACAATTTTGGACAAGGTTTACATGCTTTGGAAAACCAAAATTTAAATGGGCAAGTAAGGGAAAAAGATAATGTAGTATCAATATCTTAATTTACGAAATTTTAAATTTTGTAGACCCAAAGGATTTTTAGATAGAAGATTCAAGAAGTTAGCCTACACCTTTAGACGAAACACTTCACACAGATACAATGACATTTTGATGTTAGTGTTAACAGCTCCAAGGTATGAATCTAACTTGATGTTAGTGTTAACTGCTTCAAGGTATGAATCTAACTTGATGTTAAGTGTTAACTGCTCCAAGGTATGAATCTAACTTGATGTTAGTGTTAACTGCTTCAAGGTATGAATCTAACTTGATGTTAGTGTTAACTGCTTCAAGGTATGAATCTAACTTGATGTCAGTGTTAACTGCTTCAAGGTATGAATCTAACTTGATGTTAGTGTTAACTGCTCCAAGGTATGAATCTAACTTGATGTTAGTGTTAACTGATCCAAGGTATGAATCTAACTTGATGTTGTGTCTTATATTGTTTTTGAGATGCTAAATATAATTTTCATATATTTTGTTGGCAAGTAGCATAATGCATACCACATTATTCAACAAAATATAAATGTTCAGTGTTTTTATAGATGCAGATAATCAAATCACAAAAGTAAATTCCACCAAAAAGTCTTTTATTCAAAACACAAAAAAATAATATCAATGCAGGCTCAAGCTAGCAGGCGACTGGGGTGAAGAATTTGCTGTCCTCTCAGTCACTTCGTTTTGCCTGACCGTGAAAAGCAATATCGAGTCGCCCTGGTGTTCACAATAGTCACTTGCAGTCGCTTTCATCATCAAAAATTTTCGATTTTTTTCAAAGTGGATGAAACTGCAATTCTTCATTTTTTAGTAAACAATTTCAAAGATATAAATGATTTATTTCTTTAGAAAAGATGTTAAAGTATTGACTTCACAGATTGGTTGTATGTTATTTCAAAGAAACAATTTTCATGAGATATTTTCTTTCACTTCCAGTACTTGTTACTCGAGAGCGTATATCAAAACATTCTGATTTTCTAAATAAGTTTGTTGCTTCATTATAAAGGTGATAAAATTGCTTTTAGTTATGTTTCATCCATTTTTCATTAAAAGCGTCAAATTCCTTTCCAAATTGCTATTCAAACATTGTTTGTTTTCGTAAATTTTTCCTTGATCGCCATTAAAATATTTGCATGAACCACAGATCAGAGGCGGTTATTCAGCGGAAGCGGATCAGCTATGACCGAAATCTGTACGATAATAACTACAGACATATGAATGGAACAGCTGACAGAAGAAAAATGATCTCAAAGTGAAAATTACGCATTCCACATGCATCAACAGATTTTTGGTTCGATCTCCTTGCTAAATGTAGACATTTCAGCATATGCACTCTACATACTATAAATGATTGTTAAAGGCATAAACTGAAACAACTGTTACTTTTATTGTATTCTCATGTATAAATTGAACAATATAAAAAATAATTAAATGAATAGAATACATATGTCTCTTTATATTATGGTAAAAACCAAAATCGTAGCGGCGTGAGCAAATGAAACCATAATTGTAGCGGCGTGAGCAAATGAGCACTTCTGTTTTAAAGTCTCACCACTTCTCCCTATGACTCTGATGTCGTGTGAGCCCTGCAATGTAATTAATTCAGGCCTATGATAGCCACACTTTTATAGACAGGATTGCTGACTTTTAGCACCTATTCAATAGGCATATTGTAGGACAAAGTTAATAATTCAGACTTAAAGGCTAACAATTTGAGATTTGATGATGAAATCAAAGAATGCTCAAAATTCTTTTACATGTTTCAAAGTTCTAGTTTATGACATTAACAGGACACAGAACATAGGTGTTATTTATCATCATTGTTTGTATCACATTAATTTCAAGTTTTATGATCAGTTCCATTCTATAATATGTTTTTTATGATGGACCAATGATATTAGGTGTTGCATAAGCATTCACCCTTCTTAAATGTAAATAGAATATGATGCACCACCTCTTCATTTATGCTCTAGTGACTGACAAAAGATTGCATTTTTAGAAAATTTATCTGGTAACGTATCTGAAAAATAATGATTAGGTAAAGTCAATCAAAATACTGTTTTCAAATTTGCTTAGGTATGGTAAATCTATGTTCAACAGCTTTATTTGAATTTTACTGATGTGAACAAAAAATAATGAAAATATTGTAACCCATCTAAAGGAAGAATTTGGTTCCAAACTGATGGCAAAAATTCATTATATTTATGTTTATTGCTTAAGCATTTGATGTATATTTTAAATGCTCTTTTAAGTTTTGGTTTTAGCATTTTTGTATGTATATTTCCTTGCTTGTTTTACAACTGTTTTGTTGTTATTGATTGCCTTGTTTGTTTAAATTCTTCAAAAAAAAACCCCAGCTTTTATGAAAATCATCAAAATGGTTCAACAGAATTTTATTTGTGCATACATGTTTATCACATTATATATACATTCAAAGGGAAAAATCATATCTTTAAATTTGCAGTGTATGAAAAGGGATTTATATCTATTTATCCTCACAAAAAAACTTAGAAAAATGCATATATAAAACTATGAAATTACATAATAGAAAAAGGGCAAATACACTATTCAGTTACATAGTCGTGCCAGGTCATTTTGCAAAATTAATACATTGCACAAGTTCATGTTTTTCTCTGACTGTTTATGATGTCTTTACACTAAATCCATTGGATTTGGATGTGTACTGATTGATATTTTAGTCTTAGATGCATGATTTTTTTTATTAGTTGTTATTGGCTTTGAACTAGCTGTCAGTAACTGCAAGTACTCTCAGACCTGTACTTAGTATCTTTTTGTTGTGGGGATGTATAAGTACCCGGCCACGTCCACTCTGTGTTTTCGTTACTTGTTTTTGTGCTTTGTATCTATCTGATGAGTTAAGCCCTTTTCAACTGATTTTTATACGACCGCAAAAAAATTTTGTGGTCGTATATTGGTATGACGTTGGCGTCGTCGTCGTCGGCGTCGTCGTCGTCGTCGTCGTCCGAATACATATTGGTTTTCGCACTCTAACTTTAGTTTAAGTGAATGGATCTTTTTGAAATTTGACCATAAGGTTAAATACCACAAAAGGAAGGTTGGGATTGATTTTGGGGGTTATGGTACCAACAGTTAAGGAATTAGGGGCCAAAAAGGGGCCAAAAATGAGCATTTTCTAGTTTCCAGACAATAACTGTGGAACGGTGTATGGATCTCTCTGAAATTATACTACAAGTTTCCATACCACAAAGGGATGGTTAGGATTTGCTTTGGGGGGTTATGGCTCAAACCGTTTAGGAATTAGGGGCAAAAAAGGGGGGAAAACAAGGTTGTCCTGGTTAATGGACAAATACTTTAGTACAAAACATAATTTAAAGCAGTGTAAGGGAGATAAATCAAATACATCATTGAAATTATCTCCCTTACACTGCTTTTAAATTATGTATAAAGTAATGGTTAATGAACAATAAAGATAATCTAAAACAGTGTAAGGGAGGTAATCCAAATACAACGTTTTGGTTACTTCCCTTACACTGCTTTTAAATTATGTTTAAAGAAATGCATATTTATAAAGGAAGACCAGTAAAAATATCTGCAAATGTTTTCATCTTTTTTTTTTACAAAAAAATCCATATGAAAGATTTGACACTATATTTTTATTAATTCTATTATAAAATAGATTAAGTTAGCACTATGGTAAATTTAAATGGGTAATTATGGTTGCCAACTCCATTGGAAATTTGAATTGAGATTATGACCATATCTTGAGGGAAAGAATTTTTTTGGGGGAAAAAGGGGGGGGGGGGATAAAAAGAAATTGTGGGGGGCCAATTTTTTCTCATTTCAGATTTCAGAAATTAAAAAGAATTATTCTTCAAATATTATTTTTTTTTCAAATTTCAAATATTGAAAAATTTCAAGAAGTAATCTTTAATTGCACAGTATGGCGCATTAGATTTGTAAAATCTTTGATCACATTTATTTATTTGTTATGCCAAATCTAACAGTGTATTTAGATTTTTAATTTTGGGTCCAGTTTTCAAATTGGTCTACATTAATGTCCAAAGGGTCCAAAATTAAACTTTGTTTGATTTTAGCAAAAATTGAATATATGAGGTTCTTTGATATGCTGAATCTAAACATGTATTTAGATTTTTGATTTTTGGCCCAGTTTTCAAGTTGGTCCAAATTGGGGTCCAAAATTAAACTTTGTTTGATTTCAACAAAAATTGAATATATGGGGTTCTTTGATATGCTGAATCTAACCATGTATTTAAATTTTTTATTTGTGGACCCCGTTATCTAATTGGTTCATATTGAGGTCAAAAGGGTCCAAAATTAAACTTTGTTTGATTTCATCTAAAATTGAATTATTGGGGTTCTTTGATATTCCAAATCTAACCGTGTATTTAGGTTTTTAATTTTGGGTCCTGTTTTTTAAATTGGTCTACATTGAGGTCCAAAGGGTCCAAAATTAAACTTAGTTTGATTTTGACAAAAATTGAATTCTTGGGGTTCTTTGATTTGCTGAATCTAAACATGTGTTTAGATTTTTGATTATGGGCCCAGTTTTCAAGTTGGTCCAAGATAGGGTCCAGTATTTAAACTTTGTTTGATTTCAACAAAAATTGAATATATGGGGTTCTTTGATATGCTGAATCTAAACATGTATTTAGATTTTTGATTATGGGCCCAGTTTTCAAGTTGGTTCAAATTGGGGTCCAAAATTAAACTTTGTTTGATTTCAACAAAAATTGAATATATGAGGTTCTTTGATATGCTGAATCTAACCATGTATTTAGATTTTTTATTTGTAGGCCCCGCTATCAAATTGGTTCATATTGAGGTCAAAAGGGTCCAAAATTAAACTTTGTTTGATTTCATCAAAAATTGAATTATTGGGGTTCTTTGATATGCCAAATCTAACCGTGTTTTTAGATTTTTAATTTGGGTCCCGTTTTTTAAATTGGTCTTCATTGAGGTCCAAAGGGTCCAAAATTAAACTTAGTTTGATTTTAACAAAAATTGAATTCTTGGGGTTCTTTGATATGCTGAATCTAAACATGTGTTTAGATTTTTGATTATGGGCCCAGTTTTCAAGTTGGTCCAAGTTGGGGTCCAAAATTAAACTTTTTTTGATTTCAACAAAAATTGAATATATGGGGTTCTTTGATATGCTGAATCTAACCATGAATTTAGATTTTTTATTTGTGGGCCCCGCTATCAAATTGGTTCATATTGAGGTCAAAAGGGTCCAAAATTAAACTTTGTTTGATTTCATCAAAAATTGAATTATTGGGGTTCTTTGATATTCCAAATCTAACCGTGTATTTAGATTTTTAATTTTAAGTCCCGTTTTTTAAATTGGTCTACATTAAGGTCCAAAGGGTCCAAAATTAAACTTAGTTTGATTTTAGCAAAAATTGAATTCTTGGGGTTCTTTGATATGCTGAATCTAAACATGTGTTTAGATTTTTGATTATGGGCCCAGTTTTCAAGTTTGTCCAAGTTGGGGTCCAAAATTAAACTTTGTTTGATTTTAACATAAATTGAATATATGGGGTTCTTTGATATGCTGAATCTAACCATGTATTTTGATTTTGGACATTGGACCATAATAGGTAAATTAAAAAAATTCAAGTTCTTAGACCACATTCTTTCTGTGTCAGAAACCTATGCTGTGTCAAATATTTAATAACAATCCAAATTCAGAGCTGTATCAAGCTTAAATGTTGTGTCCATACTTGCCCCAACTGTTCAGGGTTCGACCTCTGCGGTCGTATCAAGCTGCGCCCCAGCGAAGCATTTTATTATAGTTTGTTCATATGTTGTACTGTTACACCATTGTCCCAGGTTAGGGGGAGGGTTGGGTGCCCGCTAACATGTTTAACCCCGCCACATTCTGTATGTGCCTGTCCCAAGTCATGAGCCTGTAATTCAGTGGTTGACATTTGTTTCTATATATCATATTTGTTTTTCGTTCATTATTTTGTACATAAATTAGGCCGTTAGTTTTCTCTCGTTTGAATTGTTTTACATTTGTCATTTCAGGGCCTTTTATAGCTGGTTATGCGGTATGGGCTTTGCTCATTATTGAAGGCTTGCGGTGACCTATAGTTGTTAATTTCTGTGTCATTTGGTCTCTTGTGGAGAGTTGTCTCATTGGCAATCATACCACATCTTCTTATTTTTATATTGGTGAGCTGGGTTAGCATGAACAGTTATTGTAGTGATTTTGCACCACTAGCAAGCATGGACAATGCAAGAGGTACTATGGGATGTTGCATAAAAACATGGTTAAGATTTCAAAGAGCCTTCCCTGGGTTCCATGTATGTTTTCACTATAAGATAGCTGTTGAAATATCTTTTTATGTTTTAGGGTTTCAGAAGCTGTGAAAATGAAAACAGAAAAAGGTAATAAGAAAAAGCCTAAAAATACAGATATGGTTTTGTTGCTAGTACTTTTTGTATTTAGAGAATAGAGAAATGTCCTTGATTTGCTGCATGTTACTGTGATTTTAATAATAAAAAAAATCCAAGTGTAATTATAAATTAAGATCAAACAGCAAAGTAAGACTGGATGTCAAATGTTTTTAAACTTTATAAAGAATTTTTAGTTATAAGGATTTTTATCGAGAATGAAAGTGTGAGAAAGAGACTTTTTTCTGGACAGTTGAAAGGAAGCCAAAGGCAAAATATACCTGTAATGTTGAATTTATATTTTGTAAAGAAATTTTGCAAATCAACTGAAAATTTCCCAATTATATTTCAGATGTGATAAAAAAGATACATTTTTTTTTTTTATGTTTTTTGGAAGAATTAAGTTCTTTTTCCATCTGTACTTCAATCAATAGATATTTTCTCAAAACAGCTTTTCATGCAATTTCTTTCCTATCACCTTGGGGGACTTTTGAAAAAGCAAAAGCATGATAGCTATAGGTATTTTTTGTCAAAAAAATATATGATAGGGTAGAAATTATTGCTATTCAAAATATATGAAAAGGGTGGTCTCTAAAAACACTGCAAAGGACCTCCTTTGTGCACAAAGGAGCACATTCTAGCACAAAGGACCATTTAATAAGAGCACAAAGGACATACAATTGTTTATATAATGGGGGAATAACATCATTTGCATACGAAAACAAATATTTATTTTTATTAAATACTGCATGAAATCTGTAGGTTAAAGATTTATGAAACCGTGTTCCAAAAGAGAGGCGAACCAGTACGGATATGCTTAAGACCACAGCATTTAAAAATTATCATGTATTGAAAATTTTATTATACATGTATATTTCAAATTTTACAAAACATGATCAAATAAATAAAAGGTTGACATTTTATTGGGAAAAATAGATCAAACATTGTTTGTCAAAATTTTAATTCCACAAATAGTACATGTAACTAACTGTATAATGAGGACTTGATTGTGCTTGCCTTGAAGAAAGGGGACTATTCTTTACAATTAATTATCAGTGTTAAAAAGCAATCTTTAAAAACAAGAAAACTCTTGTAATATGTATTTAAGTGATATTTGAAAATTAAACCAATGAAAACTTCAGATGTATGCAAAATCAATATAGATCACACATGGTGTGATCAAAGACATTGTCTACTGAAGTAAAAAAGGGCACCCATTTTACTCCAAATTTTATACGAAAGTATAAAATGAGAGAGTTCTTTTATTGACCAAAAAAAAAAAAAATTATTTTTGTTAGGAACATTAAAATTCGAAATAATATATGATTTTGTCAATCTATATATTTACTTGGTTATTTGATTATGTGTGAAATAAGTTAATACACAAATTTCAGAAAGTAAATTTCATGAACTACTTGTAAGAATAATCAAATCTATTTTGATATCAAATTTTCAGTTCAAATTGTGACCATTAAGTTATGAGGCGAATGAAATACAAATAAATAAATTGAGATGATGGGTATATGTCAATAAAAAACAACCATGAATGCATACTTTTTGTCAGTCCTCATAACAGTTTAAGATTCGCAAAGTGAGAAAATTCGGTAGATACTTTGTTTTTGTCCAGAATAAAATTTGATAATACAAAGTATATAATTCTGAAATACGGATTAAAAAATTTATGTTGATTCCATAACTTTAGAATTACCGTCATACCGATCCCTTTTGTTTCTTGTGAAACATTTTCTTCATTGCAATTATGATTCATAAAGTAAGAAAATGTCGATAGATACTTTATTTTTGCCCAGAATAAATTTTGATAAAACAAAGTGAATATTGACATTTCTGAACTACTGAATATTTAATTACAATTTAAAAATTTGCAAACATTAGCTATGACATAAACCGGATATAGAGTGGGTTCTGAACCAGCCTGATGATTTCACCAAGTCATCCATGTTAAAAATCGCAATTTTCATGATGTAAAATTTTTTGAAAACATTTTTCTTCAGAAATAACATTATTTTCTTGCAGATAAGGGAATTAAAGGTCCTTTGTGCTCTTATTAAACTCCTTTGTGGCCTTTGTGCTACATTGTGCTCATTTGTGCACAAAGGAGGTCCTTTGCAGTGCTTTAGAGACCCTGAAAAGGGTGGGGTATTGGATATCTCAGCTGCTCACCCCTATCATAAAAGGATTAAAGTTAGTCCCCAATTCCCTTGCAAAAATGTGTGATTACTATGTCAAAATTTTTGCTGTAACCTTAAATATTTTTGTATAGATTGAATCATTACAGTTCGAAATAATAGTATCCAAACATTTAATTTATTTTCCCAGTAACATCAACAAAAAGAAAAGAAAAGATAGAGAAAAACCCTGCAGAAATATTAAAAGTGATGAAAGCTTCTATATCAAACAGACTGCTAAAGTAAGTATTGCACTAGTATATTTAACCCAACCAGCCCCATACCTCTGCAAAAAAAAGATAAAACAACAAAAGACTTCTATACTCATATATGCTATAAAAATGAATATTAATGATAGAAGGGTCAGTTTTTAAAGGAGCGTAGGATTTTGTGCAAATTTATATCGGAGAACCATAGATTACTGCAAATTTGTTATATCTGCTTTCAGAATAGAATAATGATAACTAAAACAAATATGTACCAGAAATTATGGAGCTCATCAGGTAGCACCTGTCACAAACTATTATTATATATGAATAGATGGAGATATGTAGTATACATCTGTGAGATACAAAATATATGTTTTAATTTTTTTAACTTAAAGAAATGAGGTGGTTAATTTTAAAAACTCAATTTAGTCAAGGTCTTTACCATTTTGCAGATGATCAAGAATGGTATGAATACTTTTATAGATGATTTAAGAAATGAAAATAACAACAGCACAGCAAATAGTACTTTGACAGAATTTATTGGATTTGTATTTGACATACATTTTTGTACTTATATATATGCCAAAACTGACACGTATTGCTATAGCAGTTTTCACTCTTTCTAGAATGGTTTTTACCATAAGATTGATAATGTGATATGAAAATATGAATGACATCGACTTGACTTTAAGTATCATGTTAATATGGGATAATTTTCTTCTTTTTTTCAGGATAACTGCTTGGGTGTTGTTAAAGATTTTATCTGTGATGTTAAATGGTGTTCATGTACACAAAAATCAAATGGTTGTAATAAAGAAAGCCTCACAGGTAATTAGATAGCTGATAAGCATTATAGTTCATTTATCTTATTAATAGATATAAGAATCCCGAACGGGGCAGGTGCACTCGACTCCAATCTTAATTGACTAGGATTTTCAGTTTTCCTACCGAAGGTCAGTGGTTCTCTCCGGGCACTCTGGATCAATTGATAGATATAAGATCCCTGAAAAGGAAAATTAATTTTAGAGAAATCAAAATTAAAAGTGGATTTAAGAATGCTGTAGTAAAAAAAAATTTTATATAGATACCTGAATTTAAATGTTTCATTCGAAAATTGAAACACAATAAACCTGCAATTTTATTTGCCAGTAATTTAATATACAAACATTACAGAATAAATTAAGCATCATTGTAAAATTGGGCTTTTATGGCCATTTCTTCCAACTTCCACAAGTTAGGGTGAACTAGGCAAATTTTATCCTGTGTCAAGATTGCACGTTTATGGCTGTGAAAAAAGCTCCAAAAACCATGATTTTGTGAAATTCAACCTGAAAAATTTGCTGGTTTTAGATTTTGAATTTTCCCAAGGGAGACAATTGTAAACAATTATGCCAATCAAAATGGGTTTTTCATGTGATCACGCTTTCATCTCCTGAATATTGACAGCATTGTTAATTTGAATTGTGTTTGGAATTTTCAGTTGGTGTGTTGGAATTAAGAAAATCATAATAATTTTGGATGAATTATCTCTTGCGAAATGGTTTTTACTTTCCCAAAGAAGAAAAAATATAATTGCTGGTACCTAGATACCTGGAAGATAAAAGTTGAATTCAGTAGCTGGTTGACAAAATCACATTGCTTCTACCTAGAAAGTCTGCATCAGAAGCTTCAAAGTTGATCTCCTTGCTCAGAATGAACCTAAACAATTTATATTCTTACTGTGATTTAAAGTTCTTTCCAGTACTTGAATATCCTTGTTGAGTCTTTACTTTTCAAAACTGACTTCTATAGATGATGGGGAAACACATTTTTAGCCTACTTTTCCTTCTAGATATTTACAGTGTATCAGCTTTTAAAATGTTTTGTATAAATACATTTGTTGTAGAGAGGGATTCCAATGATCTACTTACCATTACATCTAAGCCATCTAGACTATATTTTAGTGACATTTATCTTGTGGAACTATGATATAAAAGCACCTTTTGTGGCAGCTGGGGACAACCTTAATATCCCAGTGTTCAAGTAAGTCAGACTTTTACTTTAAAAAGATTTATTTGAAATTGTATGTGGTGATTGTTAGTGTTGTGTCTTTAGTAATTTTTTCACATCATGGATTTGTAATTTCAATTTATTTTCTACTCTTACTTGTTGAGATGCTTTTTTGATATAGCAACATTATGATTCCAAGGAACAATTAGTTTAAACTGTATTTCTTACCAATACTGAAATATTAAAATAGGTAGATGTGGTATAATTGCCAATGACCCAACTGTTTAACAGAGAAAAAAGGAAGAGGATGTTAGCAACGATAGGCATGACATTCAACAATTAGCAAAAACCATTCTGAATAGTAAGCTTTAAAAGGCATGTGAAACAATTCAAAAGAGAAAACCAACTGTCGAATATATACTAAAAACTATTAATTAAATCAAATGTAGCAGATAGCAATCAATGCCAAACCACTGTTTCAACTATTTCAACTGAAACTTATACATCCCTAACTTGAAAATTACCATTGAAAATGTTGAAAATTGTATTTTTTTTGTCTGTATCAATTCATTCAAAACTGAATTTAATGCACTTGTTTTGTATTAAAAAAAGATCTCTGACTTGATTTATGCCCTTGTGAATGTTAACGATTGTAAACATATGCCTTGTGTAAGCCCTATCTTTTGTAGTAAATTCTGCATTAGTTTGTTGAAAATTACTAGCAATAGGAATGTCTCTTGTGGTTTTATGGTTGTTGTTTTTATATTGATGTATACGCCATATCTTCTTCAAGTCATGATCATATTTTTTCAGTTTAATCTTACGTGGATTGGGAGGATTTTTCATCAGGAGAAAACTGGACAAAGTTGCAGGAAAAAAAGACACTATATACAGAGCTGTGCTACATACTGTAAGTTGAATTGTTAGTAAATGCAAGCAGTTCCTATCAATTTTGTTTTAAAAGATAGTAGAAAACAACAATTTTCTGAAGGAGAACTATAAAAGTAAGAAGATATGGTATGATTGCCAATGAAAAAACTCTCCACCAAAGACCAAATGAGTTCAGCAAACTAATAAAACTGTAAAGGATATCTACTTATTTTACAAATATTAACAATTCTACTAACAATCAATTTTGGATATATTGAAGGTGAATTGCCTTGGTGATTTTGTGGTAGTGTGCTCACCACAAATATATAAGTCCACTAGAACACACCTGCAACATCGTGGGACCATGACTCAGCATGACTTTATCAAATGACAATAGGAATACTAAAAATCCTGGCTGAAAATAAAGCGTAGGTACTGGTGCACAGTTTTCTTTCCTTTCAAAATCTTTCTGTTTGTATCCCTCCTGGTGTTCTTACTATAACCGGAAACTACTTGTAGATATATTTTTTGCTGAATGATTGAATTTAGTAGTGTCAAACCCTGTAAAATGACGAAGTTCAAGTGTGATTATGACCTGTGTATAAAGCTAATCCTAAATACAGTTTGGTGGTGCGCCTGACATGCAGAGGTGGAAAGTACAGATTAGGTAACATGTAACATGTGACATATAGGTATCGGATTCAATCAACCCGGAACTTGTTACTTATTGGTAATATTAATTATATGGAAAACAAAAGGGCCTGGAATTGTGTAATTTTTAATAAACACCATTGTCCTATATTAGTTATATATAAAGATGAATTCTTTGATTTGTTGTTTTTACGTCATGCCAGCTAACAAACTGGACCTTGTTATTTAGTAGTATAGATATGTTGATACTCATTCATGTCTAACCAAGACTGAATAATGGTTTTGAGTGATATACAGCAAAACAGAAAGCTTTTATCAGTAAGAGCAGTCTTTGATTGGCTCATATGAAAGAAAAATGTGTTAAGATTTGATAACATGTCTATTGGTTTACTGTAATCATATAGGTTAGCATAGTAATTCACACTTAATGTTGGTGTAGTATAACGCAGGTTTTGTTTTCTTGTTCATAACATGTCAGTAAATTTTCCTCCTGACTTTGTGCACAAGATTGCAAACTGGAGGTTAAGCATTCAACCATTTAAAAGTAGGTATGCCCTTCATGAAACCCAAAATCAATAAATTTTGAAATTTTTTTTAAGTTTGCTTTTTTGTCTTCTTGTTTATAGATACCATTATAAGAAAAAAAAAATGTGTTGTGTTCAATTTTAAACAGACAAATATTTTACCTAACTTATTTAAAATAAGAAGATGAGGTATGAGTGCCAATGAGACAACTATCTTACAATGTCCAAATGACCTGAATTTAAGCAACACTATGTCACCTCTTGGCCTTCAACAATGAGCAAAACCCATATCTCAAAGTAAGTTATAAAAGGCCCAACGTGAAAAATGTGAAACAATTCTCTGGGACTGTGCTGTAAGAACACAGATATATACTTAGTGCCTGGAACAAAAAAGTTTATTTTCTGTTTGATGTGGTAGTGTTTTACTCATTGTATATATTTCTATGCCTCCTTCTGATTTCCCTTTATTCATAATATTAATTTGTATTCTTTATATATGTCGTTATTAATTTACAACTCAAAATGAAATATTTTCATATCTATTCTTTATGTATGTTGTTATTAATTTACAAGTAATGATAAAAGACTCAAAAGATTCTAAAACACTATGGAAATGTATTCACAGTCTAAATCCATCTAACTCATCAAAACCACATGAACTTATTACAACTGGAGACCATAAAAAAATAAAAAATAAATAAATAAATAAAATAAATAATTATTTTATTATAGTGTCACATATTTGATCAGACAATATATATATATACAACAATTCATAATAAAAACAGAGATCAAATATCCAGCCTTTGAATAGGCTTATGAGACACTTTAAAACATATCAGGCAACTGTACATTTATATAAAAAATATATATCCTTATAAAATGCAAAAATAATTACTGGTTTATCACATTAAGTAAACTGTTTTTAAAATATTTACTAGTAAAAGTTTCAATTAATATTAGATAGACGATATTGATAAAAAGGATTACAAATTAAAAACATTAGCAATGGTTAAAAGGAAAAAAAAAATTTGCCAAAAGACGGAATAAACTACTTTCAAAAACAAATAAAAAGACAATCATTTCTAGGGCAACAAAAATAATTTAAATGTGATTAATATTAAATAAATGGATCTAGATAAAAGATATGTACTAAAAAGTAACAATAGTAACCATAATATAGAGACTTTAAAAATATAACTATGAAAAAATATATAATATGTTAACATTCAAATAAATTTATTTCTTCTCTGATAAAAATTGAAAAGTGCGTATGATAATGAGGATTGCATGTCTTTACATTTCATAAGACTGATAAATTGACTGTCAATATCTAGAGTATCAAAGTTTCTATAAAGTTTTTGGCTCGAGAAAATAAATTATATCTTAAGTCATCATACATAGTGCAGTTCATTAGAAAATGTTTTTCGTTTACTATGATGTCATTCGGACAGAATTTACAACTTCTTTCATTAACTGGTATAAAACTACAGATCATAAAGAAATTGCTAATGCATTCAATAATTATTTCACCTCATGTGTTGAAAAATTAAGGCATAGCAGGGCACCAAGCAACTCAAATTTTAATACTCTGACAAACTATGTACAAATGAAATTCTTGAAAAAAAGGCACAATAAATTCATCATTCCCTCAGTAAAAGTTTCAGAACTATTTGATGAAATAATTAAACTGGATGTTAAGACATCTTCTGGTTCTAACAATATAGGTCCAAAGATTTTAAAACTGAGTGCTCCTTTCATAGCATCTTCCTTAACATACATTTTTAATCAAATGATTGATACTAGTATTTATCCATCTGTTTTAAAAAATGCCAAGGTAGCTCCAATTTTCAAATCTGGTGAAAAAAACGTAGTTAGCAATTACAGACCAATATCTGTTTTGCCAACATTATTAAAATTAATAGAGAGACGTGCATCTAAACATCTGTATAATTATATATTTGACAAAGTTTCAAATTTTACACCCTTCCCAGTCTGGTTTTAGACCTAACCATTCATGTCAAACTGCCCTCATTAATATCATTGATAAATGGCTACATGAAATGAATAATGAAAATATCAATTTGGCAGTCCTCCTGGATTTTAAGAAAGCTTTTGATGTTGTTGATCATGAAATTTTATGTAAAAAACTTCAAATTTATGGCTTCCATGAAGATACTGTTGATTTTTTTAAATCATATTTGAGTGAAAGAAAGTCCATATAAATAATCAGTTTTCTGATAAAAAATTTATAAATTTTGGTGTTCCGCAGGGCTCAATACTTGGTCCCATTTTGTTTGTTTTGTACATAAATAACCTTCCATTACACATCAAAAACTGCCATACAGACTTGTATGCTGATGACACAACTATGTATACATCAGGAAAGACTCGAAAGAGTATTGCTGATATGCAATTAAAAGTACATGATGATCTCCAATGTGTTGAAAAATGGTGTCATGAAAATAACATGTTCATATATTTGGATAAGATGAAATGTATGGTTATAGGTACAAGACAAAGGCTGCGTTTAAATCAAGCAGAACCAGTTCTAACTATTGAGAATAATATTCTTCAAAAATCATCAATTGAAAAACTTTTAGGTGTTAGAATTGACTCTAATCTGTCCTGGACAGGCCATGTTAATTACTTATGTTCATCAATATCATCTAGACTTCATTTACTCTCTAAAATCAAGAAATTACTAAATATTGATTCAAGAAAATTATTTCATAATGGTTATATTCTCCCACTGATAGATTATTGTTGTATTATTTGAGTGGTTGTGCTAAAAATGAGCTTGTCAGAATAATTAAATTGCAGAAAAGGGAAGCAAGACTTATTCTAGATGCTGATCCACTTTCATCATCAGCTTAGTGACACTGTTTAAACAGTTTGGGTGGATGACAGTAGAGAACAGAATCTCTTACCACAAATCTGTTTTGATGCAGGAATGCGTCTTGCAAAAATTTACAAGTTCCAAAAGCCAAAACAGAGCTGTATAAGAAATCTTTTATATATTCAGGATCTATTTTATGGAATAACTTACCAATATCCCTGAAAAAATCAACCTCAAGTACAAGCTCATTCAAAAAAGATTTAAAAAATTACTTGTTGGAACATTAAGAAGCTGTGTAATTTTATAGGCATAATAATTTTCACACACTTACTCAAACTTAAGATATTGGTGAGGTAATTTGAATGTTGCCAATACTATATGAATTTGTAATTTTTACCTGTTTTGAAAATTGCATATTTCATAAAAAAAATTTATTTCATTTTTTCATATATGTGTGTTTGTTTCATATTTTGTTATTGTTTGTTATATTTCATTGTATTTCATGAGGGCCTCAGGGAAGATTAGTTTTATAGCTAACTGTGTAACCCTCTATAAATAAAGAATTATTATTATTATTATTATTACAACTCAGAATGAAATATTTTCATATTTAAATTCTGATTCTTACTTACTTGTCATTTCATTTTCTTTGAAAAAGTATTTTAAAAGATGCTAATTATTTTGACTAACCTTGTGTATAAAATTCAATGTTATAAATGCATGCACTTAATTATATTTAATTGTTTACAGTATATGCAAGAAATACTCAAGAGTGGAGAAGACTTAGAATTCTTCATAGAAGGTGGAAGAACAAGGTCAGGGAGAGCTTATCATCCAAAAGGAGGCTTACTGTCTGTTGTCATGGACACACTACATGATGGTTTGTTAATAACTGCTTTTCCAGAAATAATTGTATAAATATTTTGTTGATGGAAGGTGATTTTTCAAAAGGTTTGGACTAGTTATTATGCCCCACCTATGATAGTAGAGGGGCATTAGGTTTTTCGGTCTGTGCGTTCGTTAGTTCGTCCAGACATTCGTTCGTCCATCTGTTTGTCTGTCCCGCTTCAGGTTTAAGTTTTTGGTCAAGGTAATTTTTGATGAAGTTGAAGTCCAATCAACTTGAAACTTAGTACACATGTTCCCTATGATATGATCTTTCTAATTTTAATACCAAATTAGAGTTTTGACCCCAATTTCACGGTCCACTGAACATAGAAAATGATAGTGCGAGTGGGGCATCCGTGTACTATGGACACATTCTTGTTTTTATTGTTTAATAATGACTATTTCTTTTCTGAATAATTTTACTATGTGTCCCACATAAAATGCATCTTGTAAAATTTTTTATTAGATAAATATGAAGGCAAAAAAGGGGAAAAATTTGCATTGATATGAAGGGTAACCCTTTCTGTTTAATTACCATATAAAAAAAAACTGATTAAAAATACTGTAAATTCAGAAATTATTACGAGGTTTTTATTATTGCGAATAATGCTACTGGGTGAGTATCACAATAATAAGAACTAGCATTCGGATATCTGATACATATATCTGTATGCATATTTTCCAGAAATCGCAATAATTAGTCTCATATTTATGTCCTTTATTCAAAAATCGCAATAATAAATGCATGCAATAATTTCTGAATTTACAGTTTCCAATCATTTACAGGGTTAATAGAAGATGCATACATGGTACCAATCAGTATTAATTATGAGAAGATTCTGGATGGAAACTATTGTAATGAAGAAATGGTAGGTTAAGATTTGAGAAATAAATTACATCATACAAAGGTATAATTATAACATGTACACCACAGATGTGTTGGTTGTATAAATTTGTGTTAACTTCAGACCCTTTTAGCATTAGTCAAATTTAGCTCTATAAAATTGAAATGACTTCAACATTATATGAATAGATGATATTAAAGATTTCCTAGGCTATATGTTGATGTGAAAGTTGATTCTGTCTTAATATTACACACTTTCCACAGAACTATATAACAAAATCCTGGGGAGTATATTGTATTTCACTTATCTGTGTAAATAAGTATTTCCTATAGAATGGAAAATGCATAAAATAAACTATGTGACTAAGGGCTGTTCCAGAAGAAAAAGTATGGGAGGATCGGATGGCAGTGCTAATAAATTTGCATGCCTGTTGGGTGCAAAATCATTTTGAAAATTATCCATGGTGAGTCATAAATTGAATCAATTTTGTGCATTGTGGGGTTTCTCCTTCATTGGAAATTCATGAAAACTTTTCAAATAATGTTTTATGATGGTGTTACAAAAAATAATTAAAATTAGAAGCTGTTGTTCTGATGTTTGAGTGCCAGACTCAATCATTTCAGATATTTTCTGTCTACCAGAAGTGTAATCGTCCTTGAGTTATCTCCCTTGACCCTTGTTGGTGTGTGGCTCAGTGGTTAAGACCATTGGCTACAGTACTGAAGGTCCCGGGTTCAATCTTGACTCTCGGTGTTGGAAATTTCAGTACATTAGAAGGGTGATTTTCTGCCAGCATGGACGTTGCCCTCCCCCTTAGTTATAGTTCCTCGACGTTGCCAAGTGGGATTTTGGAAGATGTTAGGAGATGGTTATCAAGTGAACCTGGCCTGGAAAACCAAAAAGATGTAACAATAGATAGAAAGAGAAATGTTCATTAGTTTAACCTAGAGTTCTGATGAATATTTTCTTGGGTAAAAACGACTTGTAAAATAGGGGGGGGGGATGAGTTGTAACAGTTGATTAACTAATTAATTAAGGATAAGGAGAGCTTCACCACCATTCTCTTTGCCTTGTTTCTTCCTTTGTCCACTCTTAAAGGTTTAGTAGAATGGTGATAAATTTGAAAGGACTTTCACTAGGGGGACCCCTGCCAATTTTTTTTTAAAAAGGGGGTTGGTGGGAATTCTAGGGAACACCCTGCCCATAGGCTATTCTCGAATTATGTATTTCACTGGAAAAGATTATCAATTACGCACTCTATACTCTCTTATGTCGTCATTTACGTGATAGAAGGCACACTGTATCCCTACACCTTTCAAGCATCTTCAGGATCATCATTCTGCAGGGTAGTCTAGAAATAGTTTATGTTCCGTAGGTACATAATCTCAATGTCCCGTACGACTGAAGTGAGGGTGACCAACTAATTAGAGTTTAATTTCCCGAATATTTCGTGCAGTATAGCATCAACTTTTTCACCCATTCCCTCATCATGTATTAGAAGTGACGATGCCTACATTTTTTGTCACATGGTGATGAGAGACACATGACAGATATGACTAACTACTGGATCTGGGAACTGGCGTATTTCAAATATTTTATCATGCCATGGGATACCAAGGACCAAAATTAAATTATTTTTCCTGTTGTATAACCTATCTCATACTTTTTTTTTTCTTTTTTGCCAGACCAAATTAACTTTAGTTTTTCCATCCTGCTCCCTCTTTCCTAAATTTTAGAGGAGAAAAAAATTTTCATGCTGGAGTAGAAATGTGGACTGCTTGCTTTATGGCCATAAACATTCAAAATATAATTACTCAAAAATAAAAATTAACCAATCAAAATAGAATTTTTCAAAGTAATATGCTCTGAACAAGAATTTTTTAATAACACAGAGAAAAAGATTGACAGAGAGGCCAAGCATTGCAGACATTTTAACCCCAAAAACCTGAGACTACAGTTGGGGCAAAAAGAACTCCCTTGAAAAGCTAATAGTAATATATTTTGCTCCTGTGGGTTAGCATATCCTACCATGCATGCAGGAAACTTTATTAGATGTCAAAAATAAGTTGTACCATTGTATACTTTCCATCAGATTAAATGAAATCACATTAATTGCAACATTTATACAAAATTCTCAGAAATGGTCCTGAATATGTGTAACTGTCATGTGTTCCATGTTTGCCATGTGTTCTGATTCTTAATAGGGAAAGGTGTAATAACACCTGAGTAAACATCCAATAAAACTGATACCTCCTTTCAAAATTCTTTGACCTGACAATTAAAACCAGCCTGATGTAAGTTTTTGCCCTATATTCCAACTTTATGCTAAAGTATGTGTCAATGAAAAAAATCCTCAAAGTCACACATAATGAGTTCCTAGTAATTTAAATAATAATTAAATATCACTGATTTCTTTCAGAACTCACCATTTGAACTCATGATTTGTAAAATTAAGGATTTAGTGCTCATATCAACATTATTATTAAACCTAATTCATAGTCCTTATATCCTATTGTAAATAAACTCCTGGGAAAATATTGTGTAGCAATGCCAGTGGTATCCATGTTTGAATGAAACATAAATCATAAGTGAAATAAAACTTTTATTATATATATATTCATCACTGATTTGACCCTTGGGGAATCTACTCAGCTAAAAAATGTAAATGTTTGCTCCATGCCTAAACCAAGAGCCTATGTGCATACTGAAAAGTAGCTAAGTATAGACCCCTGGCTTGACATCACACCAATCCAATTGGAACAATGGTTCCAAATAAATGTGTGAGGCTATCATGCCTATGAGGCTATCATGCCTATGAGGCTATCATGCCTATGAGGCTATTATGCCTATGAGGCTATCATGCCTATGAGGCTATGATCAAGCCTATAATGAGGTGATGAGGAAGCCTATAAGGAGGCTATGAGGAAGCCTAGTAGTGTTGATGTTGAATTGGTGTTGGAATGAATCTGTATGAAATTTGAAAGTTTATCCCCAGAAATTCTTGGGGGATGAGTGCAATTTTGAAACAAACAGTGATAAAATTTCATAAATGTCCATAACACAGATGGTAACAGCTGAGTGTCCCCAAGGATTTGTAAGTAAGGGAGGGGGTACCTTTGATAAAGCCACGAGAAAATATCATTGAAGCAAAGCTAAAAGTAAACATATAATAATAACACATTTATGAAATCATTAGTCAAACAATATCATACAGAAACTTCTTGTGAAAACATGCATATGAACAATTTGAAAATGAGCATTCCCTTAAATTCTACCTAACCTACTTTGAGCTGTTTTATAGATGCTGGTGTTACCCTAATGAATCTGATGTAACTATCTGAAAACCAGCCCTCTCATGTTTTTATCAAATGATCTGCCATTTTTGCCTTACCAGCACTAGTAGCTGCCCCAATTCTAAAGCTATGACCATTGAATTGCAGCATTTAAGAATTAAACATTTTTTTCTTCAATTTTATGCATGGTGGGTTAGCATGGGTATATTTACCACTTTTATTTTGTGCATGGTGGGGGTAGTAGGTAATTAAAGTTAATGCATAGTGGGTGCAAAAAAAATGCTTCTGCATTAGATTGGATTTTAGTACAAGTCAAATTTTGTGATTCCCCTGGCACAGGTTATGGATATTTGAAGATTCTCTCTTTTTTTTTAATTTTTATCAAGGGTCTTCCAAAAAAGCAAGAATCATTTTGGGGAGTTGTGAAAGGAGTAGTAAAAGTACTCAGTGGAAACTATGGTAGTGTTAGAGTGGACTTTAGTCATCCATTTTCTTTGAAGGTAAGTAGTTTTCCTGTTTTAGCTTAGACTGACTTCATTTGTACAATTGTTAGCTTTCTGGAAATAATGGTCAAATAGGCTACATAATAATTTTATGATTTTGGAAACTGCTAAACATTTGCTTTTAAGTCCATCTAGAAGTAAATGCAGTGCCTGGTCATGAAGACCCCTACCTTGCAGAAATTTAATTGGTCATTCCATAATCTTATATTATCTCAAATAAGTACGAGTCCTCTACCTGAATTGTTTTCATTTAATTTCTTTCCGTTCCAATGATGAGTCAGTTCTGAAGAAGCTCATATTAGGCCCATTAAAATTATTTGATAGATTTTCATCCCTGCACGCCCCTTTGAAATCGTCCCACCCGATTTTACTATTTTTTAAAAGTTTATGATTTCTGGATTGTTCATTTCTGTTACCGGTAACTGTTGATAATTTCTTTCATTCAAATTTTCCTGTTGCAAATTTTGATTTTCGTATTTCTTACAGTAATTTAATCAAAATAATTAAGTCGACATATTCTGCTGCTCTATGATGACAACATTATCTTCCGAGAATAGAGATTGATTACGGGAAGGGCATGAAATATTCGGGTTACGAGTAATAGGTGGTGTCAAAGAAAGAAAATTTCAGCGGTATGTCACAAATTTCAGTGATTAGAAAACCATGGTTTTTTTTTATTTTTACAATGACTTTGTGTCAGGAAATTTGGACTGTGAATCATATCCAAAGCACAAGAATCGTGGATCACATTGGTACAAAAAACAAAAAGTCTGCCAACGTACACAATGTATAATAGCAAGCCCTTAGAGCTGTTGTTTTTTGTTGACAAACAGCAAACACTCTCTGTCCCCAGCCCCTCAATAGAGTCAGAAAACAACTTTTTTTGGTTAAGTTCATGTTTTACATTGTAATTATATGTGCATCTTGCATAAGAATCATAAAAGCATCAACCCTAGTATTATTACACGTAAAACAGGTTAAGTTTTCATTTCACTCTGGACTTGAGATCATGACTTGTGTTGCATACCCTTGCATATGCTCCATTTTATAGGCACTACAAACCATAGCTTAGAAAGAAAAATAGATTTGATGTAGGTAGTCAAAAATAGAGCATGTCTCCACGTTTTTGCTATTTACTGAAAATAAGTTTCTAAAGCGGCAATTACATATAGAACAGTGGTTGCCAATCAGAAATATTTATTTGAAAAAATTATATAGAATTCCTTATATATACATGATATAAGCTTATTATTACCCTTGCATATGAAGAACACATTATAAAAGGGTTTCAGAAGAAATAAAATTTAAAAAAGAAAATCTACCTGCCCCATCTTTCAAAAAATTGGACGAAAATCTAATTAATTTTAGTTGGCCTTATATATTTGTTTATTACATACTAGGAATATATTTGTTTATTACATACTAGGAATATATTTGTTTATTACATACTAGGAATATATTTGTTTATTACATACTAGGAATATATTTGTTTATTACATACTAGGAATATATTTGTTTATTACATACTAGGAATATTTTTGTTTATTACACACTAGGAATATATTCAACGTAATTCTAATACCTCAATGATGTCTGACGATGATCTTCCAGACACACCATCACCTACTGGTATAAGGAATGATACAGACACAGCATCACCTACTGGTATAAGTAATGCTCCAGACACACCATCGCCTAATGGTATAAGTAAAGCTGGTAGTTGTAGTTCACTGTATGGTACAGATATTGTTATTGAAGATCAGAGACAATCAATTGAAAGTGTTGCAGAACATGTTCTCTACTGTAAGTTAGTGTTCCTAAAGATATTGTTGTGCTAGCTTTCATTCACGTAATAATTTACTTGCAGATCCATGATACCAATGGAAAGAATACCAGTGTATTTTAATATTGAATATGTTTATAATTTTCTTTGCATTACTTGGTTTGATTTGATATTTATAGTACGTACAAAATTCCTCTGGATAGATGAAAATGAGGTGAGTAATGTGTGAATTTTATCACTGTATTTTCATTTTAATGTTTTGCACTTCCGTCTCCAACAGTTGGGTCAAGATCTTTAATTAATTCTCCATAGGCGGTAATGGTTATGATTTCCTCTATTGCTCAGTCCATATCGTTTACTTGAATATGTATGGTGGCTCATATCGAAGCTGATACATTTATACATGTCTGGTTAAATTTTCGGGGTGGCAAGTGTGATTACTTTTTTCACAAATTGCCAGACCCCGGGAGATGGTGAAAAATGTCACTCTCCTCATGAAATAATCCCAAAATTCTGATCATAAAATTCATTAAAAAATTTTTCCTTTCTGATAATTTATTAAAAGTCAAATCTACATATTTCTTTTCTCATCACATCAGCTCTATAAAACAGTTCTTATTGTTCATTTATGTCCATTTTTAAAATCACAGCATCCACAATTGTATGGCAGACTAATATATTTTTTTAATTACGTCATCTGAGTTCCTCATCTCAAGGTCCATTAGGGATATTGACCCAGTTTGAATGAAATGACATTTTGTTATTGGAACATTTTCAAGCTCTTGGAAATTTTTTCGGGCAGAAAATCAGATTTTAAAGATCTGCATTTTCCCTAAAAGGATCACAATTAAAGTGTCATCATGACATGAATTACTCTGCATGTGCATCTGTCTCTGCATGTCAAGTCATAGTAATTTTTGAAAGCCTTACAGGATACAAATGGTACTTGGCGTTATTGTTACCCTCCACTAGAACTTAGTTCAACTTTACATCTCAATATTCAAATATCTTAAGCCATGCCTACATCAGAACTTTTGAATGCCATGAAGTATATGGATGACACTTGGCATTAGTGTTGCCCATTACAGAAGGCTTATCACAAATACTGTTGGAATGTAGGTCTGCAAGGTTACGGTCACAAATACTGTTGGAATGTAGGTCTGCAAGATTATGGTCACAAATACTGTTGGAATGTAGGTCTGCAAGATTATGGTCACAAATGCTGTTGGGATGTAGGTCTGCAAGGTTACGGTCACAAATACTGTTGGACTGTAGGTCTGCAAGGATACAGTCACAAATACTATTGGAATGTAGGTCTGCAAGGTTACAGTCACAAATACTGTTGGAATGTAGGTCTGCAAGGTTACAGTCACAAATACTGTTGGAATGTAGGTCTGCAAGGTTACAGTCACAAATGCTGTTGGGATGTAGGTCTGCAAGGTTGCAGTCACACATACTGTTGCAATGTAGGTCTGCAAGGTTACAGTCACAAATACTGTTGGGATGTAGGTCTGCAAGGTTACAGTCACAAACACTGTTGGGATGTAGGTCTGCAAGGTTGAAGTCACAAATACTGTTGGGATGTAGGTCTGCAAGGTTAGGGTCACAAATACTGTTGGAATGTAGGTCTGCAAGGTTACAGTCACAAATACTGTTGGGATGTACGTCTGCAAGGTTACAGTCACAAATACTTTTGGAATGTAGGTCTGCAATTTTACAGTCGCAAACATTGATTCAAATTTATATCCAACTCCTTATGAATGCCTTAAAGGATATTATTGTTGCCAAGATGGTGTTTTGCAGATAAGGTCAGAATGTTTATCTGCAAGGTAAAAGTCTATCTAAAAATAAGGGGATATGACTACCAATGAGACATTATGTTCAGAGTTCTAATGAAATGGATGTAAGCAACTATAAGTTACCGTACTACCTTCAATAATGAGCAAAACACATACCATTAAGTCATCTATAAAAGGCCTTGACATGACAAAATGTGAAACAATTCAAATGAGACAACCAATGGCCTGTTTTATGACGAAACGAAAAAAGCCATATCCTTTGAACAAAAGTGATGCTATGTAAGAGAAATATTCATGAAAGTTTCCCTTTTGATGTTGTTTGTATTCAAAGCTCAAGTGAAACTAAATGAATCATAGCATTTGCACATTATGTTGTCAGAATCCTCCTTTAAATATTTCTTAATAATATTAGGGAACCTCATCAGTTCTGTGTTGCATTCAAAGGACACATCAAATTAATATAAAGGCGCAGATATTTCAATATTATGAATGATCAATCAAAAAGACACAACTTTATTCAGTTATTATTTTTTTACAGACAGTGTACAGTCTCAGTCATTGATGTGTACTAATCTTGTGGCTTTCCTTCTACTGACAAAGTACAGAGAGGTATTCATAATTAATATTCTCATACATTTATAAATATATGATTGAAGTTGTATCAGTTTTTTGTATTATTGATGAGAAAAATAGTTTCTTGAATCTATACTGCAAAGGTATTTTCCACCTACCCAATCCATGTTTTGTTTCAAATGAGAAAAACATTTCTCCTTTTGTTCAATTACACTGAATATCAATACAGATAGTTCAGTTAAACATTTGAAATGTAATTCCATTCTTTTGCTATCAAGATTTTAGCAAAAACAGCTGCATTTAATAAAACCCCAAAATATGTCAATTTGTGATATTAGGCAGTAATGTAGGCTGTAGCATTTTCTTCAATTTCTCTGCCCATATTATAAACTTGGATATGTATGATGACACATTTCCAAGCTGAGATATTTTCACATTTCTGGAAACAAAATGGGATTTAATTTTCCACAATTGTGCAAACCCAGAAAAGCCCTTTTGTTATGCGGCTTTGAGGTAGAAAATCACTTTTTTTTACACAAACAGTTCTCTGGAAATTGAGTTCTTTGCAAACATTTAATTACTCAATAGTTTTTACACCTTTATTCAATGGTCATCAGCTCTTCTAATTAGCACAAATGGTTAAACTTAGTTACTTGTAAAATATAGCAAAACGTCCCAATATCACTGCACATAGATTTTTTGTTTGCATATTATTATTGAGTATATTTGTACCTTACTTTGAGGTTCTTTAAGGATATTGACCCAAATGAACAAGTATCTCAGTGAATCTTTAGAAAGACATACATAGTTTTTCAATACCACAGCAGAGAGGGTAAAAAAAGGATATACTTTTACATATACCCTGGTCATGATGTAATACCAACCAAATTCATCTGATAAAAGAAAATACAATAGCTATCGACTAATTAAAATACAGCATTCTTATATTAGGGATGTTCCAGAAAATACTATGTCCCCCCCAGGGAAGGCAATTTTTTTAAATTTTATGTGGGTGGTTGTATTTGAAATACCAAAATGCAAAGAGAGTGTTATTCTAATTTATTTTTATTTCTGTGGGTGGTGGGGGTTAAGAAAAAGTGCCGTCCCTGGAGAGGGACATAGTATTTTCTAGAACAGCCCTTAGGTGCAATTAAACAAAGAATTGTATGGTTGCCTTAATGTGAAGATACAGATATTATATGCAGTGCTGATTTTTTTTTATAACAGGGAACAACTGTAAAACAACTGATACGTGATATTGATTGGTTAAAGGGAGAATTAAGATTTAGAAAGAGAGATGTAGGTTTTGTTGGAGATACTTCAGAAGTATTGGAATATGTCTTGGAATTATTGACTGAAAATTTAGTAATAAAAATGTAAGTTTGAATTAGACTATATAAATGATATCATTTACCTTCATTGTAAAGAATTCATTAAGATACTCCTGTGTTCATTTAGTGTTTTTAATAAGTGACTCAAATTAACAGTATATTATTAATGATATTAGCCTGTTTGATAGATTAATGAAAATGCAATGGTCTTACAAATAATCTGTATTTACCAAAGTCATAACAACTATAGGCATACAACATATAAACTACACACAGTATACATAGATAGCAGAAGATAGTGTGAAACATATTACAACATATAAACTACACATAGTATACATAGAATAGCAGAAGGTAGTGTGAAACATATTACAACATGTCAGATCTTTATTTTTTTGCTCAAAATATGAATTTATCCAAATTACATAGCTCTCTAAGATTATTCGAACTCATTAATGGTATATATTTATACATAGAATGTTTCCTCCAATAATAAGGCTAATAAAATAAGATCTAAGACCTTGTTAAGTGGGACATTTTAAAATGAAATGATTTAATTAGCCATGTTTTAAAAGTGCTTTAGATGAAAGCAAATAAGCGAAAAATCAATTTTGGTATGAATTGGCAAGAATATACATTGTTTTGAGCATTTATTTATTAATTCATTGTTATTCTAGATAAAATTGATTGTTAACAATTTAAAAGTTGCAATCTACAAGCCATGCCAAAAAAGCTTAAAAAATTAATTTTAATAACAAATTTTTTGAATTCACGGATTTTCTGGACTGATACAGGCGGAAACCTAGTTGAAATTAAACAAAAGAAATGGAACTCTTTGTTAGAGAAGTTAAAAAATCAAAATTGGTATATTTTAATTGTTTACACTGTTTCTATGGGCTTTAAAAGTTTAAAAAAGGGGCATAATTTAGGATTTTATGAATCTTACATACGTGTTTTTACATGAATTATAGTATGCAGCTTCGAGATATTTGTAAACTTTTAAATAATAAAAAATTTTCACAAAACAGTTTATTGTGGTAGGTGCAAATACAGTTGGATCTTTTTTGTGCATAAGCATGAATTCCGCCGAAAAAATTCTAAAGAAAGATAACAGATTGACCCTTTTAAAGCAGTAATTTGCATCTCTGCCCCCGGCTAGTTTTTTTGAAAAAAATCCCGAAAATGGGCAATAATTTCATCAAAAAGAGAAAGTGGAGTACACCTGTTTTTGTTTAGGCGTGTTTGAGTTGACTATTATGACTTGAAAACGTATAAAAGAAAATATTTCACACATTACCTCGCTTCAGATTCTATTAATTTTATATTTTGAGGCTCTAGGTTGATATAATAACATTAAAAATTTACAGTACTAAAAAATAAAATATATGGGTCAAGTGAAATACCTTTCTAGTGAGTCATAACAACAGAATAGGTGTGTTCGAATAACAAATTTTTACTAAAAGTACTTGACAACATACTTTTCAGTTGGATCTTAAAAATGCATATCTTCATAAAAACTTCATTTTTTTTGTGTGTTATCTAGGTTAATTAGTCTTCAACCTCTGAAAATTTTTAGTCTGCCCTTCCATGAAATATTCAATTAGATTTTTTTTTAATATTTTTGAACTTTCAAAAATTCCACCTGACAACCGATCAGATAAAAGTTTTAAGTTGATCAGATGCATAAAAGTGGATTGAATGATGCTAAATAGCTAGTAGATACATTTATCTTTTAAAATACAACTTGAATATAAGGATGGTAATTATGCTATGTGGATATATTTATTGGTTTTCAAGAGCTTAATTGACGGCGCGTCATCACTACAATGGCTTTCATTTTTACGATTATAAAAATAAGGTGGCGTAATGGAGAGATAATTTTGATGAAGTAGAATCCTGACTGGATGAGAGTACTGTGAAAACAATTTTGTTTATGGAAGAAAGTTTTGTGTTTTGCAGGAAAGTTATCATTTTCATTAGCTTTTGAATTTGAAGTTTCAGACAATTTGTATTTAAATCAATGGATATTGCTGGTTTTTGATAATTGAGTTAATTGTTTGGATGAAATCACCTCGAAACTAGCACTCTATAAAGAAATGTGACCAGACTTAATGTTATCTGAACAAAAAGAGGTTTTAATGAATGTCTCATTTACACCTACTTTGCATGCATTGCTGCATAACTTTTATTCTCTAAACTGCTTTGCATGTTTGATATCATTAACGGCGATACAGACCACCTTGAAATATTTGATGATAATATTCACTCATTTATTGGTAAAGACAAATACTTAAATGCTGTATACAACAACAGGAGAAGCTGAATGTATGAATGTTAAAGATGAGATAAGCTTGACTTTTGCACAAACAAATAGTCACATAACAAAAAACAACCAGATTGTAATAATTGTTATTGTCAGGGATGTTATGTATTTGATTAAATATTAAATATATTTTTGTCCTCAGCAGTGACACCAATATCAAACCATGTACAGAATTACCACAGATATTTGAACTCAGTTATTATGCAAATCCAGTGCTTTCAGTTTTTCTGCTGGAGAGTGTTCTAGGTATGTAGTAATTTCAGTTTGTTGTCTCGCCTTGATGGAGTCAAAAAGCGAGACATAGGTATGCTGTTTCCGGCGGTGGCTGCTTCGGCGGCATCATCAAAAATGTATTAGTTAGTGTTTAGGTCTAGTTTATGGTGAACCACTAGTGGTAGGTCAATGATATTTGGTATGCATTTGTATTAGCATTAGCACATCTCATTTCCATGGAGATTACTTGGCCCCGCCCCCTCAGTCCTGGTCGATTGACTTTGAAACTTTGATTAGTTTACATGTATTAGTTTGTGATTAGGTCAGTGTATGGGGAACCACTAGTGGTAGGTCAATGATATTTGGTATGCAGTTGTATAAGCATTGGCATATTTCATTTCCATGGAGATTACTTGGCCCCGCCCCCTCAGTCATGGTCTATTGACTTTTGAAACTTTTGCTTAGTTTTCATGTATTAGTTTGTGATTAGGTCAGTTTAAGGGGAACCGTTAGTGATAGGTCAATGATAATTGGTATGCAGTTGTATAAGCATTATCACTTCTCATTTCCATATTAGTTTGTGATTAGATCAGTTTAAGATGAACCACTAATGTTAAGTCAATGTTATTTGTATGCATTTGCAAGTTTCATTTCCATGGATATTGTATAACCCCACCCCCTCATTATGGTTCATTGACTTTGAAACTTTTACATAGTTTACAAGCTAATGTTTGCGTTTAGGCTTGTTTAAAGGGAACGACTTATGAAAAGTCAATGGTATTTGGTATATAGTTGTATTAGCGTTGGCACATCTCATTTCCATGGAGATTGTTTAGCCCTGTACCTTCAGTCATGGTTCATTGACTTTGAATATTTGCATAACTTACATGTTAAAGTATTGCTATTTTAATTTCAACATTTGCATTATCAAAATAACAAATAGGTGAGACATATCTCTGTGTTAACAGTTTATTTGTTTATATGAATGCCATCACATCAGAATAATTTCTTTTTTTAAGAAAGAAAAATATTGGGTAAATATCAATGTGACAAAAAACTTTGACAACAAACACTCTTAGAAAAGTCATAATTTGACAACATGTTGCTGAATTCTAAAGCAAAACCTGATTTTTATGCCCCATTTATGGGCATTATGTTTTTCGGTCTGTGCGTCCATTCGTTCGTCCGTCAGTCCGTCTTTCCCGCTTCAGGTTAAAGTTTTTGGTCAAGGTAGTTTTTGATGAAGTTGAAGTCCAATCAACTTGAAATTTAGTACACATGTTCCCTATGATATGATCTTTCTAATTTTAATACCAAATTAGAGTTTTGACCCCAATTTCACGGTCCACTGAACATAGAAAATGATATTGCGAGTGGGGCATCCGTGTACTATGGACACATTCTAATTTTTCATGTTTAATTTGGCTACTGGAAACTTTTGTATTGGTAGATTCCTTAAAACAATATTTTATAAATACAAATATTAATGCAATTCCCTCACTTTACTTTATTTCTAACAGTTCTAGGAAAGATTAGATTTTGTTACTTTAACAGAGCAACAAGTAGTAGGTGGAGGTGTATTGAATAGATAACTGGGACAAAAATCTTATGAAATACAAGGAAACAACCAATATGTCAAAGAAAAAGTACCATGGGTTTGGAAATGTTTTCATGCAATTTCTGCAATTTTCCTTAAGCATTACAAGCAGGTTTGATGTAATATAAAGAGATGTGGTATGATTGCCAATGAGACAACTATCCAACCGAGACCATATGATATAGATGTTAGCAACTATAGATCACTGTACAGCCTTCAACAATGAGCAAAACCCATATCACATAGCAAGCTATAAAAGGCCCTGATATAACAAAATGTGAAACAGTTCAAGCAAGAAAACCAACGGCCTGATTAATGTACAAAACAACAATTTAAAAACAAATCTAATATGCAGCAACAAACAACAAACAACAATAATTACAGGTTCGTAACTTTGAGACAGGCACATACAGAATGTAACATGGTTGATTATTGTTGCTGGTTCCCAACCCTCATCTTACCTGGAAGAGTGGTGTAAAAGCACAACATAAGAACAAACTTTAAAAATCAGTTCAAAAGGGTTTGACTCATCAGATCGATACAGAGCACACAAAACAACTAAAGAATACACTGAAGACACAAAGTACTGATCTTAGAGTACTCAAAGCTACTGAAAGCCAGTTACAAGGCAAAAACAACTAATAAAAAATTCATAAATCGAAGAAAAAATATCAATCTATACATATTCAATAGATTTAGTGTAAAAACTTCATAAACAGTCTACAAAAACATGACCTTTAGCAAAGCAAAAATATAAATGTTCGACATTTTCACCTGGGATGTACAAGTAATCAATTTCTGTTTGAGTAGATTATTTTCATTTGAGATGCAATGGTGTGCATTTTATAATTCAGCATGGTTTTTAACATAAAAGTAATTGTAATGCATGGTTAACAGCTTTTTTTCAGGGGTGATTAATTAAACTAGAAATGTACATTGATTTATAAAATGGTGCAATTTCAGTTTTCAATTATTGGTTTTTGTCACCAGAACTTTTCAAGTAAAACATTAAGTTTTTTTTTTGTTCTGGTTTTAAATCTTGATTATAATTTGCATTCACTACAAAGGTACATTTTGTCCAGGTATTATATCTATTATACATTTAAATTTCAAAATTATACTTCTTTCAAAAGACATTTTTTCATGTGTTTATAATAGTGTAAATAGACATCGGTAGTAAGTATTGTTTCCAAATATACACAAGTTAAACAACAATAATCTTAGCATATTGTTGATGATATACAATATGTTTGTCAGTTGGAGAAACCATGGACTAAATTGTCTTAATGATCCTGATCACTTGCAAAATTTTGGGTAAAAAGCTGATGACTGTGATGAACCCTCGGGTAAACCTTTGTGAAGTATGAGGGCCATTTGTATTGTAGAATACCCACAAAATTTAAGTTTAATTATCTTAGAGTTATTTAAGTAAAAAGTGGATGATTCAATTCATGGCATGCTGGTGTCTAAAAAAACAGAATGACCAATCTTCATAGATAATTATGTCGGAGATCTAAATATTTTTCAGTCATCTGTTTCAAAATTGTTGGTCATGTCCTTTGATAAAGATAGACATAGATGGATATATTTCTTTAGTAGCCACACATGAATACAGTTTTTTTTCCCTTATATTCTGTTTACAGCTTGCTCTGTGATATTCCATTGTGATATAGATATGTCTTCAGTAACCACACAAAGAGAGGATGTCACAGCAAACAGAGAAGATATACTTACAACAGCACAATCTCTCTGTAAACTTCTTAAATATGACTTTATCTTCTGTCCAGTAAGTTACTCTCAATATATTCTTAAGTGATGCTAGAATCAAAGATCAATATCTGTAAGCTCATCTTTAGATGTAGTTTGATGACTTATGATGCTTGCAGATATTATTGCGAACCAAATGAAACATTTTCACAGAGTCATCTCCTCTTGGTCAAGGTATTTAAACTTTTGTCAGTTCTATTGTCCCATTAAATAAATACAATAGCTATTGTTATCTGTGTAGTTTATTCACAGGGACCTTTAAATTTCTACTAAGAGAAATCTAAAAGCTATTGTATTTATTCAATTGGACAATAGAACTGACAAAAGTTTTAATACCTTGACCAAGAGGAGATGACTCTGTGGAAATGTTTCATTTGGTTCACAATAATTTGTTTGGCTATAGACATATTTGACTTGACTAAAAGAACAACCTTATAGATTCAGGGGAGCCTCTACATAATAATTCATCACTGATTTATCTTTGGTTTACTTGTTTTCTGCTCTTCATTGGTTTGAATTAAATAATGACTTTTTTGTGATTGGGGTTTACAGGAATTCCCTTGTCTGTCTGTCCATTTGCCTTGCAAGTGGAACTTCTGATATTTGATAGATTGATTGATATTGATGATAAAGGGGACTTACATCATTTTGCAATTTGCGGTTATAGTTTCTCCTAAGCACAAATCCTACTAAATGGCTAGACAGATATTAATGAAACTCAGACAGTTGTCGAAAAACACCTGAGGATGTGCTAAAAAGAATTTATTGCCGGACAGACATGTTCAATGGGAGACAATCAAATTTACTTCAATATTGCAACATATGGTAAAAATAGTATCTAATAAGGCGGGGTTATCCATTTGTGACTTTACACACAGTTTCAGTTGTTTGTTATTTCAATAATTTGTCCATTTCAGCCATGTAAAAGGTTAGAGGAAGAATTAGCTGATGCTTTAGATGAATTAGTAACATCAGAAATCCTTAAAGTACACGAGGTTTGTATCAACATGAATATAATTCAAAGTAAAACATAAAGATCTAGAACTGATCAAAATGTGTTTAATAGAAATGAGAAGATGTGGTATGAGTGACAATGAGACAACACTCCATCCAAGTCACAATGTGCAAAAAGTTAACAATTATAGGTCAAAGTACGGCCTTCGACACGTATAGCCTTGGCTCACACCAAACAGCAAGCTATAAAGGGCCCCAAAATGACTAGTGTAAAACAATTCAAACAGGAAAACTAACGGTCTAATCTATGTCAAAAACGAGAAACACTTATGAACCACATCAACAAACGACAACCACTAAACCCTACTTGTGGTACACTCTGACAGCCTTGGATCTCATATCACTTCTGTTGCTGCGGCAAGATCAGTTGTGGAATGCTGCACTCATTTTCTGATATTCATACATATCTTGCTTTTTATTTGATAACTGTTAACATTATGAACAAATGTTTTGTTTAGAAATGTCTATATGGTGGTTTACTTGAAATATTTGGTTAATTTGCATAAGAATTAACCAAAATTGATTTGCAATGGAATACTGTAGATTCATTATTTTTGTGGAATAGTACAAACAAATGAAATGTTCGTGGATACTTTATGTCATGGTTCTGGCAAAATCTCTGTATTGTTACAATTTAAACTTCTATTGAATAGGATGATTATGGATGTGGTGATCCGCATCAAAAGTGGGCTCGTAATTTATCTGCCACAGTGTCATGGGATGATGATGAAGAAAATGAAGCTTTCAATGAACAATTACTGAAGGTAAGATTCTAATTGTGCAATAAATATCAATAAGTTAATTGATTTTATATTGTTTTTATACTTATTTAAATGTTTATTCTAAAATCAGTTTTTGAAGGCAATATTTTATCCAAATACAAATAATTCATCAATTTACAACTTACATTTCACTTTATAGTTAACAGAGATAAACCTTAAATAACATGCTTTCAAGAAATTTTCTTCTTTCTTTCTTCTTTCATGCCTGAAATTTTTAATTACAATTATCAAGCGATAATATCTGTCCATCATTGTTTGATATTATTTTCATGCCCTTTAAGTTAGATTTCAGGTCAGTAGCACTTTGACATTAATCTCAATTTCAGAAATGTACATTTTGTGGATTGCTTTTTAGTCTATAACATTTAAAATCTGTTTTAACAGACATATGATTTTGATGCAATTGTTTTTATGTTATAGACAGTTGAAATACAATCGCATACAACTTATATCTAGGGCTAAATGAAGTAGTAACCCCTAATAGCTGTATAAACAATAGACATATGTTTCATTTACTTATAATTTTGATAAACTTTTTTAGGTTAATGCTCATCGCTCAGATTGCTTCAACAAGCTCTTGTTTCTGTACACAGTCCTAGCTCCTATACTGGAATCCTATTATTTAACAGCTCTTCACATCAGTAGAGATTTAGCTATGGAGCTTCCAGGTAAATACATAATAATTTGATGTTGAGGATTTTTGTTATGTCAAAATTTGTTCTTTGTAGTTTGAAAATACAATATCCTGCATCAACTGCAGCTTACTTCCCTTTAACAATGTTTAAGGGTCATTATCAAAGTCAACATCCTGTATAAGATATGTGCCTTCAAAAAACGAAAGTAAAGATTTTGACAACATAATTTTGCACAAATAAAGATTCTATTGCAGATATTAGTTACGCTAATGTTGCACACTTCGAATGATGCACTGTCAATTTAACAGTTTACGTCAGTACATAGAATTTGTATCAAAAGTCAAGTTTAATATCATTTTTATGTCAATCATTGGTTACATGATGGCCAACTGATTACCATGATTGCCTTTTGTTACTAAGTCTTAAGGGGTTAAAATCGAGATAAGACAAAATATGTCCGGCTGCCACAAATATTTTTTGGAAGCCCTGCATTAAGGCAAAGGTCATGGTCACAGAGCCATGAATAGATGGAAATTTGGGGTACTGTAAATTCAGAAATTATTGTGTTCATTTTTATTGCAATTTTTTAAGAAAGGTTAAAAATGTAAGATTAATTATTGCATTAATTTTTGAATTTTCAGTACATTATTACCAAAACAAACAAAAATACAGTACAGACAGAAAAACTATTATTATTTTACATCCATCAAAAAGGAAAATATAATGGTATAGCTTTGTCCCTCTGTCTGTCTGTCTGATTTGTCATTCCAGAGTAATGGGACTTATACTATCAGATTGAAGGCAATTTTTCACATATCACACACTAACATGAGTATGCTTATTTTGAAAAACTTCAAAATGTATATTATTGTTAGGATTGATGAATATAATGGCAAATGCTTATATACCTAAGGATATCCTTTGCATGTTTTCTTCAGGGCAATTCTACTGACTTATGATTCAAAGTCTTCTACAATATTCTACTTTATTCTTGCAACATTTTTAATATGCATATGACAACTGTATCATGCACTCCTGGGGAACCTGTTTATTTTTACTACAAATCTATAAAAATTGCACATTGAATTATGCACCCATAATGCAACAGTAACTTTTTACCAGTTGAATATATGTAAAACCCTAACCCTAACCCTAACCTTCGTTTTAATTTTACCTGTTGATACAATTTGTAATGTATTTTTGTTTTTAACAGTGGGAAAGCCAGTGACATTGAAGAGTTCCTTCCGGTGGTCACGCGGGAAAGGGGACATAATCTAAAAATTTCGAGGTGGCGCTGTAACCAGTGTGTAAACAAAAAACGTAGCATATGATTCAGACAATAAATTTATCAAAACGACTTATCATCCAACAGTATTTGCGATTTAATCTTCATCAGAATAGATTTTGTCACATGACTGCCAAAAATATATTAAAATAAGTGCTTCATTATTGAAATATGATAAATCAAAAGACTACCTCCGTTGATTTCCAAAAAAACGCGGGTAATACCCCCGTCTGAAAATAACTGGCACAATTGCATCCTAAAGCTTTTCATTGGCTGAGATATAAATAAATGTGACCCAGAAACATATGGGCACATGACTATGTAAAGAATTCCCTGTCACTTCGAGTCTTGTTTACATAATAAATACCTCAACCGGAGGTCAAAATTCAACAATTTTCTAACGTTTTGGGAGTTATTTCATTGCAAAATGGAGCAGATGATGTCAATTTTACCAGTTTTTAACCACGAAATTGATTCAGAAAATGAAGTGTGATGATGTTTCCTGGATTTTTAATATGTTTTATATTAAAATGTTGATAGGTTGAAGGCTTTACTCCGTCATTTGTTGATTTTTTTCATGTTGCTCTGACTCCTTGTTTCAATAATTTTCTGCATTTATTTAATTATGCTGCAGTGTATAACAGATTTATGTAGTACATTGAAACTGGTTTATTCTATGAATGAATTTGTCAATATAAATGACTTCAGTTGTCTGGAAGCGTCCCACCCCCCCCTTTCCCACTTTCAAGAAATTTCAGTTGGACAAAAAATATTGTCTGAATGAAATGATTGCACAAATGCAAAGTGTAAACACTCAGCTAATCTCTGTTTTAAGCCATTTTATAGTCCAAAGATTACAGTCGTTCTTTGTTTCTGTAAATATTTACCTGAAATGTGTCAACTTGTCAATTTTAAAAATATTAAAAGTATCAATCATCAAATATTGCCTGCCTGCCACTGTGACATGAAAATCTGATGAGTCAATATTTTTCACTTGATTTTTAGTCTTTGTTCTTGTTGTATAAATAAAACTACTAGGCAAGTGGGAAGTTAACACACACACATTTGTATTATGCCTGTCCTTATCACGGAACCTGTTGTACACTAACCATTCATGTTTAAGTGTGTCTGGGTCCTGGGGCATGTTTAACTCTTGATAAAGAATTGCTTTAATCAAGAATTTGGGAACAAATATTTGTCATTGTGTTCTCAAAATTTGTGCATGTTCTTAAAGAATTGTTTTGAAAAAGTTGAAGAAACTGTTCAGTATCTTATCCAGTTTAGTGGCCATTCATCAAATTTGTTTTTCTTCCATATATATATATATATATAGAAGTTGTATTTATTTTATCATTAGTTCTGGATTTAGAATTTTTATCACATGCTGTTTTATAAGGTCCTTTATACTTAATAAATTGGTTTGCAAATTGTTGAAGGCTAAAACTGTTACCTATAATTATCATCCTCTATCAATTGTCAATCATGTCAATATGGGTTTCTTTTAAAACAACTTTTCCCAAGGAAAAACTAAAGTTGAAAAAAATAGTTCAACCCAGATATACTGCTGCTGAAGAAACTAACATTAACAATGGTATTTTTCAAATATAGCATTCATTAATTACACTATTCCTTCATTGAAAATGAAAAAAAAATATTTTAAATTGAAGGCATCCAAGGGCTTTCCTGGATTAACCTTCAACAGGAATGCTCAATGCCTAGTACATACAAGTCTTAATACACATGAGAGCTATATGACCATTAAGAGCCTTAAAAAAAAGCTATATCGCTTCTGAGGTCTACTTTGAAGATGGCATATGAATGTCTCTTTCTGATTTTGGTGATCCTGTTTTGTTGAGTTGATATTAATGTTCGACCCACAACTTTTATTTCACACTAATCTTTTTCGAGGTCTATCATGATGGAAATTTTAGGTACTGTAAATTTAGAAAGGATAGCAAAGTTTTTAATATTGCAATAATGTGAGTGGGTGAGTATCTAAATAATAAATTGCATTATGCAAATCCTGTGTCCAAGCTTATTACAAGAAAACAAAGCTTGGACACAGGATCTATACTTTAATCAGATTCATACCATTCCTATATCTATGTGCTGATTTTTCTGCAAAAGCAATACCATTTCACACATTTTATTCCATTCTTCAAATTTGCAATAATAAAAGCACACAATAATTTGCAAAATCATGCGATTACATATAGGAAAAGGGCACCTAGGCATCTCATTCTTAATACTACACAAGGAGCAGGATCTGCTTACTCTTCCAGAGCACCTGAGATCATCTGTATTTTGTGGGTTCAAGTTGCTCAGTTTTCCTTTTTCTAATTTGTATATTAGTTTAAACTTTTCATCAAATAGTATGAAAACAGAGATATGTATCTGCTGAAAATGATTTATTTAGGTGCAGGGGTCACCACACTTCAAAATCTCCCTAGAAGCATATAACAGTGAAAAGTCATGTCATGAGAGGCCATTAGAGAGACATCGAGGATACCTCTGGGAGAAGTGAATGATTCTAAAACCACTCCGTTTAAGTCCTTCACACCTAATAAATCATTAAAGTAGAATTTTTACTTCTTTGATATTTTTTTATGTCTCAAATACTACATTACATACATGTATATGGCTAATATGCCTGTCCCAAGTCAGGAGCCTGTAATTCAGTGGTTGTTGTTTGTTTATGTGTTACATATTTGTTTTTTGTTCATTTTTTGTACATAAATTAGGCCGTTAGTTTTCTCGTTTGAATTGTTTTACATTGTCATTTCGGGGCCTTTTATAGCTGACTGTGCGGTATGGGCTTTGCTCATTGTTGAAGGCTGTACAGTGACCTATAGTTGTTAATTTCTGTGTCATTTGGTCTCTTATGGAGAGTTGTCTCATTGGCAATCATATCACATCTTCTTTTTTATAATTGCTTTGCATCTATGAATGTTTAATTGTATTGCAGCAGCAGCATTGTCTCATGTACATCTACCCCATGTTATCAATATAAAATGATTAAGGTGTTTCACTTTGTATATTTAAAAATATAAAAATGTTAAGAAAAAAAAAGTTTATTAAAAGATAAATAAATACAAATGCATAAAAATAATGTTAAAATGAAACATATGTATTTAATATCTTAAATAATTATAAGTAAATTAAAGCTTCAATCAAATGACCAAAATTTAATACAACTTAATACTTTGAAAGTTAAAAAAACAAACGCATAACAATAAGTTTAAAATTTAAGACACATTATTGTTAAAAAGTCCAAGTAAAATTAAAAATGGGTCAAATAGTCCTCTGTTCCATAAATCCTCAAAATGGAAGTGTTTCCTGCTCTTCTTTATTCCTTATTTCTATTGTTATCTGTAAAATATAATTCATGCATATGATATTAAATGAAAATAATTTCTAACTTCTCTAGAGTTGTCATATGAAATTATAATATATATTTTAATTGTCTACTGATTCTTATGTGGTCCAAGTTTTAATTTAAATTGAATGTTTCTAATTTCACTAATGTAAAACTAATCAGATGTGAAATAATTGCCAATGAGACAACTATCCCCAAAAACTTAAATGGAGTGGCTATAAGCAATTTTATGCTACACTAACGCCTTCAATCATGAGAAAATCCCATAATGTATATACTTAAGTTTGTTTTCTGATGTTTGTTATTATTTTTGAAATTGAAATTATTCTAAATTTAATCTTAAATAATCAAAAGTATGTATATAAGCTTCAATAAAAATAAACAAAAAAATTTAGACTTTTGGTGTAAATAAATAATTTATTTTAATGACTTTATATGATATGTCTGATAAGAAAAGGTCATAATCATATACAGCAACATATGTTCAAAGAAATTTTTCTATTTATTTATTCATTTACTTCAGTATCTTAACATGTTAAAGTTAAATTCATCACTATAATAACATATCAATATTTTTAATAGATATTAATATATATCTAAATAAAGTTTAACACTTCATATGCAACATTAAATTATCATATCTGTTATTTCAAAGGTAACTTTTCATTCAATCATTCATATCTTTAATTCCTCATAAATGATATTAAATATAAGTTAACGTCATAATCACAAACAAAATATCAGTATGAGAGCAAAAATATAAAGTAAATGCACAAGTAAGTCTGCATTCAGGCTGTGAGTTCAAACTCTCCATGTGCAGGTTATCTGAACTCCAATCAAAATTGATTAGGATTGCTGTAACCAAAGGTCTGTGGTTATCTATGAGCATTCAGGCATCCACCACCAATAAAACCTGGCCACAACACCTAGCCAATACTGAACGTGGCGTTAAAAATCAACAATCAATCACATATAATTTGTGTGTTTTTTTAGCATGGAAGGAGGGGTAGAACTGATACTTTCCTACTGATTAATATTTCATATACCTGAAATCTGTTCAGTGGCGGATCCAGAACTTTTCATAAGGGGGGCCCGCTTCAGTCATGCTTCAGTGATTCCCTATATAATCAACAAAATTTTTCCCACAAAAAAGGGGCCCGCCCCCTGGATCCGCCTATGTTTTTCCTGACCATATATGCATTATTTAACAAAAAAAATGGTACTGTTGTTCATATAAACAAGGGTCAGGATGGGGTGTCCTCCATTTCTATATTATTTAATTTTTAAGGTCATTTGTCTCTATTCTTTATACTTTTTGCCCATCATTCTCTTTTCTCAATAAATTAGCACAACATTATTCTCTATTCCTTATATTTTTTAGTCAATTTTTCTCTATTCTTTATACTTTAAGCCATAGTTCTCTATTCTGTAAACCCCATACAAACCGTAAGAAATGATGGGTAGAGGTTTAGGATAAAATTAAACTATAGTTGTTATTTTTTTGCTATATTATGTTTGTTTTTGTTTTCTGTCGCACACCAATTGTGATTAAATATAAATATTAAAATATAATAAAACCATGCATTACTAACCTTTTTACTATTCGAGAGAACAAAACAAATGATCACAAATGCTTTACACAACCGTAACTAATTAGATTAAAATATAAATGCTAACATTGACAGGCCAAAATTAAAGTTTTATTTAAAATTGAAGTCTCACGCTGGGAAAGGGGCGTTTATTTACGTGTGGTCTGTGGAAATTTCAGCATCGAAAAAGGGGCAAATATATAGCCATAATTTGGCATAAACCGATCTGATCAATAAAATTATGTTATGGATATTGTTAATATCTTTCTACTAACCATTAAAAGTAATATTACTAGGATTTTGTGAGCACAGAAACCTACTATTCATGTGGATCTGTTGAAAAATGGCGTCGATTTATTTGCTTCCTTTTCGCAGCCTCAGTTGCAATTTGACACGGAGTGATGGGTAGTTATGCAAATATTTAGGGATTCACATCATCATAGATACTATTTTTGGTCATTTTATATTTAAATAGCCATTAGGATGCAAATGTGTCAGTTATTTTCAGAAGGGGAAAACACCCGCCATATTTTTATCTTCCAAAACAACAACGTCACTTGCCATTTTCAGATGTTTGTTTCTTGTAAAATAAAATCTCCTAAGAAGAAAAAATAGCATGGTCACCTGTTAAACTTACCTATATAACTAATTGATGATGAAATAATGCAAGTTTAATTGTCTTTAATAATAAATTTCTTGAAAAATCACATGTACACGATGTAAACAAATTACCGAGATGGTGCGATACTGTCTCCGTCTATGTAAAAATCGCGATTGTCGCCCTTGAATTCTTGTCCGTTACGTCATATGGAAGGAGGCGCAGAACTGACGTGTGGCTTTCCTACTGTAATGTTTACTTATTCGGTGTTACATCTAGTCTCACTATTTTTGATATATACCACCTTCGATAAGTGTTTAGTATGACGATAAATTTTCACTGGTGTTCTCGTACTAGGAACAACAAAATTATTTATTTTGTAAAAATTATTTCCGTACTCCATGTATACCTTACTACAAAAATATTTTTATTTACATGTGTACGTTATTTTACTTGGCAGCATTTTGTCCTAGGTTATGGTTGTCTTTCTGATATTGTTTTATTAATTTTGTATTTACATTGTGTCATAGATCAATTTTATTTATTCAGTGTATGTTCACTTGTTTTTGTTAATATGTCTTGATTGAGTTAAGCCGTTTCAATTGATATTTTATAGTGTGCCTTCTATGTTGTGATGTTACACTTGTTTCAGGAAGGGTGAAGGTTGTTGCCTATTAAAACGTTTAAACCCGCTGCATTTGTTTGCACCTGTCCTAAGTCAGGAACCTGATGTTCAGTGGTTGTCGTTTGTTGATGTGGTTCATAAGTGTTTCTCTTTTCTCGTTTTTTATATAGATTAGACTGTTGGTTTTCCTGTTTGAATGGTTTTACACTAGTCATTTTTGGGGCCCTTTATAGCTTTCTGTTCGGTGTGAGCCAAGGCTCCGTGTTGAAGGCCGTACTTTGACCTTCAATGGTTATTTTAACAAATTGTGACTTGGATGGAGAGTTGTCTCATTGGCACTCGTACCACATCTTCTTATATCTATATATCTTTTCTGTTAGTGCAAACTATAGAAATGTCAGAAGTTTGGAAACATTGTGTTGTCAGTAGTAATTCTCCTGGTCATCATGGGCAGACAGCTCCTTTCAATATTTTATATTTTCATAGTTTTCACATAGAGGAACTTTTTTTTAATCATATTACACAAAGTAATTTCATTTTCAGAGGACAGTTTTATTCATATTTTACATACTCATGCAAAGAAAAGAGTGGAAAAGAAATTGGCCAGTTTTGGTAAGTAAAAAGCTGAACCATGTGAGCTAAAATGTTATACCTTTACGACAAGTAGTACAAAATATGCAAATAAATTTATGATACTGATTTCAATGCACCTTTGTGAGACAAAAAGTATGAGAAACCATAAACATAAAATGGTTTGGAGCATTCAGCCAAAAAGAACAGCCAAGACTATTTGAGGTCAACTTATATTGTGAGCATCATTATTTGAATATATTCCCATGTAAGTTACTGATTTTTTTTTTTGGTAACAAGACTCTCTCAATGAAGGTAACTCCTATTATGAGACAAGATGGTGTTTATTGGAGCAGTAATTCATTTCTAATTCAAGCCAACAACAGAAGTTTGTCCTTGAAGCAGGCATCCTTTTCCTTGCAGAAAGCGTGCATGAAAAGTGTGTGACTTATGTATTCTTAGTATATCTACGCAATGAGACTTGAAAACTTTTTGGCTTGAGTTTACAACAAGTATGCAACAAAGTTTTTTTTCATATGCTTGTAGGAAGTATACAGATTATATTATAGGGATTTCTGTTTGAACAACATTTTTAGCTCACCGGGGCCCAAAGGGCCCCATGTGAGCTTATGCCATCACTTGGCGTCCGTCGTCGTCTGTCGTCGTCGTCGTAAACTATTTAAAAAATCTTCTCCTCTGAAACTACTGGGCCAAATACCTTCAAACTTTAACTAAATGTTCCTTAGGGTATCTAGTTTATAAATTGTATCCGAAGTTTTGATCCATCGACAAACATGGCCGCCATGGCTAAAAATAGAACATAGGGGTCAAATGCAGTTTTTGGCTTATATCTCAATAAAATGCTCCGCTGGGGCGCAGCTTGATACGACCGCAGAGGTCGAACCCTAAACAGTTGGGGCAAGTATGGACACAACATTCAAGCTTGATACAGCACTGAATTTGGATTGTAATTAAATATTTGACACAGCATAGGTTTCTGACACAGAATGAAAGTGGTCTAAAATATCAAAATTTTTAATTTACCTATTCAAATCATATCATTATTATTTGCTTTTATATATAAATCAGAAATAACCAATTTAAAATGGAAAATTTTAAAGAAAAAAAAGGAAAAAATATCCCCCCCCCACCCCAAATTTTTTGAACCCCCTTATGATTCATCACCCCAAAACTCAATCCCAGCTTTCCCTTTGTGGTATGGTACCTTGCAGTACAATTTCAGAGAGATCCATACACTTGAACACAAGTTATTGTCTGGAAACTAGAAAAATGCTTGTTTTTTTGCCCTTTTATGGCCCCTAATTACTAAAATTTTGAAGGAATTACCCCCAAAATCAATCCCAGCCTTCCCTTTGTGGTATGGTACCTTTCAGTACAATTTCAGAGAGATCCATACACTTGAACACAAGTTATTGTCTGGAAACTAGAAAAATGCTTATTTTTTGCCCCTTTTTTGCCCCTTATTCCTAAACTTTTTGGGCAATTACCCCCAAACTCAATTCCAGCTTTCCCTTTGTGATATGGAACCTTGTAGTACAATTTCATAAAGATCCATACACTTACAAACAAGTTATTGTCATGAAACTAGAAAAATGCTTGTTTTTTGCCCCTAATTCCTAAAATTTGGAGGAAATTACCCCCAAAATCAATCCCAGAATTCCCTTTGTGATATGGAACCTTGTGATACAATGTCAGAGAGATCCATACACTTACACACAAGTTATTGTCATGAAACTAGAAAAATGCTTGTTTTTTGCCCCTTTTTGGCCCCTAATTCCTAAAATTTGGAGGCAATTACCCCCAAAATCAATCCCAGCATTCCCTTTGTGATATGGAACCTTGTGGTACAATGTCAGAGAGATCCATACACTTACACACAAGTTATGTCTGGAAGTTACAAAAATGCTTATTTTTGGCCCCTTTTTGGCCCCTCATTCCTTAACTGTTAGTACCATAACCCCCAAAATCAATCCCCACCTTCCTTTTGTGATATTGAACCTTATGGTAAAATTTCATTGAGATCCAGTCACTTAAACTAAAGTTAGAGTGCGAAAACTAATGTGTCTTCGGACGACGACGACGCCAACGTCATACCAATATACGACCACAAAATTTTTTTTGCGGTCGTATAAAAACTAAAGCTTTTAGAGCAAATCTGACATTGGGTAAAATTGTTCAATTGTCAAGATCTATCAGCCCTGAAATTTTAAGACATATCGAACAACCCATTGTTGGGTTGCTGCCACCGAATTGGTAGTTTTAACAAAATTTTGCAGTTTTTTGTTATTATTTTGAATATTATTATAGATATATATAAACTGTAAGCAGCAATAATGTTCAGCAAAGTAAGATCTACAAAAAAGCTAATATGACCATGTCAATTGACCCCTTAAGGAGTTATTGCCCTTTAAAGAGAATTTTACACAATTTGTTCATCAAGTTTGCTAACATTTAAAATCTTCTCCTCTGAAACTACTGGGCCAATTACCTTCAAACTTTAACTAAATGTTCCTTAGGGTATCTAGTTTATAAATTGTATCCGAAGTTTTGATCCATCAACAAACATGGCCGCCATGGCTAAAAATAGAACATAAGAGTCAAATGCAGTTTTTGGCTTATATCTCAAAAACTAAATCTTTAAGAGCAAATGTGACATGGGGTAAAATTGTTAAATTGGTCAAGATCTATCGGCCCTGAAATTTTCAAACGAATCGAACAACCCATTGTTGGGTTGCTGCCACAGAATTGGTAGTTTTAACAAAATTTTGCAGTTTTTTGTTATTATTTTGAATATTACTATAATATATGTAAACTGTAAGCAGCAATAATGTTCAGCAAAGTAAGATCTACAAAAAAGTTTATATGACCATAATTTGTCAATTGACCCCTTAAGGAGTTATTGCCCTTTAAAGAGAATTTTACACAATTTGTTCATCAAGTTTGTTAACATTTAAAAATCTTCTCCTCTGAAATACAGGTGAGCGATTCAGGCTCTTGAGAGCCTCTTGTTTTGGAATAACCTTGATATTGACCTGGACACTTGGGGAATAGAAGATTGTCAAACCAAAAAGTTTTGAATGTTGAGATTATAAAAAGTTTATTTCTAGGTCTTTCCATCACATCTTGAAACTGCTAAAAATTCTATACTGCACTAGTTTTTGTCCATAAATGTGAACCATAAGATGTTCTATATATGAGTTAATAAAAGGAGATGTGGGGTAAAGGCCAAATGAGATAATTTACAAGAAATTGACATGTGGAGGTCCACATTCAGTCTTCAACAACTTGATATTAAATCTAGCTGTACATATACTTTTAAAAAATTGTCAGCGAATTGGTCCTTTGAAACTTTTTGAAGGGTGAAAGGGAAATTTTCCCCTTCCCAATAACTTATTTGTAGGAAATTTTGCAGAGAATAACAGATATATACCATCAGTCTCAAAATGCATTTAATTTATAGATGTAACATGAAAGATATTTTTTTTACAGCTGAAAGTGCAGCTCTTAGTACAATAAAGAATGCTGTGAAAGGATTTGAAGATTCTAACATTGTTAATGTGTATTATGCTGGTAATATAAGGATGATGGAACTTAGAGATCATTATACAGTATGGAACAAATTAAACTACTATCTTGATCTTCTGGAAAGTCTGAGAAATTAGAAAAAACTTCAGAACTTGTTGTTTCATTAAATGGTGCTGATTTTGTTGCATTGCCTTATTATTTGTTGAATATTCCAAGGAATCAGAAGATGACAGTATGGAAACTTAGTATTTATATGGTTCTAATTTGCTCTGTGGCAAGATAGACTTAATTCGAAAGCCCAGAACTATTTTTCTTTAAAAATCATGAAAAGAATGTTATAATGTCAAATAAATATGTTTTTTTCTCAGTTTTCAGTTTTTTGCTCTGCTCATAATATGTATTTCTACTCTTATCCATCCATGTAGGTGTTAGTAATGTTTTTCTTTCCTTTGCATTTTTTTATTTGATGTGTATTTTAACATTCTCTTGTAATGTACAACAAAATTGAGGCTCTAAAGGGTCTGTATCGCTCACTTAGTTCAATGTGCATCTTCAACAATGGACACTTTCAAAACACTAGATTAGAATAAAATTCATGAAAAGAAATCCCTATTTTGTTGGTTTTGTATTGCTGTGGCTCTTTTCACAAAAAATCTTAAGAGTTAAAATACTCGTAAGTCATACACATTTCAGTATAACTTACAATCAATTTTAATTGTAAGATTTTTTGTGAAAAGAGTTGCTAATATTTTTTTTTCTGGTTACAGTTTCTATCTTCTTGAGTTTTTGCCCAAAACACAAAAAAGGGTAATAAAAAAATCATCATTTATGGGCAATCACTCCTGTAAAGAGTCTACTAGGAATTTATGCTAAATTTGAATATTCGAAGATCTTGTCTTCTGGATAATTTTTGCAATTTAAAGTGTCCATCTTTTAACAGTTTTCAAGATAACAGGCAAAAACGCAAAAACATGGTAAAATTGTCATTAAGAAGCAAGAACTCCATTGAGGAGTCAATTGTGGATTTCTGCCATATTGACTTATTTGTAGATCTTGTCAATGGTTATTTTAGTATTAAAGGGCAATAACTCCAATAATGAGTCGTCCTAAGATTGTGGTCAAATTGGCTTATTAGTATATCTTGTCTTGCTGATCATTTTTGCTATTAAAACTTTCCCTCTATCTATTATAGTTTTAAAGATAATATACAGAAATGAAAAAAAATTGTAAAATTGTCATTTAAGGGCAATAACTCCTATAAGAAGTCATCCTACAGTTTTGATGTAAATGGATAGTAGGTAGATCTCAACATTTTGAAAATTTCTGTCTCAAGTTTGGTTAAATTTGGCCCAGCAGTTTCAGAGGAGAAGATTTTGTAAAAGTTAACAGGCGACAACAGATGACGATGATGGATGCTAAGTAATGATAAAAACTCACTTTGTTCTTTGGGCCAGTTTTGTTGCAGGCAAGACAAAAACCACTGCCAACACTTTGTGCATTTAAAGAGAGTTAATAGGTCAGAAACCTCTCAAATAATCGCTCAGATCAAAATTTTAAATAACGGGTACACAACTTTATGTCCTTAAAGGAGTTACCAGTAAAAAAACTTATATAAGCATATATGGCTATGTCCATGTTTCCGAATGATAAACCCCAAAAATCACATAGGCAAACTTTAAAATAGCAGCTGCCTTACTTTATATTCTGTAGAAGAATCACTAAAAGATTGGTTCTGTTATTTTACAGAATTAACACAGTGAAGGGAATAACAACAGGTGTGTGTTGTTTCAGTTTGAAGCTGTCAGATGACACAATAATAATATTAAAGAACCCTTGTAACAACTCTCTGAGGGGTTTGAGATGGCTTGTTGCAGTACAAAAGTTCTGTCCCTAACGGATATCCAACATACCCTCATTTTCCAGTGGCAGTCCAAATTTCCCCCCTTCATTCAGATCAACCCCTAACTTGCAGAACTAAGTACAAACAGTACTAACTAAATGAAGTAATTGTTAATTTGTTCTCATCCTGTACATGCGTGAAATATTTGCCATTGGACATAAAGCAAACAAAAATCAATCAACTATGCTCATTCCTCTCAATTACAGAAGAAATACAAGTTCTGATAATATTTATGGCTAAACTTTAAAGGGGAATAAAGGATATTCTGATTGATTGACAGCATTAATAACACCTTCCACACCCAGTACAATGGTGAATAAAAGCAGCCTTAAGTGTAATTCACTAGTAAATGGATTATCAACAGCTAACTATTTTGATTAAAAGGAATCATAAAAGACTGAACTAAAACACTTTTAGTCAGCTTTGAGACATTTCCATGCAGTAAATTCAGTACTATTCATGCACTATGATCTGTTCAGTCTATTTTCAGTGTTCAGTAGAAGTTATTTACCTGTTCAAAACTACAATCCCTAATTAATCTGGAGTTTGATTTAAAATTTCTAGTATTGGATTGAGAACAAGTTGGAAGTGTCTAAATACTACTTAGTTTACCACAAAAAAAGTTCTGATCAATATCTTAACACTCTGAACAAGACTTCACATTTTTTAATTTAGAAGTTGTACAGATTAATGATTATTTCTGACTAATATTCAATTCTCGTAAAAGATATCTTTCAGAACATAGAAGTACTGTTTCTAGTTAACAAACCTGGATCCCATACATTATGATTAACAAGAATGTGTCCATAGTACATGGATGCCCCACTCGCACTATCATTTTCTATGTTCAGTGGACCGTGAAATTGGGGTCAAAACTCTAATTTGGCATTAAAATTAGAAAGATCATATCATAGGGAACATGTGTACTAAGTTTCAAGTTGATTGGACTTCAACTTCATCAAAAACTACCTCGACCAAAAACTTTAATCAAAAACTTTAACCTGAAGCAGGACAGACTGATGGATGGATGGACGAACGAACAGATGCACAGACTGAAAAACATAATGCCCCTAGGTGGGGCATAAAAATATGGCAAAAAATACTTAATACAGATAATTTCAAAAGATTTATTGTGTAATAAAATGTTTATGGAATGCATAATTGTATGACATGTATATATAAAAATGTGAGATTTAAACAATAAATATAAATAAGAGACAACAAATATAAAGACTAGAAAATTGTGGAAATGTTGGCTACCTAGAAACATTCAAATAATTACATTATCTCATCTTGAAAACTTCAGTTGCTTGTTTTAGAAACTAAACCTTTAAGGAGTCCATTATTTGGCCCCTAAAATTGACAAAGTAGAAAAGTTCTTTAATCCTTTCAAAATTATGTATCTTATTTACAAGTAAAAAGAATAATGCAATCTGTTTATTTGATAAAGACAATTATGTTTGTTAGGTCACTGTAATCATACAGTATTTGGGTTACTGTAAACCAACAAGTTTTCGCACTTGATTTATTTACACAACTTTAGCAGGTAGAAAAATATTGTGAATATACATTGTTGTAAAAATGTCCAACTTGGATCTTACCTTCAATGAAAACAAAGTAAGAAATCTTAAAAAAGAAATCATTGCAAAGTTGGTTAGAAACTGCTAAATGCGAAAAAATAAGTTGGTTTACAATATTGTGTTCTTCATAAACCTAATGCTATTATTCTAAATCTTTTAAATTTAACAGAGGTACATACTGTATCAACACATCAAAAAAACAAAAACAAAAAACCTTTCACAATAAAAAAAAAGACATTTATTGACAAAGCTTAAATAATCCAAATTTAATACTTACATAAATATGCATTCAGGCCTACTCAGTTTGTCAAAATTTAAATGTATATAGGAAGCAAACATTTCCTTTTTTCCAAAATGACACAAAGATATATTAAAGCATTTTCCGATCATTAAGACCAAACAATTTACCCAATCAAACAATATCTGATGAAAATGAGCAGTTTGGTTCAAATGAAACAAATATAATGTATTTTCCAGTCATAAGGGCTTCACTATATACCCGATCCGATAATACCTGATGAATAATGAGAAGTTTAGTAATGCACACCTAAAATTTGGTGTAAAAAAATCAGCAATTGAGTGTATTATGCATGATTTAATAAACCTATAAACTTTTCACTCATTATAATACAAACTATGATTTCTTATGATAAAAAATATACATGATATTTGAAAAATATTCCAAATATTTGAAATAACTCGAACAAGTATAAAAATATATTATATCAGAATAATGAGAAGTCAGATAAAATACAAACTTTTTACTGGCTCTCACCCATTTAGAGTCAAACCTCATGCCCTTGCAATACTTTTAGAAAAAAAAATCATTTTGGTCAAAATTATTCATTTTGTAATAAATAATTACATACTAAATGAAAAAAATGCCTCCCAAATGAGAATTCTACTAAACAGCAACACTGCATCTTTACTGTTTTTACATGGCCCCCAAATGAGAATTCTACTAAACAGCAACACTGCATCTCTACTGTTTTTACATGCCCCCCAAAATGAGAATTCTTCTAAACAGCAACACTGCATCTCTACTGTTTTTTACATGCCCCCCAAATGAGAATTCTACAGCAACACTGCATCTCTACTGTTTTTACATGCCTCCCAAATGAGAATTCTACTAAACAGCAACACTGCATCTCTACTGTTTTTACATGCCCCCCAAAATGAGAATTCTTCTAAACAGCAACACTGCATCTCTACTGTTTTTACATACCCCCAAATGAGAATTCTACAGCAACACTGCAACAAATTTCTAACATAAAGCAATGTTTCCTATGTGAAGCAATCTTCTTGTCTGATGGGATTTAACATAACACCACATGGCAAAGGATCACATCATTTTATATAAATATTTTTTTTAATAATATGATATTTGCTAATCAACAAAGACAATAATTTTAATATCTAAAGTTACTATGGCAATGAACAGACCATTGTCCTGGAAAACTAAGATGTGAAAAATAATTTCTGGAAATGTCGAACACTCTGAAAATGGGTATATGGAAAGAGCTTTTGATTTTGCATAGAGTATAGGAATCAACTTGTCTGTTCATTCGTCTGTCTGGACTAACTTCTTTATCCAAAATGTTTGATTCACTTGGAAATTTGTACATTAACAGATGATAAGCAAACATTACAATGTGAAGGAATTATTATACTGATTACTTTATCCAGAATTATGCACCTTTCAAGACCATAATTTAGTATATTATTTAAAATTCCACATCTTAATGAACATGTGTACTAAGTTTGAAATTGAAGTAACCACAACCATATGATAAACTACCTTAACCAAAACCTTTGATACAGAAGGACAGATGGACGCAAAGACCAGGAAACATAAAACCCCCCTCCTTTTCTTTCATAGACAGCATATGAAAATGCTTCCATGGGTAATAAACATATTTCAAAGTAACAGTCAATAACAATTAACAACAGGGTTTTTTTTTATAATGAAAGACAATTTAAGTCAAGAACTGACCAGCAGGTAGCATAAAACAATGTAAAGCTATCATAAAAAAAACCTTAAAATAATAATAAAAAACACAAAACAATTTAAGTATAGAGATTCAGCATGATAGAATATACCATTTATGATATTAACATTTTGATGTAAAACAGAAAATTGTATATAATTTAGCAACATCACTTCTTTAGATATATTTACTGGTAGAAATAACTTATCTCTTTTTTTTTGTATAGTTCTCAATAACTATTGCTTTTAAAAGTGGTAAATACAATTGGTTTTACATGTGAACATAGTTTAATCTTTAATTTTGATTAAGGTTCCATACATATGCCATTAAATGGCAAGTAAAGCAATATCACAATGGTATTAAAAAAATATTCCCACAAAATGGCAATCGTTCCTGCTTGTAACAAGAGCAGGTCACTTTAGGTAGAAACATAAACTTATTCATTTTCATAAAGTTTGCCAGGAATTGGCTATTGGTTTTTGGTGTTTGAGTGTATTTAATTTCAATCTTTTTAAGTAAGCATCTATTATGAATACAATTTGTGAAGGGTATCTTTTTGTTTATATCTTTCACAGATAAGACAAAAATAGCAAAAAATTAACACGCTAAAAATATCAGTAGGTTAACAAAACCCTATACACAACAAAAGTATCTTGCCCACCCCATGTATCACAGACTAAATGCATTTCTAAATTCAAATGCAATACACATTTTAGTTTAAAACAAAAAGCACTACACGTTTTAATGGTAATATTGAAAAAAATAAATAAAGAAATAAAGAAGAGAAATAACAAAAAATCTCCTACTGTCGATTCATTTATTTTAGTTGTTACCAATTTTCGTGGAATGAGGAAAACATGCATTTTCGTGGATATTTGATTTCGTGGCTAGGCCTAAGTCTGCATACAATCCTAAAGAAAATTTGTAATTCGTTGAACATTCCCTGTAACCACAAAAATTGGTATCCAACGAATAATAATGAATCCACAGTATTTGGCAACATTGTTTTATGTTAATGTCTATGTTCACATTCATATTTTTAATATATTCTTAGAACAATGACTTAATGATTTTAAATTTAAACATTAAAACTACTGTAAATTCAGAAATTATTGCGTGCATTTATTATTGTGATTTTTGAAGAATTAACAAAAATTTGAGTTTAATTATTTCGATTTTAGGAAAAGCTACATACAGATATATGTATTTGATATCAGAATGCGAGTTCTTATTATTGCGATACTCAAGTAGTCGCATTATTCGCAGAAATAAAAACCTCGCAATCATTTCTGGATTTACAGTAGTTACCATTTTATAAAATCATATTACTGTGGATTCATTATTATTCATATGATACAAATTTTCGTGGATTTTATGGATAAAGGTAAAACACAAATTAATTTTTTTTAATTTTCTTAAAAGGGTACCAGCATCTGAGACGACAAAGGCTTGTATATAGACTTTGGCAAATCCACAAAATCAAATATCCACGAAAATAGGTATCCACGATAATTGGTATCCACGATAATAAAAGAATCCACAGTAGCCACTACAGGCAAAATATTCTACAAAATACAATAATTAATCATCTATCCTCAAAGCAAAGCATTTAAGGAAAGTAAATACTACTCTCTTAAAAATTTGGTGTTTAAAAATATATGAAATAAAATGCTCCGCTGGGCGCAGCTTGATACGACCGCAGAGGTCGAACCCTGAACAGTTGGGGCAAGTATGGACACAACATTCAAGCTTGATACAGCTCTGAATTTGGATTGTGATTAAATATTTGACACAGCATAGGTTTCGGACACAGAATGAATGTGGTCTAAGAACTTCAAAATTTTTAATTTACCTATTCAAACCATATCATTATTATTTGCTTTTATATATAAATCAGAAATAACCAATTTAAAATGGAAAATTTTAAAGAAAAAAAAAAAGAAAAAACAATTTCAGAAAGATCCATACACTAACACACAAGTTATTGTCATGAAACTAGAAAAATGCTTGTTTTTTTGCCCCTTTTTTGGCCCCTAATTCCAAAAATTTTGAGGCAATTACCCCCATAATAAATCCCAGCATTCCCTTTGTGATATGAAACTTGTGGTACAATGTCAGAGAGATCCATACACTAACACACAAGTTATTGTCTGGAAGTTACAAAAATGCTTATTTTTGGCCCCTAATTCCTTAACTGTTGGTACCATAACCCCCAAATTCAATCCCAACCTTACGTTTGTGGTATTGAACCTCATGGAAAAATTTCATAGAGATCCATTCACTTAAACTAAAGTTATTGTGCGAAAACCAATGTGTCTTCGGATGACGCCGCCAACGATGACGCTAATATCATACCAATATACGACTGCAAAATTTTTTTGCAGTCGTATAAAAACATATGAAACATTTTAAAAAGATGTTGAACAATTCAACATTATCTAATCCTAATCAGAACATCATTTTCTCTTACTAAACTAACTTAAAAAAAACAACTCTGAACACCTTTTCATCTTCACAGATTCTGTTAACATCATAACCATTAAATTTGTTTTTTTGTTTTTGTGATATGATTGCCAATGAGACAACTACCCACCAAAGATTAAAGAACAAGGATGTAAAAACTATAGGTCATAGTCAAGTCCATTCTGGAAATGACCCCAGTGTTTATATTAATAAACAAAATGATAATTCAGTCATTGCCTCAAAATTAGCCCCAGTATGAAAGTGAGTTTCTCAGATCTTTGTATCTGATTTTTACATTAGGAATGAAAATATCAGTGGCAAATGCTCTTTTGAGACTGCCCTTTTCCCAATCTGACCTTTGTACTGTTTTTTTTATAGATATCAATGGGAAAATTATGCATTATAATATTCAGATTCTTTTTTATAATACTTGTTGTAGATGAAAAGACTTAAATTGCAATAAACTTAACATTTACATATAAGTTGATGTAAAATACAAAAAAAAAAAAAAATCAATAAGTTCTGAGATTTTCTCCTCAGATTATATAAAAGTTCAATAATTAGTTTTACATTCTTTTGGGTGAACATATCCAAAAACATTTAATTCATATAAAGCAGTGAGTATAGTGAATAAGAGGTAAACAATCATTAAAACTATTCCATACTTCTTTGTCAACTTCCAGCCATTCACATGAGTAGCAGCAAGTAAAAAGACTACAGTTCCTAGTAAAGTCAAGGTTGAATATAATAATCCTGAAATGAAAATTTAAAGAATGAACAATTAAGTAGGATTTTATGTTTGTGACATCAACCATTGGTATGCAAGTTTATTTCTTAAGTAAATGAAACTAGTTTTTGTTGGCATTATGGTTTTTTTGGGACAACCAATAAACGCAAAAAATTACAAAAAAGTAGAAAGCTTTCTAAGCATTATGCAATCTGAACCATAAACCAAATTGGAGCACCTATTAAAAAGAATTTGAGCAGGGAATCCCCTAATCTTGGCTATTATTAACCACTTGTATAAGTATAATTAAGCTGTGACCATGACCTTTTGACCTCAAAATCAATAGGATTTTCCCCTTCTCTGTATCAAGATTGAAGGAAAGCCAAAATACTATCTGAAAACCAATTTGAAAAAAACAAATCTCTTGACACTAAACTTTGACCTAGTGACTTCAAAATGTCCCTGTATCTTCCATCTGTATAAGTTTCGTTCCAATTAATAAAGGAAACTCAAGTTACATTCTGGAAAGCATTTAAAACAAGTTGTTGCTCACTAATGATATCCAACTACAAGTTTTATGATAAACAGAAAGTTGAAGAGCAACAGATTTGAAAATGTATCACACAGTACAGCATACTCACACAAAGCCTGATATCAAATTTCAGGAAGCTCTGATTTGATGTTCCTAAGAATATTGTGACCAATTTCATGGGACAAAAATACTGACAGATGGGGTTATTCCCTTCCACTCTCCCCCTTTGAAGGAAATGGTATGAAAAAAAAATTAATCTAGTAACATTGACCTTGAACTTTGCCCTATACTACTTTATCTTTTTATGTCTCGTCTATGATTTTTGTTCCAATCAAGCAAAAGAAATTCACGGCAATATTGCAGCATTATTTATGTGACAAGTTTCTTTTTAGGCAAACACATGAATGCATCTGAGGACTTGAAGAAGAACATTTTCCTTTGAGCAATTCAATTCAAAATTCAACTGGAATAAAAATGATAACCCAGCAAAATATTTAGAATTTAAACATATTTATTTTGGTTATCAATCTGATGCTTTAACATGTAAAGTATGAAAACAAGATTTTTATTCTAATAGAGTAAATAAAAAGTTTTGAGATCTCTTTTTTTTTTAACAATCTGCCAAGATTTTCTAGGTATTCATTTCATTGCAGTTTTATTATACTAGATAATACATATGTGAAAAATCCTTGTATCAATTGTCACTCTTAAATCAATTTTTTAAGTAAGACACAAGATTCACAGAACATAAGTGCCTATGAAAGTCTAGTATATGTTTAATCTTACCTTCACTATAAACTTTTATAGGTGCACCATCATTAATGGCTGACTTTAGTACCCAAGGTACACCCATACAAATTAAAATATCAAATACATTACTGCCAACAGCATTTGAAACAGCCATATCACCATAACCTGTAACATAAAATTATATTGAAATTCACAATAATATTTATCTAGAAAGTAATCAACTTTTGACCTAATGAAATTACAGTTATAATAATTCCATAAAAAGATGTGATTTATTATATTTCAAATAATTTAATGCAGAATACGGTTGCTAGTATCACCACCAGTCTGTCAAGTTTCTCGATTTCTAAGATTTTTTTTGTAGATTTAAAATATTTCATGATGCTGCCTACACTCTATATAGTGTATTTTTTATCTACTTATTACCCTTTTCTACATTTTTTCTTAAAACTTGATTCCTAAAACTTGTCTCAAAAAACTGTCTTAATACAGAAATTTCCATCCATAATCAATATATATTTCTGCAGTAATGAAATATGTTTAGATTAATATAGCCTAAGTTATTTTTTAAATGCTAAAGCTTTAATACATGGAAACCACATAATCAGCTTTTTTTTCTCTGCTGAAGTCATTGTTACAAGTTAATGAATTATAGTCGCCATTTAAATTAATTGCAAGTTTTACAGAAGACCAGGGATCTGTTCCCTAATAATCTTAACCTTTCTTAAGACGATTCGTTGAAATTATACCAAAATTTACAGAATGTATGCATGTTAACTTGCCTTCTCTAACTACAATAAGACTCGATATAACATCAGGTAAGCTGACACCAAATGCCACAAATGTCAAGGCCATTACAGTATCTGGTAAATTTACAGTAAAACCTGCAACAATTAAGTATAATTATACATACCATCATTACAGTATCTGGTAAATTTATAATACATATCTAATTTGTAATGATTTATTAAATTGTATGATTCTTTTTTTTTCCATTGTATTTTGTTGCTTTTTTTTACAAAATTATTGCATATATTTATGAATGTGATTGCTAATGAACAGAACATATATAATGTAGGAGGTTTCAGAAAATAGAGCAAAACAATAATGAGATCAGAATTTGAAATATGAGTTCCAATCACTGCAAAATTAATCCAGACACAGTTATGGCAATAATTAATAAAATGCTCCGCTGGGGCGCAGCTTGATACGACCGCAGAGGTCGAACCCTGAACAGTTGGGGCAAGTATGGACACAACATTCAAGCTTGATACAGCACTGAATTTGGATTGTGATTAAATATTTGACACAGCATAGGTTTCTGACACAGAATGAATGTGGTCTAAGAACTTAAATTTTTTTAATTTACCTATTCAAACCATATCATTATTATTTGCTTTTATATATAAATCAGAAATAACCAATTTAAAATGGAAAATTTTAAAGAAAAAAAAATCCCTCCACTAAATTTTTTGAACCCCCTTATGATTCATCACCCCCAAACTCAATCCCAGCCTTCCCTTTGTGGTATGGTACCTTGCAGTACAATTTCAGAGAGATCCATACACTTGAACACAAGTTATTGTCTGGAAACTAGAAAAATGCTTGTTTTTAGGCCCCTTTTTGGCCCCAAATTCCTAAATGTTTAGGGCAATTACCCCCAAACTCAAACCCAGCTTTCCTTTTTGTGATATGGAACCTTGTAGTACAATTTAATAAAGATCCATACACTTACACACAAGTTATTGTCCTGAAACTAGAAAAATGCTTGTTTTTTGCCCCTTTTTGGCCCCTAATTCCTAAAATTTGGAGGCAATTACCCCCAAAATCAATCCCAGCATTCCCTTTGTGGTATAGTACCTTGCAGTACAATTTCAGAGAGATCCATACACTTGAACACAAGTTATTGTCTGGAAACTAGAAAAATGCTTGTTTTTAGGCCCCTTTTTGGCCCAAAATTCCTAAACGTTAAGGGCAATTACCCCAAACTCAATTTCAGCTTTCCCTTTGTGATATGGAACCTTGTAGTACAATTTCATAAAGATCCATACACTTACACACAAGTTATTGTCTGGAAACTAGAAAAATGCTATTTTTGGCCCCTTATTCCTAAACCTTTAGGGCAATTACACCCAAACTCAAACCCAGCTTTCCCTTTGTGATATGGAACCTTGTAGTACAATTTCATAAAGATCCATACACTTACACACAAGTTATTGTCCTGAAACTAGAAAAATTCGTAAGGGTTCCGCAGAACCCAGTGTCTCGCCTACTTTTGCTGTTAATCGCAGGCTCAACAAAAATGAGGAAAAAAATTAATAAAAATATTCCTCTATATACTATCTTTTGATTGTAAATAGCTTCTGTCCAAGTTTTGTAAAAATCCAGGATAGTTTATGAATCTAATAAATGTTTTAAAAACTAAAAATGCAGACTGTATGTTATGTTAACTGGAAGAAAAACTAAGTCCATTTATAAGTAAAATACGGAAAAAATGGAACAAAATTTTTAAAAAAATTCCTTCTAGATACTAGCTTTTAATCATAAACAAGCTTCTGTCCAAGTTTGGTACAAATCCAGGATAGCTTAAGAATGTTGTTAAAATTTTAAAAACTTTAACCACAGAGTGAATGTAACGTTAACTGGCAGAAAAACTAAGTCCATTTATAAGTAAAATACGAAAAAAATGGAACAAAATTTTAAAAAAAATTCCTTCTAGATACTAGCTTTTAATCATAAACAAGCTTCTGTCCAAGTTTGGTACAAATCCAGGATAGCTTAAGAATATTGTTAAAATTTTAAAAACTTTAACCACAGAGTGAATGTAACGTTAACTGGCAGAAAAACTAAGTCCATTTATAAGTAAAATACGGAAAAAATGGATTTTTTTTTTTACAAAATTTCCTTCTAGATATTATCTTATGATCATAAACAAGCTTCTTTCCAAGTTTGGTAGAAATCCAGGATAGTTTAAGAAAGTTATTAAAATTTCAAAAACTTTAACCACAGAGTGATTGTAATGTTTCTTGGCAGAAAAACTAAGTCCATTTATAAGTAAAATACGGAAAAAATGGAATTTTTTTTTTACAAAATTTACTTTTGAATATTATCTTATGATCATAAACAAGCTTCTGTCCAAGTTTAATAGAAATCCAGGATAGTTTAAGAAAGTTATTAAAATTTCAAAAACTTTAACCACAGAGTGAATGTAATGTTTCTTGGCAGAAAAACTAAGTCCATTTATAAGTAAAATACGGAAAAAATGGAATTTTTTTTTTACAAAATTTACTTTTGAATATTATCTTATGATCATAAACAAGCTTCTGTCCAAGTTTGGTAGAAATCCAGGATAGTTTAAGAAAGTTATTAAAATTTCAAAAACTTTTACCACAGAGTGAATATTTGTGGACGCCGCCGCCACCGCCGACGGAATGTAGGATCGCTATGTCTCGCTTTTTCGACAAAAGTCGAAGGCTCGACAAAAATGCTTGTTTTTTGCCCCTTTTTGGCCCCTAATTCCTAAAATTTTGAGGCAATTACCCCCAAAATCAATCCCAGCATTCCCTTTGTGGTATGGTACCTTGCAGTACAATTTCAGAGAAATCCATACACTTGAACAGAAGTTATTGTCTGGAAACTAGAAAAATGCTATTTTTGGCCCCTTTTTGGCCCCAAATTCCTAAACCTTTAGGGCAATTACCCCCAAACTCTATTCCAGCTTTTCCTTTGTGATATGGAACCTTGTAGTACAATTTCATAAAGATCCATACACTTACACACAAGTTATTGTCCTGAAACTAGAAAAATGCTTGTTTTTTGCCCCTTTTCTGGCCCCTAATTCCTAAAATTTTGAGGCAATTACCCCCAAAATCAATCCCAGCATTCCCTTTGTGGTATGGTACCTTGCAGTACAATTTCAGAGAGATCCATACACTTGAACACAAGTTATTGTCTGGAAACTAGAAAAATGCTTTTTTTTAGGCCCCTTTTTGGCCCCAAATTCCTAAATGTTTATGGCAATTACCCCCAAACTCAAACCCAGCTTTCCTTTTGTGATATGGAACCTTGTAGTACAATTTCATAAAGATCCATACACTTACACACAAGTTATTGTCCTGAAACTAGAAAAATGCTTGTTTTTTGCCCCTTTTTGGCCCCTAATTCCTAAAATTTGGAGGTAATTACCCCCAAAATCAATCCCAGCATTCCCTTTGTGGTATGGTACCTTGCAGTACAATTTCAGAGAGATCCATACACTTGAACACAAGTTATTGTCTGGAAACTAGAAAAATGCTTGTTTTTAGGCCCCTTTTTGGCCCCAAATTCCTAAACGTTAAGGGCAATTACCCCAAACTCAATTCCAGCTTTCCCTTTGTGATATGGAACCTTGTAGTACAATTTCATGAAGATCCATACACTTACACACAAGTTATTGTCCTGAAACTAGAAAAATGCTTGTTTTTTGCCCCTTTCTGGCCCCTAATTCCTAAAATTTTGAGGCAATTACCCCCAAAATCAATCCCAGCATTCCCTTTGTGGTATGGTACCTTGCAGTACAATTTCAGAGAAATCCATACACTTGAACACAAGTTATTGTCTGGAAACTAGAAAAATGCTATTTTTGGCCCCTTATTCCTAAACGTTTAGGGCAATTACCCCCAAACTCAATTCCAGCTTTCCCTTTGCGATATGGAACCTTGTAGCTCAATTTCAGAAAAATCCATATACTTACACACAAGTTATTATCATGAAACTAGAAAAATGCTTGTTTTTTGCCCCTTTTTTGGCCCCTAATTCCTAAAATTTTGCGACAATTACCCCCAAAATCAATCCCAGCATTCCCTTTGTGATATGGAACCTTGTGGTACAATGTCAGAGAGATCCATACACTAACACACAAGTTATGTCTGGAAGTTACAAAAATGCTTATTTTTGGCCCCTAATTCCTTAACTGTTGGTACCATAACCCCCAAAATCAATCCCAACCTTCCTTTTGTGGTATTGAACCTTATGGTAAAATTTCATGGAGATCCATTCACTTAAACTAAAGTTAGAGTGCGAAAACCAATGTGTCTTCGGACGACGACGACGCCGGACGACGACGACGCCAACGTCATACCAATATACGACCAAAAAATTTTTAATTTTTGCGGTCGTATAAAAACTTTACAAAATTTTGCGATTTCACAGTGAGTATATAATCTCCTTTTGTACAGCTAAAATTACAGCAGTTTAAAATTCTGAAAATTTAGCTTGTTCAGCTTGTTCAGCCTAGGAACCTTATCACTGTAAAATTTTGTATTTTGTTTCAATTTTGTTTTTCTTGTGCATTGTAAAAATACATCATCTCTCTCATCTATAATTTTGTTCTTTGATTTTTTTTCAATTCTATTAAAGAGTTATTTCTCATTATCATAGCCATGTCAAGTAATTAATTACAGAAAGCCTGCATAACCACATGACAAAAAGTAGCATTTTTTTTTATTGATGAACAAATTATTTACTAACATTTTCTTTTTGGTCATCTTAAAAATGAACATTTATTACTTTGAACAGAAATAATCATACAAATAAAGAAAATATCATTAGTACTCATGGTTTTACCCAGATATATCATATAGAATAGTATTCATGGTTTCTTCCCTGACAGATCATATATACTAGTATTCATGGTTTCTTACCAGAAAAGTGAAACAGTAAATTTGCTTTCCTGTGCAAATAAAGAGACATAACTCACAATACTAGACATCATTGAGATGGGAGCCATCTCTGTGGGCCCCGCTGTAAATAACGGTTCTCAAGATATAGAGCGGACATGATCTGTACCATAGGACATGGGGTTGTCAACTGAAACCAAAGTTTTTGACCTTGACCTTTGACCTAGGAAGTTGTACATACATTATGACACATCCTCTGGTGTTGGTTAATATACATGTCAAGTATAAACTTTGAAATCATAACGGTTCTCAAGATATAGAGCGGACAAAATCTTTACCATAGGACATGGGGTTGTCAACTGAAACCAAAGTTTTTGACCTTGATCTTTGACCTAAGAAGTTGTACAAACATTATGACACACCCTCTGGTGTTGGTTAATATACATGTCAAGTATAAAGTATGAAATTATAACAGTTCTCTAGATATAGAGCGGACACAATTTGTTACGGATGGACAGACTGATCACTATAGGGCGACCCGCGGCCCTAATAAATACTCAAAAAAAAAAGAGACATAACTCCCAAATTAAGGGATAAAACTCACAAAATAAAGGAACACACCTGCATCTTCAACTATGGTCACTTTTTAGTAAAAGACATGTTGACGACGGATGGACAGACGGACAGAGGTATACCATAATACGTCCCGTAAACGGGCGTATAAAAATCATTAAATGGGAACAACTCTATTAAGAGTTAACTGACAATTTCAGTCATGTTGACATATTTGTAGATCTAATCCTGCTGACAATTTTTCCTTTCTAAAGTTTCTATCTATCATTTATTTTCAATGTTTTTTCTATAGTATTCAAGATATGTCAAAAAATGCAAAAATATCAAAGGGCAATAGCTCCAATAATGAGTCAAATGAAGATTTCGACCATGAGACTTATTTGTAGATCTTGTATTGCTGATCACTCATGCTATTTAAAGTTTCTATCTATCTATTACAGTTTTGAAGATATAAGGCAAAAATGCAAAAATTTGATAAAAATTGTCATTAAACAGCAATAACTCTAAAAAGGAGATGTCTGCAGATTTCAGTCTTGTTTGACTTATTTGTAGATCTTGTCTTGCTGATCATTTTTGCTATTTGAAGTTTCTGTCTATCGATTATAATTTCGAGATAATATGGAAAACATTTTAAAAATGGTAAAATTCGTCAGTTAAGGGCAATAACTCCTATAAGAGTCATCTGACAGTTTGACATAAATGGACAATAGTTAGAGCTCATCATTCTCAACTTTTTGCACTTCTCAGCATTTCTCTATTTATAGTGGTTTTTAAAATAATAGGCAAAACTTGTATTTTACCCCTATGTTCTATTCTTAGCCATGTCTGCCACCTTGGTTGGCAAGTAGGGTCATCAGACACATTTTTAAACTAGATACCCCAATGATGATTGTGGCCAAGTTTGGTTAAATTTAGCCAAGTAGTTTCAGAGGAGACGATTTTTTTAAAAGGTAATGGATGACGACGCACAAAATGAATGGACATAACTCACCTATTATAGTAATCATCCAAACCATTAAATAAGATAATGCTGTCAACCAAAATAATGACATTATGAAAGTAATAAAAAAATATTTTTTCCATCGTTGCTGCCGACAGTCAGGTACTGATATGAAGAATAAAATTTTTAAAGGTAAAGAAGATGTCCACAGAATTTTTTTGTACCAAACATTTGGAAGTGCAAATACTGATTCTGGTTCTTCAATATTACCTGCAAAGAAAAAAAAAATGAGTTCACCAAAAAGGGAACACAAGAATAAAAAAAACCCCTCCTTAATCCCATTAGATATTGCTCTTCTGTATCCTTGGGTTGCTGTCTCATAAACATATACTGGGTACCTCAAATCTTCCTTTATTCATAAGTAAATATAATAAAAATTCTTACATAACATTGAAAAATTGTGCCAACTATTCAGGGTTTAACAGAAGTTATTTTTAACATATTCTGTTTTTGATCTATTGTTCCAAACTGTTCCACACAAGTAATTATCTCATATTAACATGTATCAAATGTAATATTTAATGACATCTGTTACTGGATGACAATATTATAGTAATGAAATATCTGATATGTGACAGTCTTGCGATTAGTTATCTGTCTTTATCGTAAAAACCACATGAAAAGATCCCTCATTTCCATGGTAATTAATTAGTGATTATGATTTTTTTACTCTTTTTTGTCTGAGCACTTATTTGTAGAATTTTTTGCACTTATAAGTTGTGGTACTAATAAGCATTGATAATTACTTGATTGGCGTTAGAAAGGAAAATTCTACTAACATTATCACAAATTAAATGTTGTACCTTTATAATGTTTATCTAAAATTATTTTAATAGTTTTTTCAGAGTACATAATGATTGTATTGTATCAAATGATTTAACTAATTAATACTTGAACCAGAGACATATAATATATCTTAATAATGATAAATCAATTAGTAGAATTATTTCTCTTTTAAAAGTATTGTATGTAAATGGGTAAGGATTTCTATTTTCAGTTTATGAGGCACAGACAAGTAATTGTTATTATAGAACTATTTGAAATTCCTCACAATTTGTTTGTGCTATCAATGGAAATGCCATTGTTAAATGAATAATAATTGATCAATAATCTTAAAATGATCAAAGACTCGAATAGCTGGGTTCTGCAGAATGTTTCTAAAACAATGGAGAATGCTCTATACTGAACATTTAAATATTTGACATATGAAACGTAAAAATTCTCCAAACAATTCAATAATAGCAGGTGCACAACTTCAGCATATGGCCCGAGAACACAGTTATTTCGTAGTGCATTTCTTTTAGACAATAAATTCATATTAAAAAAATTGCACCGGCTCAATCTCAAAAAGATTTGTACAGTGTAGTGCACTACTATTGGGACAAATAATATCAAAATTATAGAAAAGTCTACCAGCTCTAACTCAAACTATTGACATTTCTATGTTAAGGGGGTCTAAAATTCAGTTTGACAGCTTCAGACATACTAATTTTGACCTTTTTTAACTGAACCAAATCTCTACATAACATAAAGATTCAGCACCCCAATTTTTTTAACATGTAATTTCATCCCCTTACTTAATATTTCATGCATAAAATATAAAGAAATAAGTTTGGAAAGTGTATGAAAAAAATTTGCAAGTTATACACTGTCCACTCAGGGACTATATTTGTAGACAACGAAAATCAATGGACAATAACTGTGTCCTTGGACCATATGTGGGACTATCCTGTGAAGTTTCAGGGATCGGGGTTGAAAACTGCAGAAAGAGTTGATTACACACAACTTGTATCCTCTTTCATAAGTTTCGCTTATTACCACAAAACCACAGATTAAGTTTGAATTTGGGTGGCATCGCTTTTACCATTCTATAGTTATGCCCTTTACAAATGAAAAAAAGACTAAGTTCCCAAGTCTAGAAAAAGGATAAATAAATGGAGAATGCGTTCATGGGACACAGATGATGCCCCCACTTGCATATAACGTTATAAAGGGACACAACAGTAAAAGTGACACCTCCCAAATTCAAACTTGATCTGAGTTTTGTGGTAATAAGCATTGTGTATAAGTTTCATAATATTTGGTTCAGACAAATCGTAAGTTAGAGAACGGAAACAAAAAAAATCAGCAATTTTTCCATTTGTAAAGGGCATAACTATAGTTTGGTAAAAGCAATGCCACTAAATTAAAACTTATCAATGTTTTGTGGTAATAAGCATTGAGTATAAGTTTCAAAACATTTGATTGAGGCAAACTTGTTAGAAAACGGAAACCAATTTAAGAACATTCCTACGGAACGGAAAGGGTAACACTTAATGCCCCCTCCGCTGCCATTATATTCCATAATAGCAGGTGCACACTTTCAACATATGTGCAATCTTCATGTGATGATGATGATGATGATGGATGGCTGCTTAATGTCCAGCGTCAAATTAATATGCATATTCAGGATGAGAACATGTTAATGTTATATGAATATTACTGTACCAGACCGACATGCTGAGCTTTTAACATGCTAGTTCACAAGGTACCAGTCTGCAGGAAGACATGTCACCTTATTCAGACACATTATTCTGACTTCAAGCCAAACAGTCTTTGCTCTTACTCCATACTGCGGAGTGCGTAACAGAGAAGCAGCAAATACCAGTTCTAAAGTCTTTGGTTAGACTTGGCCGGAGTTCTAACCTGCACATCTGCCCGACATCACCATGCTATATGCCGGTTTTGGACTTTGTCCAACCCATTTAAAAATTGGAGGCTGTGAGCTACAGAAACCAATTATTACTATGTTTATCCTTTTAAAATATATCTGTATTCTACAAAATATATCTGTATTCTACAAAATATATCTGTATTCTACATACTCATAAGTGGTTCATCATAATGATCAACATCATCTGCATCTACTTCTGAGCTTTGAGAATCTAAAAAAAAAAATCATAATAAAATGCTCCGCTGGGCGCAGCTTGATACGACCGCAGAGGTTGAACCCTGAACACTTGGGGCAAGTATGGACACAACATTCAAGCTTGATACAGCACTGAATTTGGATTGTGATAAAATATTTGACACAGCATAGGTTTCTGACACAGAATGAATGTGGTCTAAGAACTTAAAAAATTCTAATTTACCTATTCAAACCATATCATTATTATTTGCTTTTATATATAAATCAGAAATAACAAATTTACAATGGAAAATTTTAAAGAAAAAAAAGGAAAAAGAGGGAAAAAAAATCCCTCCCCCAAATTTTTTGAACCCCCTTATGATTCATCACCTCAAACTCAATCCCAACCTTCCCTTTGTGGTATGGTACCTTGCAGTACAATTTCAGAGAGATCCATACACTTGAACACAAGTTATTGTCTGGAAACGAGAAAAATGCTTGTTTTAGGCCCCTTTTTGGCCCCAAATTCCTAAACGTTTAAGGCAATTACCCCCAAACTCAAACCCATCTTTCCCTTTGTGATATGGAACCTTGTAGAACAATTTCATAAAGATCCATACACTTACACACAAGTTATTGTCCTGAAACAAGAAAAATGCTTGTTTTTTGCCCCATTTTGGCCCCTAATTCCTAAAATTTTGAGGCAATTACCCCCAAAATCAATCCCAGCCTTCCCTTTGTGGTATGGTACCTTGCAGTACAATTTCAGAGAGATCCATACACTTGAACACAAGTTATTGTCTGGAAACTAGAAAAATGCTTATTTTTGGCCCCTTTTTGGTCCCTTCTTCCTAATCGTTTTTGGCAATTACCCCCAAACTCAATTCCAGCTTTCCCTTTGTGATATGGAACCTTGTAGTACAATTTCAGAAAGATCCATACACTAACACACAAGTTATTGTCATGAAACTAGAAAAATACTTGTTTTTTTCCCCTTTTTTGGCCCCTAATTCCTAAAATTTTGAGGCAATTACCCCCAAAATCAATCCTAGCTTTCCCTTTGTGATATGGAACCTTGTAGTACAATTTCAGAAAGATCCATACACTATCACACAAGTTATTGTCATGAAACTAGAAAAATGCTGTTTTTTGCCCCTTTTTTGGCCCCTAATTCCTAAAATTTTGAGGCAATTACCCCCAAAATCAATCCTAGCATTCCCTTTGTGATATGGAACCTTGTGGTACAATGTCAGAGAGATCCATACACTAACACACAAGTTATGTCTGGAAGTTACAAAAATGCTTATTTTTGGCCCCTAATTCCTTAACTGTTGGTACCATAACCCCCAAAATCAATCCCAACCTTCCTTTTGTGGTATTGAACCTTATGGTAAAATTTCATAGAGATCCATTCACTTAAACTAAAGTTAGAGTGCGAAAACCAATGTGTCTTCGGACGACGATGATGCCAACGTCATACCAATATACGACCGCAAATTTTTTTTTACGGTCGCATAAAAATTATCTGCATAAACTTTCAATGTTTGAACTAACAATTATAATACGGCTCAGAAAAACTGTAGTATTTAAGCATAATTTTATTATATTCAGTGATATTCTGCTTTACTGACCATTGATTTTATGTTGAAAATCTTAAAGGTTTTACTACAAGTATCACATAAACTGAACATTTTTAATGATCCATGACAATGAGGTCAAGGCCAGATAACTCCTGTCTGACACACATGTACACCTTGCAATCATTCAATACACCAAATATAATTGACCTATTGCTTATGATAATTGAAAAACAGACCAAAGCACAATAAAATGCTTCGCTGGGCGCAGCTTGATACGACCGCAGAGGTTGAACCCTGAACACTTGGGGCAAGTATGGACACAACATTCAAGCTTGATACAGCACTGAATTTGGATTGTGATAAAATATTTGACACAGCATAGGTTTCTGACACAGAATGAATGTGGTCTAAGAACTTAAAAAATTCTAATTTACCTATTCAAACCATATCATTATTATTTGCTTTTATATATAAATCAGAAATAACAAATTTACAATGGAAAATTTTAAAGAAAAAAAAGGAAAAAGAGGGAAAAAAAATCCCTCCCCCAAATTTTTTGAACCCCCTTATGATTCATCACCTCAAACTCAATCCCAACCTTCCCTTTGTGGTATGGTACCTTGCAGTACAATTTCAGAGAGATCCATACACTTGAACACAAGTTATTGTCTGGAAACGAGAAAAATGCTTGTTTTAGGCCCCTTTTTGGCCCCAAATTCCTAAACGTTTAAGGCAATTACCCCCAAACTCAAACCCATCTTTCCCTTTGTGATATGGAACCTTGTAGAACAATTTCATAAAGATCCATACACTTACACACAAGTTATTGTCCTGAAACAAGAAAAATGCTTGTTTTTTGCCCCATTTTGGCCCCTAATTCCTAAAATTTTGAGGCAATTACCCCCAAAATCAATCCCAGCCTTCCCTTTGTGGTATGGTACCTTGCAGTACAATTTCAGAGAGATCCATACACTTGAACACAAGTTATTGTCTGGAAACTAGAAAAATGCTTATTTTTGGCCCCTTTTTGGTCCCTTCTTCCTAATCGTTTTTGGCAATTACCCCCAAACTCAATTCCAGCTTTCCCTTTGTGATATGGAACCTTGTAGTACAATTTCAGAAAGATCCATACACTAACACACAAGTTATTGTCATGAAACTAGAAAAATACTTGTTTTTTTCCCCTTTTTTGGCCCCTAATTCCTAAAATTTTGAGGCAATTACCCCCAAAATCAATCCTAGCTTTCCCTTTGTGATATGGAACCTTGTACCACAATTTCATAAAGATCCATACACTTGAACACAAGTTATTGTCTGGAAACTAGAAAAATGCTTATTTTTGGCCCCTTTTTGGCCCCTTATTCCTAAGCGTTTAGGGCAATTACCCCCAAACTCAATTCCAGCTTTCCCTTTGTGATATGGAACCTTGTAGTACAATTTCAGAAAGATCCATACACTATCACACAAGTTATTGTCATGAAACTAGAAAAATGCTGTTTTTTGCCCCTTTTTTGGCCCCTAATTCCTAAAATTTTGAGGCAATTACCCCCAAAATCAATCCTAGCATTCCCTTTGTGATATGGAACCTTGTGGTACAATGTCAGAGAGATCCATACACTAACACACAAGTTATGTCTGGAAGTTACAAAAATGCTTATTTTTGGCCCCTAATTCCTTAACTGTTGGTACCATAACCCCCAAAATCAATCCCAACCTTCCTTTTGTGGTATTGAACCTTATGGTAAAATTTCATAGAGATCCATTCACTTAAACTAAAGTTAGAGTGCGAAAACCAATGTGTCTTCGGACGACGATGATGCCAACGTCATACCAATATACGACCGCAAATTTTTTTTTACGGTCGCATAAAAATTATCTGCATAAACTTTCAATGTTTGAACTAACAATTATAATACGGCTCAGAAAAACTGTAGTATTTAAGCATAATTTTATTATATTCAGTGATATTCTGCTTTACTGACCATTGATTTTATGTTGAAAATCTTAAAGGTTTTACTACAAGTATCACATAAACTGAACATTTTTAATGATCCATGACAATGAGGTCAAGGCCAGATAACTCCTGTCTGACACACATGTACACCTTGCAATCATTCAATACACCAAATATAATTGACCTATTGCTTATGATAATTGAAAAACAGACCAAAGCACAATAAAATGCTTCGCTGGGCGCAGCTTGATACGACCGCAGAGGTCGAACCCTGAACAGTTGGGGCAAGTATGGACACAACATTTAAGCTTGATACAGCTCTGAATTTGGATTGTGATTAAATATTTGACACAGCATAGGTTTCTGACACAGAAAGAATGTGGTCTAAGAACTTCAATTTTTTTAATTTACCTATTATGGTCCAATGTCCAAAATCAAAATACATGGTTAGATTCAGCATATCAAAGAACCCAATATATTCAATTTTTGTTGAAATCAAACAAAGTTTAATTTTGGACCCCAACTTGGACAAACTTGAAAACTGGTCCCATAATCAAAAATCAAACACATGTTTAGATTCAGCATATCAAAGTACCCCAAGAATTCAATTTTTGTTAAAATCAAACTAAGTTTAATTTTGGACCCTTTGGACCTTAATGTAGACCAATTTAAAAAACGGGACCCAAAATCAAAAATCTAAAAACACAGTTAGATTTGGCATATCAAAGAACCCCAATAATTCAATTTTTGATGAAATCAAACAAAGTTTAATTTTGGACCCTTTTGACCTCAATATGAACCAATTTGATAGCGGGCCCACAAAATAAAAAATCTAAATACATGGTAAGATTCAGCATATCAAAGAACCCCATATATTCAATTTTTGTTGAAATCAAACAAAGTTTAATTTTGGACCCCAATTTGGACCAACTTGAAAACTGGGCTAAAAATCTAAAATCAAAATACATGTTTAGATTCAGCATATCAAAGAACCCCATATATTCAATTTTTGTTGAAATCAAACAAAGTTTAATTTTGGACCCCAACTTGGACCAACTTGAAAACTGGTCCCATAATCAAAAATCTAAACACATGTTTAGATTCAGCATATCAAAGAACCCCAAAAATTCAATTTTGTTAAAATCAAACTAAGTTTAATTTTGGACCCTTTGGACCTTAATGTAGACCAATTTAAAAAACGGGACCCAAAATTAAAAATCTAAATACACGGTTAGATTTGGCATATCAAAGAACCCCAATAATTAAATTTTAGATGAAATCAAACAAAGTTTAAATTTGGACCCTTTTGACCTCAATATGAACCAATTTGAAAGCGGGCCCACAAATAAAAAATCTAAATACATGGTAAGATTCAGCATATCAAAGAACCCCATATATTCAATTTTTGTTGAAATCAAACAAAGTTTAATTTTGGACCCAAATTTGGACCAACTTGAAAACTGGGACAAAAATCTAAAATCTAAATACATGTTTAGATTCAGCATATCAAAGAACCCCATATATTCAATTTTTGTTGAAATCAAACAAAGTTTAATTTTGGACCCCAACTTGGACCAACTTGAAAACTGGGCCCATAATCAAAAATCAAACACATGTTTAGATTCAGCATATCAAAGAACCCCAAGAATTCAATTTTTGTTAAAATCAAACTAAGTTTAATTTTGGACCTTAATGTAGACCAATTTAAAAACAGGACCCAAAATTAAAAATCTAAATAGACGGTTAGATTTGGCATATCAAAGAACCCCAATAATTCAATTTTTGATGAAATCAAACAAAGTTTAATTTTGGACCCTTTTGACCTCAATATGAACCAATTTGATAGCGGGTCCACAAATAAAAAATCTAAATACATGGTTAGATTCAGCATATCAAAGAACCCCAAGAATTCAATTTTTGATGAAATCAAACAAAGTTTAATTTTGGACCCTTTTGACCTCAATGTGGACAAACTTGATAACGGGGCCCAAAAATCAAAAATCTAAATACATGGTTAGATTCAGCATATCAAAGAACCCCATATATTCAATTTTTGTTGAAATCAAACAAAGTTTAATTTTGGACCCTGATTTGGACCAACTTGAAAACTGGGCCCATAATCAAAAATCTAAATACATGTTTAGATTCAGCATATCAAAGAACCCTAAGAATTCAATTTTTGTTAAAATCAAACTAAGTTTAATTTTGGACCTTTTTGACCTTAATGTAGACCAATTTGAAAACGGAACCAAAAATTAAGAATCTAAATACACGGTTAGATTCGGCATATCAAAGAACCCCAATAATTCAATTTTTGATGAAATCAAACAAAGTTAAATTTTGGACCCTTTGGACCTCAATGAAGACCAATTTAAAAACGGGGCCCAAAATCCAACTTAATACACGGTTAGATTCAGCATATTAAAGAACCCCAAGAATTCAAGAATAAAACCCCATTGAAATTGATCAAGAAATAAGCAATTTATACGAAGTATCTTCTTTTGCACAATACTGTGCAATTGAATATTTCTTGCTATTGTGCAATACTGTACAATTGACAATTTCTTGCTATTGCGCAATATTGTGCTATTGGATATTTCTTGCTATTGCGCAATACTGTGCAATTGAAGATTTCTTGCTATTGCGCAATACTGTGCAATTGAAGATTTCTTGCAATTGTGCAATACTGTGCAATTGAAAATTTCTTGCTATTGCACAATACTTATTATATAATAATTTACACATCCTGTTTGGTGTGTATCTCCTACCATATCATTATTATTTGCTTTTAAATATTAATCAGAAATAACCAACTTAAAATGGAAAATTTTAAAAGAAAAAAAAAAGGAAAAAAAGAAAAAAAAAGAAAAAAAAAAAATCCCCCCCCCCCAAATTTTTTGAACCCCCTTATGATTCATCACCCCCAAACTCAATCCCAGCCTTCCCTTTGTGGTATGGTACCTTGCAGTACAATTTCAGAGAGATCCATACACTTGAACACAAGTTATTGTCTGGAAACTAGAAAAATGCTTATTTTTGGCCCCTTTTTGGCCCCCTATTCCTAAACGTTTCGGGCAATTACCCACAAACTCAATTCCAGCTTTCCCTTTGTGATATGGAACCTTGTAGTACAATTTCAGAAATATCCAAACACTTACACACAAGTTATTATCATGAAACTAGAAAAATGCTTGTTTTTTGCCCCTTTTTTGGCCCCTAATTCCTAAAATTTTGAGGCAATTACCCCCAAAATCAATTACAGCCTCCCTTTGTGATATGGAACCTTGTGGTACAATGTCAGAGAGATCCATACACTTACACACAAGTTATTGTCTGGAAGTTACAAAAATGCTTATTTTTGGCCCCTTTTTGGCCCCTAATTCCTCAACTGTTGGTACCATAACCCCCAAAATCAATCCCAACCTTCCTTTCGTGGTATTGAACCTTATGGTAAAATTTCATGGAGATCCATTCACTTAAACTAAAGTTAGAGTGCGAAAACCAATGTGTCTTCGGACGACGCCGGACGACGCCAGACGACGACGACGACAACGCCAACGTCATACCAATATACGACCAAAAAATTTTCAATTTTTGCGGTCGTATAAAAACTTACCATTCATCAATGAACCATGAAAATGAGGTCAAGGTTTGATGATACCTGCCAGACAGACATGTACCCCTTACAATCACTCCATACACCACATATGGTTGACCTACTGCTTATAATATCTGAAAAACTGACCTTATCGCTTAACTTTAACCTTGATAACTGATCCATATTATGAGGACAAGGTCATGGCCGTCAGGTGAACTCTGTCTGACGACCATGTAGACATTACAAGGAACCAATAAACCAAATAAAAGTTATTCTATTACTCATTTTAAGTGAAAAATTCACATTAAATTACATTTTTACTAGCAGTCGCTGAACCATGAAAATGAGGTCAAGGACAATGGACATATGAAAGACGGAAATTTCGTAACATAAGGTATCTGCATACAAGGTATGAAGTATCCACGTCTTCGACCTTCTGAAAGATAAAGTCTTATACAAACAGTTTACATTGCCGCCACCGTCACCGGATAGTAATACCTATGTCTCGCATACTGCCACTTTCCTCAGAGGGGAGACACCTTCTTTTATGTAATGAACAGTTAAACTCTTGCAAATGATATAAAATAAGGAGATGTGGTATGACGATGTTAGCAACTATAGGACCAATTTTTAATGTTATGAATAGTAAATAAACTGCTTCACCGAGCACAGCTAGATACGACCGCAGAGTTCCAACCCGAAACAGTTGGGGCAAAAATGGACACAATATTCAAGCTTGATACAGGTCTGAATTTGGATTGTAATTAAATATTTGACACCTTATAGGTTTCTGACACAGAATAAATGTAGTCAAAGAACTTGAAATTGGTTGTATGATTTGAATTTATATTCAATTGAAGATTTCTTGCTGTTGTGCAATACACTGTGCTGTTGCTCAATACTTAGTAAATCTGTTTTCAGACTATATACAAAGGATTAGCAAAATAAATTGTGACCCCCAATTTTTTTTCTTTGGAAAATTGACAATTTCTAAAATCTTGAGGAAAAAAAATTGACCCCTCCCAAAAATTTTTTGTTTTTACCGCCCCTCCAAAAAAAAATAGTATTTGAAGAGAAATTTTCTTTTCAGGAAAAAAAATTGCCCCCCCTCCCCCCTTTCCAAAAAAATTAATTTTGAAGAAATTTTCTTTTAGTAAAATGTAGTACAAATTACGGGACATCCATACACTCATACACAAGTTATTGTCTGAAAACTAGAAAAATGCTTGTTTTAGACCCTTATTGGCCCCTAACTCCTGAACGGTTTGGGCATTTACCCCCAAAATGAATCCCAACCTTCTACTTGTGGTATTGAACCTTGAGATACTTATACACAAGTTATTGTCCTGAAACTAGAAAAATGCTTGTTTTGGCCCCTTTTAGGCCCCTTATTCCTAAACGGTTGGGACCATCACCTCCAAAAACTGAATCCCAACCTTCCTTTTGTGGTATTGAACCTTTTGCTTAAATTTCATAGAGATCCATACACTTAAACTAAAGTTATTGTCCGGAAAACAAATGTCTTCGGACGACGCTGACGCCGACGACGTGATACCAATATACGACCGCCTGGGCCCCCACTTTTGTGAGAAAAATTTGGTTGATTATTTAGGGACCACTGAAGCATGACTGGAGCGGGCCCCCTCTTATTGATGTCAGTGGGGCCTCATCCCCCTTATGAAAATTTCTGGATCCACCACCGGGTAATCTCAGAGCTGAGCTGATGGCAAAGGACACAGTTCCATTTTAAATTTCAACTTTATCCTTAAAGATCATAAAGGCCATAATTTGGTTCTTAAATGGATCTATATCAAAATCCTTGATGTTAGCACACTTTTGTGGCCAAAGTAAATTATGCTTAAAACTGTATAAATTTTTTGAAAAATTGGACCAAAACTGATGTTACAAAACAAATAATGCATACTTAAGGGGTCATTACTTCGTAATTTATAATGTGATGTGCAAAAAAATAAGTTATTTTGTATTTATAGTAGTAATTCCCCAACTATTTCAATGTGAAATCTGTAGAATTTGACCTTATTCAGAAAAAAACAATAAAATCTTAGGGCCAATTTTATGAATCTTTGTGAATCTTCTCCTTTATTCTGAGTCCATATCAAATCATCAAAAACCTACAAGTTTCGTGAATTTTTCCTCTATAAATCTCAATTTAATTCTAACATGAATTTTTCCTCTATAAATCTCAATTTAATTCTAACATGAGACAAATTTTCAGGATTATCATTTACGTAGTCAATTCAAATGTATTAGTAATCAGGATGAGTCCAAATATGATAATGGCATTCTTGAGTTGTTTTCAACAATATCCTTTTTTATACTTCATGTAAAATAGAGGCGAAGGATACCAAAGGGACATTCAAACTCATAAGTCGAAAAATAAACACACAATGCCATGGCTAAAAGCAAAAAAAGACAAACAGAAAAACAACAGTACACAAAACATAACATAGAAAACCAACGACTGAGCAACACGAACCCCAACAAAATCTTGGGTGATCTCAGGTCCTCCAGAAGGGTAAGCAGATTCTGCTCCATATGTGAATGATGTGCTCAAGCAAAAGTTTCAAAAAAAAGAAAGAAAACAAGGTCATTAAAAGGAATCTACTGATTTAATATGACTTTTCAAAGAAATTTTCAAAATTAACATTTTTAATTATAAAAATATTTACCTGATTCTACATCATAGTGTCTATGTTTTGTTGAGGTAATGCTGCCATTCGATGTGACTGATTCTGATAATTTATCATAGTGTACGATAGTATTGTTGTGTTTTATTCCTTGTTTATGATGAACGGAACTACATAAACATTTACAATGTTCTACCATCCAAACTTCTAATTTCGAGTTAAAAAACATCAGCACTATATAAAAAATGTAGAATATCACAAGTCCTAACGATTCATACCTACAACAAACAAAAAAAGTAGACTTATTACAATCATGAGAAAAACTTTTATCTTTCGACAGCTTACTTACACAATTTCTTAACAGATGCTGACTGTATTTTCACTTTTATTTAGGACATTATATTTTGTCAGAAGTTACTTTCTCTGATTTGGTCCTCCTATCTAAGTACCGGTAGGCATTTTAAAGGTCATGTTTTAACAACTACATTACAACTTTATCTGCTATAAGACATCTGTTGATGCTAATGCAATTTTTTAAACTAAAGCAGAAAGTATGATAGGCCAATTTTTTTGCCCCTTTAATTCAAAAATTGAAAAGTATTTTAAATATACCAAATAACAGCCTTAAATGTTAATAAAACATATGTCTGTCAAACAAAAGTATGTCATTTTTTTGAAATAATAATTTGCTTTTAGCAGCCAGTTTGGTTCAATTTTGTCAAAATAAACTAAGAAACATTGCTGATGAATTATTCACTTGCAAGTGCATAGTTTCGACCTCACTGAATTTGTATTCATGTGACCTTCAATTTAACCCCTTAGCTAGTGATGGAATACCCATAAACTAGGCGTTCAGCTATTAAAAGGAAAAGAATGTCAACATTGAAAGTGCAACAAGGGTAAACCATTTGGGTTGACAGATTCGATCCACAAAAACTCATTCTTATACAGGCAACAACAATGATTGACATATATTTTAACCTATAATATGAAATCAAACAGACCTAGAAAAATCCAATGCACGTGTTCACTATCTATTTATATCTATATTTATGTTTATATCAGGTTATATGACCATCAGCAGTCTTTGGAGGTCAACTCGATGGTGATCCAATTAAAGGGGTCAAATGATGACTGTTATCATATGTGCCCCTTTAAGACACTAAAATTGACACCCATACTGTATTATTTTTCTTTATGCCTTGAACTTTTTATGATATCTGATTAAAACAATTTTTGCTTTAACAATCTTATTCAATTAAATTTGGCCAAACACACAATGGCTAAAAAATTCAAATGATTTGTCACTGGATGTCTTTCAAAAATAATTTGCGTAGAAGACTATGTGCAATAATTGTGGTATCTATCTGTTCATTTAAGAAATTTTATAGAGATCACTTTAAGACACCTCCAATAGAAGAAATATTTGAAGTATCAGAAAGATAAATGCCTCACTAACCCTTTAGAATAAATTATGAATATACTGACTATAATTAATTGATTAAACTTCAGTTTCTATTTTTAAGCTACTGCAATTCCTGAAAGCCAACCATCACTTTAGAAATAATAACAGACAAATATATTTAAGCAAAGCAATGCCTCTCTTTGAAGATAAACCTGCAAACAACACATCACCAATATGATTGTTTACATAAACACATTACTGAAACATTTAATTCCACTCCAATAAAATTTCTCTACTGAGAAAATAAATTAAAATAAAACCTCAATCAAAATTTTCTTTAAAAAAACCTTAATCAGCTTTTTCACAATCTTTCCACATCAACTCAATTTAATCACTGTCATTACTGCATTTCTATCATCAGGAAGATTTTATGGAAATTGTGAAGAAAACTACAGTGGCATTCTATATCATAATGTATAAGATACCCAAGCAATCGTGCATATCAACTTTTATAGAAATAGTTGAAATGAGTAAATACAAAATATATCTTCACTATTCATTAATAAAAGATCTTTTACCTATCCATAATTACTGTAGAGTGTGTGGTTTTGTTTTATCTTTATAGACCAAACTATTTCAATCAAATCCAATATACCTGTATACAAATAAAATCAGATATGCTTGGTTGAAACCTTGCATGTTTAGGTATTAATAAAGGTATAATTGCAAGAATATGATAAATTTTTAAAAGCCATGATAACTATAGGTTACCAAATTGGGGAATTTAATTATCGACAAAGTCAACTTTTGAGATTCCCTTTTGACCTTTTAGGCCATCAACATCATATTATGTATTAAACAACCATGGTCTAAAATGGAAGGAGATTGAAAGGGATTAATCTCATTCCAGTAACAGCAGAATTATCAAATATTACTAACCCATAAAAACAGAATCACAGATCTATTATTTTTCAAAAAAGGATAGAGCCATTTTACTCACCAGTATACATTTTCATCATATATCACATAAGCTAATGCTAACACACTTAAAGTGTAAAAGGCACAGTCTCTAAATAAAGGCCACCAATTCAGATGTACCACCTGTAAACACAAATAAACAATTATCATACAATGTGTAAAAGGCACAGTCTCTAAATAAAGGCCACCAATTCAGAAGTACCAAGTGTAAACACAAATAAACAATTATCATACAATGTGTAAAAGGCACAGTCTCTAAATAAAGGCCACCAATTCAGTTGTACCACCTGTAAACACACTACAATGGCAAATCTTACATTGAACAAAAATTAATTTACAGACACAATATTTTCTGAAGCATCTGACTGTTGTTTGTTTTTTGTTTTTTGCCACGATGTTGTCAGTTGGTTTTCAAATTATGAGTTTGAACATCCCTTGATATCTTTGGTCTCTCCCCTATGTTAACCAAACTTTCTGTTTTGATGAACTGTTTAAGCAATGATGTCATATTACTTCAAACATACACAATGGATTTGTTTTTTAATTTGGACAGAAATGGTGATCTTACAATACTTTTGCAGCAGCACAAATTGACATAAGAGGGAATAAAAGGAGATCCCCGGTAAAGAAACATCAATGTCACAGTAACATAAGGACACAAACATCAAAACGACATCATGAGGTCAACATACAGTCAGACAAGTGTCTATACAATATGTCAAGATCCTAATTGTAATCAGACAAGTGTCTATACAATATGCCAAGATCCTAATTGTAAATTAAACAGAAGATCTGCCATCAACACAAAATACTACCAATTACAAAACACATGAAGACTTTAAAGTAACAATATAATGTATGCATGTATATTAGTGTGAAAAATAAATTTTAATAAAATGCTTCGCTGGGCGCAGCTTGATACGACCGCAGAGGTCGAACCCTGAACAGTTGGGGCAAGTATGGACACAACATTTAAGCTTGATACAGCTCTGAATTTGGATTGTGATTAAATATTTGACACAGCATAGGTTTCTGACACAGAAAGAATGTGGTCTAAGAACTTCAATTTTTTTAATTTACCTATTATGGTCCAATGTCCAAAATCAAAATACATGGTTAGATTCAGCATATCAAAGAACCCCATATATTCAATTTTTGTTGAAATCAAACAAAGTTTAATTTTGGACCCCAACTTGGACAAACTTGAAAACTGGTCCCATAATCAAAAATCTAAACACATGTTTAGATTCAGCATATCAAAGTACCCCAAGAATTCAATTTTTGTTAAAATCAAACTAAGTTTAATTTTGGACCCTTTGGACCTTAATGTAGACCAATTTAAAAAACGGGACCCAAAATTAAAAATCTAAAAACACGGTTAGATTTGGCATATCAAAGAACCCCAATAATTCAATTTTTGATGAAATCAAACAAAGTTTAATTTTGGACCCTTTTGACCTCAATATGAACCAATTTGATAGCGGTCCCACAAAATAAAAATTCTAAATACATGGTAAGATTCAGCATATCAAAGAACTCCATATATTCAATTTTTGTTGAAATCAAACAAAGTTTAATTTTGGACCCCAATTTGGACCAACTTGAAAACTGGGCCAAAAATCTAAAATCTAAATACATGTTTAGATTCAGCATATCAAAGAACCCCATATATTCAATTTTTGTTGAAATCAAACAAAGTTTAATTTTGGACCCCAACTTGGACAAACTTGAAAACTGGTCCCATAATCAAAAATCTAAACACATGTTTAGATTCAGCATATCAAAGAACCCCAAAAATTCAATTTTTGTTAAAATCAAACTAAGTTTAATTTTGGACCCTTTGGACCTTAATGTAGACCAATTTAAAAAATGGGACCCAAAATTAAAAATCTAAATACACGGTTAGATTTGGCATATCAAAGAACCCCAATAATTAAATTTTTGATGAAATCAAACAAAGTTTAATTTTGGACCCTTTTGACCTCAATATGAACCAATTTGATAGCGGGCCCACAAATAAAAATTCTAAATACATGGTAAGATTCAGCATATCAAAGAACCCCATATATTCAATTTTTGTTGAAATCAAACAAAGTTTAATTTTGGACCCCAATTTGGACCAACTTGAAAACTGGGCCAAAAATCTAAAATCTAAATACATGTTTAGATTCAGCATATCAAAGAACCCCATATCTTCAATTTTTGTTGAAATCAAACAAAGTTTAATTTTGGACCCCAACTTGGACCAACTTGAAAACTGGGCCCATAATCAAAAATCTAAACACATGTTTAGATTCAGCATATCAAAGAACCCCAAGAATTCAATTTTTGTTAAAATCAAACTAAGTTTAATTTTGGACCCTTTGGACCTTAATGTAGACCAATTTAAAAATGGGACCCAAAATTAAAAATCTAAATACACGGTTAGATTTGGCATATCAAAGAACCCCAATAATTAAATTTTTGATGAAATCAAACAAAGTTTAATTTTGGACCCTTTTGACCTCAATATGAACCAATTTGATAGCGGGTCCACAAATAAAAAATCTAAATACATGGTTAGATTCAGCATATCAAAGAACCCCAAGAATTCAATTTTTGATGAAATCAAACAAAGTTTAATTTTGGACCCTTTTGACCTCAATGTGGACAAACTTGATAACGGGGCCCAAAAATCAAAAATCTAAATACATGGTTAGATTCAGCATATCAAAGAACCCCATATATTCAATTTTTGTTGAAATCAAACAAAGTTTAATTTTGGACCCCGATTTGGACCAACTTGAAAACTGGGCCCATAATCAAAAATCTAAATACATGTTTAGATTCAGCATACCAAAGAACCCTAAAAATTCAATTTTTGTTAAAATCAAACTAAGTTTAATTTTGGACCCTTTTGACCTTAATGTAGACCAATTTTAAAACGGAACCAAAAATTAAGAATCTAAATACACGGTTAGATTCGGCATATCAAAGAACCCCAATAATTCAATTTTTGATGAAATCAAACAAAGTTTAATTTTGGACCCTTTTGACCTCAATATGAACCAATTTGATAGCGGGTCCACAAATAAAAAATCTAAATACATGGTTAGATTCAGCATATCAAAGAACCCCAAGAATTCAATTTTTGATGAAATCAAACAAAGTTTAATTTTGGACCCTTTTGACCTCAATGTGGACAAACTTGATAACGGGGCCCAAAAATCAAAAATCTAAATACATGGTTAGATTCAGCATATCAAAGAACCCCATATATTCAATTTTTGTTGAAATCAAACAAAGTTTAATTTTGGACCCCGATTTGGACCAACTTGAAAACTGGGCCCATAATCAAAAATCTAAATACATGTTTAGATTCAGCATACCAAAGAACCCTAAAAATTCAATTTTTGTTAAAATCAAACTAAGTTTAATTTTGGACCCTTTTGACCTTAATGTAGACCAATTTTAAAACGGAACCAAAAATTAAGAATCTAAATACACGGTTAGATTCGGCATATCAAAGAACCCCAATAATTCAATTTTTGATGAAATCAAACAAAGTTAAATTTTGGACCCTTTGGACCTCAATGTGGACCAATTTAAAAACGGGGCCCAAAATCCAAAAACTTAATACACGGTTAGATTCAGCATATTAAAGAACCCCTAGGTTCAAGAATAAAACCCCATTGAAATTGATCAAGAAATAAGCAATTTATACGAAGTATCTTCTTTTGCACAATACTGTGCAATTGAATATTTCTTGCTATTGTGCAATACTGTACAATTGACAATTTCTTGCTATTGCGCAATATTGTGCTATTGGATATTTCTTGCTATTGCGCAATACTGTGCAATTGAAGATTTCTTGCTATTGCGCAATACTGTGCAATTGAAGATTTCTTGCAATTGTGCAATACTGTGCAATTGAAAATTTCTTGCTATTGCACAATACTTATTATATAATAATTTACACATCCTGTTTGGTGTGTATCTCCTACCATATCATTATTATTTGCTTTTAAATATTAATCAGAAATAACCAACTTAAAATGGAAAATTTTAAAAGAAAAAAAGAAGGAAAAAAAGAAAAAAAAAGAAGAAAAAAAATCCCCCCCCCAATTTTTTGAACCCCCTTATGATTCATCACCCCCAAACTCAATCCCTGCCTTCCCTTTGTGGTATGGTACCTTTCAGAGAGATCCATACACTTGAACACAAGTTATTGTCTGGAAACTAGAAAAATGCTTATTTTTGGCCCCTTTTTGGCCCCCAATTCCTAAACGTTTCGGGCAATTACCCCCAAACTCAATTCCAGCTTTCCCTTTGTGATATGGAACCTTGTAGTACAATTTCAGAAATATCCAAACACTTACACACAAGTTATTGTCATGAAACTAGAAAAATGCTTGTTTTTTGCCCCTTTTTTGGCCCCTAATTCCTAAAATTTTGAGGCAATTACCCCCAAAATCAATTACAGCCTCCCTTTGTGATATGGAACCTTGTGGTACAATGTCAGAGAGATCCATACACTTACACACAAGTTATTGTCTGGAAGTTACAAAAATGCTTATTTTTGGCCCCTTTTTGGCCCCTAATTCCTTAACTGTTGGTACCATAACCCCCAAAATCAATCCCAACCTTCCTTTCGTGGTATTGAACCTTATGGTAAAATTTCATGGCGATCCATTCACTTAAACTAAAGTTAGAGTGCGAAAACCAATGTGTCTTCGGACGACGCCGGACGATGCCAGACGACGACGCCAACGTCATACCAATATACGACCAAAAAATTTTCAATTTTTGCGGTCGTATAAAAAGCTTTGTTATTTCTAACCAAATGAAATATGTCAACTAATATATATAAAGGGTCAATAAACACAGTTTTCTGATTAAAAAGAATAATGAAAACTGAAATAATGTATAATATACACTACATATGTACCAAGTCAGGAATATAACAGTTGTTTTCCATTTGTTTGATGTGTTTGAGCTTTTGATTTTGCCATTTGAAAAGTGACTTTCCATTTTGAATTTTCCTTGGGAGTTTTTTTTATATCTTTACTTTTTTGTATCCATATTAACAGCTACAGATTTGGAGCTCAATCAAGGCTGCACGAGTTTTTTGTGTATACATAGTATACAAAGTGAGGTGAACATTTTAAAATGCATATACAAATATTCCATGAGGATTTTAAGGCTCTGGATTGAAAGCTGCATTAGTTCATAACACTGAAAAGATAACGTCTTTTCCCAGCCTCCTTGACATTCACCATACTAAAATTTGCACATTGTGTGCAAACCTGCCAAAATTGGTGTAAAGTGACTTTACAATCTGATTGATTGCACTTAAGTGCCCTTTCAGACAACTAGCACCCTTCTGCCCTGAGATTCAAGCTGGAACACTGAAGTCTATAGCAAATAATGCAAAACAGATGTATTTTCCCCTGCCTCATCACAGTAAAATGTGTTATGATTAATCAGTCAAAAATGACTCGACATAAAATATGAATATATAAACCAATGAAAAACGTAAGTGCCTACAGTAGCTGTTGTATATTTTTAATATATAGCTAAACCTTTTAAATACTTAAAAAAAAATAAACTGTGTTATATAAATAGAATGAAATGAGGGGCATATCAATAAGACAGCAACCCAATGACTTAAAAAAATTTGTAAGGGGTTCATCGGAACCTTGTATCTCGCCTGCAATTGCTGCTGTCAGTGTAAAAGTGTAATGATGACTTAAAAAGTAAGTCAGCAAAATACAGAATTTAAAACTTTTTCTTTGATGCTATTTCTTGGTCTTGAAGATTAGATTCTGTCCAAGTTTCATAACAATCCATGAAGGTTTACAAATTTATCATGTCAAAAAAAATAAAAAAATTTGAAATGTCTGTAAATATTGACTGTAAAAAACTAAGTCCATTCAGTAAAATACTGAAAAATTAGAATAAATATTTTCAAAATTTCGCTCTGGATACTGTTGTTTGGTCATAAACAAGCTTCTGTCAAAATTTCATTAAATTGCCTTGAAGGTTTGACCGAGTTATTAATGTCTGAAAACTTTAACCACAGACTGAACCGAAATGTTGATGCCGCCAACGAAATCTAGGATTGCTATGTCTTGCTTTCGTGACATAAATGTTGCAGGCTCAACAAAAATTAAGACATCAAGAGGTCAAGAGGTCACCATACAGTTTCATGAATAGACATATGATTTTATAATAAGTCAGGCTCTAAATCACTCTAAAGAGTCTGAAAAAAATGTTAATAAATTGCATTACATTATAAATGTATATGTAGTAGACATGTATGCATATATGCACCCTCTTAACTTGAGTAAATGATTTTACTTATTTGGAAACACATATGTTTCAAAGACACAAGTTTCATGCCAAATTACAGGAGAAAAATCTGTTTCAACCATCTTAAAACACTTTTACTAGTATGAAAGTTAAACATATGATTTACTGCCACTTTGATAGTCAAGAGCAACCTTGAATGGTTAATCCCATTCATTCATAATTCATTTTCCAGTTAAAATTTCTTGTTTACTGTATTATTATTGTGTTAAGAATTGAAAGTAGCATTGTCAATTGATGATGACTCAGTTTGCAATTTTAGCTCAACAAGTTCATTTCTATTTTAAACTACATGTACTGCATTCTACCAATTTTTTTGAAAATTTTTTACTGAAACAAACAGTTACATAATTTCATTTATTGCATGCTGTAAAACTATTTTAGCCAATGAAATCAGAAGTTTACCAAAGTAATGTTCTAAATTATGTAGTTCCACCCTGACCTTTATAATAATCATGTGGTCTACATGGTATGGACGTCTTAGTGCTAACATTAATAAGCCATAGACCAATGCAATTGAAATGTTATTTCTCAAACCGTCAATGGAATATCAAAATCAGTTCTAGTAATGTGGGTAAACTCATTCTCAATTCTATCATCAAAGGTAATCTAGTTACATTGAGTCATAGAGGGTTCATCAGTACAAAATTTACACAACACAAATTATCATGTAACTAACAAGCTCCAAAAAACTATCATGAGATTATGGTGTAATGATGGATGTTCTTGAAAAATGAAGCCAAATAACTCTAATATATTTCTCAAACCTAAAACAACTTTTTTCAAGTTCTTACCATTCCGGCAAATAATGCACAAATACTGATGACAAACATCACATTATAAACAGCTGAACCAACAACAGTCCCAAGTCCTATATCATCCTGAAATATACAAAAAAAAAATTATGGCTTTTAGTAAACATATGTAAAAATTAATTGTAGCTTTTCAGATCAATTTATCTTTTTTTAAAGTAATTTCACTTCTTTAATTCTCCCCCTTAAGAAACAGTTATAAAAGTAAACTGGGTTAGTGAACAACACAGAAATTCTTGTTTTGACATTTTTTCGCTCCAAAATCACTGTATATACCCAGCAAAAAGGGAAGATGGTTGAAAAGATTGCTATATACATATCGGATCTTAATTCAATGTTTTCATTGGTGTAAACATGGTGTTATTTATCAAAAAGATTGCTATATACATATCAGATCTTAATTCAATGTTTTTCATTGGTGTAAACATGGTGTTATTTATCAATCTGCAATAAAAATAAAATTCACCAGGTATTATCAATCTGTTATAATGCCCACTCATAATTTTAGAGTTACATCCTTTTTTTTTTAATAGACCTAATCGCTATCTGGAAATCTGTGACGCTTGACCAGAGAATCTGCACCTCTTGAACTATTGTGTCATACAACAATCACTTTTCCATTGTGGCATCAGATATTTTCTATTATGACGTCAAAATTTTACGGGAACCTTAAATGTGATGTCCAGTAATGGCTGACAAATAGCGATAAGGTGTATTGCACAAAGTGATTCTGCAGCTATTTACATTATACACATCAGAGTGTTTGACTTTGATAATGTGTTGTTGTAGAAGAGGCAGAGAAGGTCCCAGGGAACTCACCATGCTTACTACGGTACTTATTTTTCATATTGATGAATATCTTCAGCACACATATTGTCTAAAATCTTGGTTTACTTATAAAAGGACATTGTCGTAATGAACCGCTTACTAAGGTACTTATGTTTAATATTGATGGATATCTTCAACACACATATTTGTCTAAAATCTTGGTTTACTTATAAATAGGACATTGTCGTAATGAACCGCTTACTAAGGTACTTATTTTTCATATTTATGGATATCTTCAACACACATATTTGTCTAAAATCTTGGTTTACTTATAAATAGGACATTGTTGTTATAAAAAAATTGCCATTGAGATAGTAGTATTGACTTCGACATTATTAATGTCCTTTGATTGCAGCTCAATCTATGTTTCTGTCAATAGTTAGATAGACTGTTCAAACAATTTTATAAACAGCAGGATCTATTTCATATCAAGTGAGTCTGTGAAAATTGTACATGGCTCTCTCAACCAGAATAAGGTTAATTTGAATTTTGATAGACAAAGTTATTTGCCTGGGACCATAATATGACCAAAACAATTCTGCAGTTATTATACATTTGCAAAATTACATGATTTTTACATATATATAAGACAAATATGTATTAGTTAAATTTAATTTCTTCAGTTTTTAAAAGTGTTACATATAGATGATGAAATCATAACTGCTAAGTTATTTTATCTGTCAAAGATGTTACATTTGATCGATTTGACTTCTTCAATAGTCAACAATTCTTAAAACTGGTGTCTTAAAGAACCTGCATCGCTCACCTTGATCTATGTAGAATTTTGTGGACAAGAATATAATCATGACTTTTGTTAATCTTGTTTTGCTGATCATTTTTCTGTTTTCAGTTTCTCTCTATCTTCTAGTTTTCAAGATGATAGAAAAAAACTTGCATTCAATCCATATGTTCTATTTCTCACCATGTTGGTTGGCAAGCAGGGTCATCAGACACATTCATTAAACTGTTTCACCCAACAATGGCCAAATTTGGTTAAATTTGGCACAGTAGTTTCAAAGGAGAAGATTTTTATAAAAGTTAATGGACGACGGAGATGATGTGTCAACAGACAACTGGTGATGGACACCTAGTGAATGGAAAAAGGTTAATGTGATATGAATATGAACCCTGCTAGACTGACACTCTGAGCTTTTAATGTGCTAAATCCAAAGGTTACATTCCAAAGGAAGACATATGTCACTCTACCTAGACACATTATTTTGACTCCTAGCAGACTAGTCCTTGCTATTACTCCTAACTGCTGCTTGCTTAATCAAAAACATAAATACCAATTTGGAGCCAACCCATGATCTACAGCATTCTAGGCGAGCACACTAATTTGAGACCACCTAAAGAAGTTGTAATTAATTGACTGCATATTACTGACATTAATAAATAAACTCAAAGTTAGCAAGATGAGTCATACAAGTGGATTGACCAATGGGAATGAGCAGAGAATTGAGACTGCTTCTGGAGTTGCCTGAATTGAGTCAAATCAAATACCTTGATAACAAAAGGCCATCTAAAATTGTAAGAAAGCTATTCTAACAAGTATTAAATACCATTGCACTTTTAGGAATGTTGTTTTACAATACAAATGTTCAGATCAATTCTTATGTAATTTTGAGAAAGATATGTATGTTTAAATTTCAGCTGACTATCTGCTTCTTGTTTGTACTTTTACAGAAAAATAGTGACCTGCAGATGTTTACATTTTTGTGTTTTGGTCAATACTTGTCTTATAGACAATTAATTACAGATTCAGATTCCTTATTAAGATAATAAATCATATGATAGTATACGAAACAACTTTTCAAAGTTTTACATGTAGTATATAATAATACAACTGTGTACATAATTTTAAGACTTGTTTCTTATTTCTAATGCATCTCTAATAAATTTGTATAAATAATTACATTCAATAATATTTTGTGGATTTAAAATATTAGAAACTGAAAAATTATCATTATCTGAATCTTTCAAATTTAAACCATTATAGATTGGAAAAAAGTTTGCCTCATCTTTATATTTATCACAAAATATCAAAAAATGTTCTTCTGTCTACTTGCAGAATTTGCAAAAATGTTCTTCTCTTGGAATTTTGGGTTTATTATATCTACCCTGTTCTATATTTTAACAATGAGCACTGAAACGTAGTTGTGTAATTTTGCTTTTTATATTTTTGGTAAGATTGGTTTGAAGATAGAATGGAACAAAATTTGGAACAAAAATATTTCTGAAAAACATCAGTTTACTGTCCACACCTCCAGATTAGATTTTTCATAGTTGTGAGTCAGATTGCTGATTATAAAATCTTATTAGACTATTTTTAAAAACACTATTATCTGTCAAATTTTTTGTATCAAGTTTAAGTACTTTAAATATTTTATTTAGGGTAGAAAATTAGCATTTTGAGTTTTCTTGAGATAATTCTTGATCTGCAGTAAACGCACTATATAATATTCTATCTCTATTTATTTTAAGTGTAGTCTAATATAATAATTATACATTAAACATAATGAGAAAATCAACATTGGACTCCTGTTACATTCGAGTCTACTAGCCATATTTGATGACTGTCTTTTGACCCCAAGGATAGATTTCAACATCTTGTGTTGCATAATTTATCAATTGGTAGATTGTCAAAATTATTTCAATTTATACCACATCTCCTTACTTTTAAAATATCATTTGAATATCTTGTCAGGGTTAAAATAGCTTAAAATATATTAATTTAAAGATTTATAAGAAAACACTGTAATAAAAAAATGGAGAATGTGTCCCCATGAAAACAGAAGATGCCCCCGCTTGCATACATTATAAAGGGACATAACACATGAACGATTAAAGTGATGCTGCCCAAATTTGTACTTGATCTGAGCTTTGTGGTAATAAGTATTGTGTATAGGTCTCGTAATGTTTGGTTGGGACAAACTTAAGTTACAGAACAGAAACTAAAAATTTTGCAATTTTTCGATTTTTAAAGGGGCATAACTCGATAATGATTAAAGTGACGCCACCAAAATTCAACTTGATCTGTATGTTGTGGTAAAAAGCATTGTGTATAAGTTTCATAACATTTGGTTGAGGCAACTTAAGTTAGTGAATGATACTAAAAATTTTGCAATTTTTCAATTTAAAAAGGGGCATAACTCTAAAACGGTTAAAGTGACGCCACCAAAATTCAAACTTGATCTGAGTTTGTGGTAATAAGCGTTGTATATAAGTTTCATAACATTTGGTTGAGGCAAACTCAAGTTAGAGAACGGAAACTAAAAATATTGTAATTTTTCCATTTATACAGGGGCATAACTCTAGAACGGTTTAAGTAACACCACCAAAATTCACACTTGATCTGTGTTTTGTGGTAATAAGCATTGTGCATAAGTTCCATATCATTTGGTTGAGGCAAACTTAAGTTAGAGAATGGAAACTAAAAATTTTGTAATTTTTCCATTTATAAAGGGGCATAACTCTAGAACGGTTAGAGTGACACTACCAAAATTCAATCTTGATCTGTATTTTGTGATAATAAGCATTGTGTATAAGTTTCATAACATTTGGTTGAGGCAAACTCAAGTTAGAGAACGGAAACCAATTTTGGGACGTAAGGACGTACGTACATAAGTACGTACAGATGGACAAAGGTAAAACTTAATGCCCCCTCCGCTACGGCGGGGGCATAAAAATTTCATTCTAAATGAAAATTTCTGTTTTTATTTATTTTTAACTTTCACTATATACTTGTTACTATTATGTAATTCATTCTGAAAGTATTTTCAATACTAGGATAGGATGGCCAATTGATTTTTGTAGCTTAGGATCTAATTAAAGAAGAAACTTCCAGTTAATCCCTGTCAAAGTCAATCCAAATTAGTGAGCAGAATTACAGTCTGGTGACAGCTGACTTTGTCAAATAACAACTGTAAAATCAAAATTATCCAGGGAACATGTTAATGATTAAACGGTCCTAAATGTGCTGTTGGAGAGACATTATATAAGGGAACAATTTATGCTAACAATATTTTCCGTTAATTTTCTATCTTAAAATACTGATTTCAGGAAATAATTCAGTAGTAAACATGATAAAGAATATTCACAAAATAAATCACTAACATTTAACAATAAATTTGCAAAGACATCTGCCTAATTAATACAATCGTTCATTTTTGAAGTAATTTTGAAGGGAAGGTTAACAGTTGGTGGACAAAATCTGCCATTATTTAGAGATTGGTGGACTGTGAAATGAAACAACCATACATATCAAAGACTGGAATTACCCTTCTGGAGCACCTGAGATCACCCCCAGTTTTTAGTGGGGTTTGTGTTGCTCAGTCTTTAGTTTTCTATGTTGTGTTTTGTGTACTATTGTCTGTCTGTTGGTCTTTTTTTCTTTTTTAGCTACGGCTTTGTCAGTTTATTTTAGACTTATGAGTTTGAATGTCCCTCTGGTATCTTTCGCCTCTCTTGTTCATCCATAAATTTCACTTCAAAGCAACATTTTTAAAACTACAGGCTCCCAGAATCGAGAATTGCTCAACTGGTCAAAATATGCAACATTCAATTCATTAGCAACATGCAGTGGCGGTCATCTTGTACACACAAATTAAGAAAGTGGCCAAGTTGGTTCAAATCCACAATAAAAATACCCTTTTAAAATGGTCTTGACGAGAGACAAAAAGGACTAACTCCTTAAAGAAAATGATGGACATTTCAATTATGTCACCTTATCTATAGATCTTCTTGAGAAAGTGCCTATTGTATTTGCATCATATGATCACCACATTGTTGGCTGTTTTGATGCCCAGTATAAATACAAACTGCTTTGCAATTACTTTAAGTTTGTTTCTTGTTCTAGAAATAGGTGTATTGTGTACCTTTTTATTTATTTCTAAATTATTTTCAAAATGTGATAATTGAATATCCACAATATTCATACATTAAATATGAACCAAGAGATTTTTATCAGATTTTTCCTGTTTACACCAATTTTTACAATAGGATGAGAGAGAGTCTAAAATTTGGTGATTCACAGTCTCAAGTTGATGGAGCTATATATTTTATACTGATGTATAATCAAAATAATTTGACGAGGGTTTTTCTTAAGGACCTTGACTACACATGAGGGTCTTGCACGGTCGGTAAAAATAACTTCTACTGGGTTGTTTGTATATATACAAAATAACAGCTGATTCTTTGTTATAATCAAAGTACTGAAGTGCTGAACATCGGATGATCGCAAGTTCTTGTGGATGGTCACAAGCACTTGTCTCAGAAAAAAAAATCACATCTCTATACCTGAAAGTGAGATTAAGGTACATAGATATATTTTTTTCTGAGACAAGTTCGTGCGTGGATGATGAATAAATGACAGAGAATTCAACCTCACCGTAATAACTATTATATTGTAGTGCTACAAATCAGTATACTCTGGTCTGTTGTTATATATTATATTAATATTTACAAACGAAAGTGAACCAACGCCTGGTGAGTCTGTAGTGAGTTAGAGTCCCTGAAGTGGATACCTCGGGTATGCAGGGTCGTTATGATGAAACACAATAATGTAGAAAGTCTTATAACAACAACACTGGAGGGACTGCTGCAGAAAATTTATTGATCGACATGTTTCGGTGCCTAGGCACCGAAACATGTCGATCAATAAATTTTCTGCAGCAGTCCCTCCAGTGTTGTTGTTATAAGACTTTCTACATTATATTAATATTTGTATATAACAGTTACATGTATATATAATTTTCATCCATTTGTATAGCATTCTATTCTACTATTCTAATAATAGTGCAGTGCAAGTGCATGGTGAACACTCTTCTGTAATAATTCGATTTTTCTAATAGATTGGATTTGAGAAGGCATTCATATTTTCCCGCAAAACGTTCTTGAGATATTCTTCCGCATGCGTTAACACAAATTTTTGGTATTCTTGATTTGTTATTGATATATATGTTTCACGACAAAACATTTTTATATCATTTATCTATGTTCTTAAAAATTATTTTCATGAATATTTATTGATGAAATTAATATATAACAAGCGATAAGGAATGTTATTTTATGTTCGGTTATCAGTCAAAAAACGAAAGTTAGTGGGTAGAAATGTCTGTGGCAACAATACACCGGAATGCCCTCAAGGTCATCTGATGTAAAAATAAGGAGGTATAAATTTTTGAATGGTACAGTTTTTAAACTGTTTACCAGTTTCAAACTTTTTTTCATTATTTTAGTGAAATTTCCCTTATATAAATTAGAGTGCAGTAGCTTTAATTTCATTTTGCACTACAATACAGTACAATCTGTATCACATTTTATATTATCTGATTGATAAAAAATGCCAGCTTTCAAGATTTTTACTTGACTTAAACTTCATAATGTCATAAGTATTTTTTATAAAGTTTTTACTACAACAAAAAAATGTTATTTAAGTTGTACAGAAGATGATTGCTCTTTTCTTTCCTGTCTATACAAAAATAAAAAAAAATTATTACATGATATAGATTTTTTGATACTAAAAGTTTCTCGATTACAGTTTGATGACAGAGACAGATGTTGACTGAGTCTTCAATTACAGTACATCACTTTTATATCAGTCAAATTAATTTTCATAGCAGGAGAAAATCTATTACAGCCTTCCTTTAATGTAAAAAATATTAAATTAATAACAATATACTCTGCAAAAAATCAGAATTTTTTATAGTGAAACATAAAAACTAAATGGCCTTATTATCAAATCTTGATTGATGTTTTATGTGCTTACAAAAATATTTATGAAATATCAAGCAAAAAATGGAATTCAGAATAAAACTCAAATCATTTAATCAAACTTTCTTTGCAAAAACAATGCATCTGTCCAGTCAGACTTTCAACATTAATATACCAGGTATTCATTTGTTTATTACAGAATTTTTTTAAAAACATTCTTTTTTCCATCTAAATAAAAGAACTCACTTTAGCAATGAACACAGCTATAACAGCAGTAGCTAGTTCTGGTGCAGAGCTGCCTGCTGCCATTAAAGTGGCTCCTGCAACATCCGACTGTATATGAAGAACTACAAAATAAAAAAGATAAAATTATTTCATCATAATATAAATTGTATATAAAAGTTGGTGTATGCTAGTTCTACAGATATATGTATAATTTCTCAAAATATGATATGTTTGATCTAACTATAGCACTTCAAGTTCTAGAATATTATTCATGATAAGCAAGTGAAACTGCAAGCTACTGCTCACTGATAATACCCCCAGCCCAAATATTCATTTGTTGTTGAGTGATGAATCTGAAAACGCATCACACGGTATAGCTGACTTATATAAACCCTAAAGCAAAATTTCAGAAATCTTAATGATGTAGTTCCTGAAAAAGATGTGACGAAAAATATTCATGGGACAGACAGATGGATTGACGGATGGCCAGACAGAGGTAAAACAGTATACCCCCACTTTTTTAAAGCGGGGGTTAAATATCTTTTTTGTTATCTTGTATTGCTGATAATTTTTTTAAAGCTTCTGTATAGATATATACTTTAGCTATTGCCAAAAAACACAAAAATAGTTATCATCTTTTAAAGGATAAGAACTCCAAAAAGAAGTGGATTGAAAATTTGGCCTTATTTGTTGATTTTGTCTTGCTGATCAATTATACAGTTTGAATTTTCTCTCTATCTTCTATAGTTTTTGACCAAAATGACAAAAAAGGGGGAAAAATCAAGGACAATAACTCCTGTAAGGAGTCATCTGACAATTTTGGCTATGTTTTGACTTATTTATAGTCCTTGTCTTTTTGTTCACCATTTATACTTTTTAAAGTTTCTATCTATCTATTATTGTTTTTCCATATAAAAGGCAAATACACACAAAAATGTTTTAATCTTCATTTAGGGGCAATAACACCTTTATAAAAAGCTTACTGGCAATTTTGGCCATCTTGGCTTACTTGTAGATCTTGTCTTGCTGATCATTTTTGCCTTGAAATGTTTCTATATATATCTATTAATTTTAGCTGTCAAAATAATAGGCAAAACCACAAAAAAAAGTAAAATCTTCATTAAGGGGCAATGACTCCTATAAATAAAGCGTGAATGTGCTGTAAAGGCAGTTACCTACAGGTTTTGTGATTTTATAGTCCAGATTGATAATAATCAAACATATTTCTTTTGAGAAAAGGCTTACAATATAAGATATTTAGACATTTTTCAATTATTATGATAAAATTGAGAATGGAAATGGGGAATGTGTCAAAGAGACAACAACCCAACCAAAGAGCAGCCGGTAAACAACCCGAGGCCACCAATGGGTCTTCAACACAGTAAGAAAATCCTGCACTCAGAAGCAGGCTTCAGCTGGCCCCTAAATGACAATTTATACTAGTTCAGTGAAAATAGACATCACTCTAAACTCCAAAACATATAAATGAACCCAAATTAAAAAACATACAACTTATTACAAGACTAAAATTTAGGGCCAGAGGTTCCTGACTTGGGACAGCCGCAAAAACGCTGCGGGGTTAAACACCTTTTGTGAGATCTCAACCCTCCCCTATACACCTAATCGCTATTTATTCCATTCCAGATAAGTTCTAAAATTACACAACTTTTTCATCCAGTTGACGCTATCTGGGACCCTGTTTAAACAATGCACCATGCATGATACTTTTTAATGAGACCTGTTTAAAACATCGTAAATACTTCAAACACAATATTTTTTTGACTATAATTTCAGTTTGGAAAAAGTGGATCATAATCTATCAAAGTTTCCTATTGATCGCTTTCTAAATTTTTCCCTCCCCCAGCTCGTTACTGATGACCTTTGTTTGCGGCCTGTTGACCCAAACAGGAAGTTGTCTAAATGACTGTTTTTTCCGGATTGGACTAAATAGCGATAAGGTGTATTATGGAATGGAAATGGTAATTAATGCTACATTGCATTTCCAAACAACATATTATTGCATGAGTATATTAATGCACTTATATCTTTTAAATTAAAAATTTTACTGACAACAGAGCAACTTAGAATTGACCTTTTCAAGAAACACATTGTTTTTTATTCATACTCAACAAAGTGCAATTGAATATTTTGGGTCAATTTTGGTTTTCACTATTTGTTGTTATTCACATTGTGAGTTTGAACAAAACCATTCCAGTTCATCATGATGGCTTGGTGCCAATTTATCTCAGAAACATCAAGTTAAATAATGCATCTCGAAGTCTCCACTCTTTCCAAGATAAATCATTATTTTTCAAAATATTACTCTGAGCAAAAAAGTTGAAAATTCCAAGTAGGACTCCAAGAAATGGCCATGCCAGGTCACCAATTATTGTTTGTGATTGTCAATGTCCAACTTCAAGAAAGCCTGATACGTATCACCATATTTTTGTTATGTAAGTCTGGTAACTTTAGAAAGATGAAAACTTGCTTCAGTTAGTTATTCAAACTACAGTACTAGTTGGATTATGAAAGTCCTTAATTTGTACTAGTCGATGTATTACTATAGATTTTACCATGTACTTAAATTTAACAATACTTTTAGATATTTGGATGATATATTGGCTCTCAATAATGACGACTTCAGTATGTATACTAAAGAAATTTATCCTGTTGAACTTACTTTAAATAAAGCTAATACTAACAATGACCACTGTCCTTTCCTCGATCTTGATATCTATATCATTAACGGGAAGCTTAATACAAAAATTTATGATAAAAGAGATGATTTTTCATTTCCTATCGTTATTTATCCATTTTTAGATGGTGACGTTCCCTTGTCACCATCTTATGGTGTTTATATATCTCAACTTGTACGATTCGCTCGTGTATGTAACAACGTATTAGATTTTAGCGAGAGAAATTTATGTATTACTGAAAAATTATTACACCAGGGTTTTCCATATCATAAACTAGTCAAAACATTCACTAAATTTTATCATCAGTATAAGGACATCATTCGTAAATATAACTCAACATGCAGATATCTTATACGTTTGGTTATTTCACATCCAATCTTTTATGGTAATATTCTTTACAAAGCACAAAAATGTCAGTATTCACCTCAAAAGCTAACAAAACCTTTAAACAGACTTATTAAGAAGGGATATAGTTACGATACTGTTGTCAGGTCATTAAAGATTGCATATTTTGGCTTTAATATTAATTCACTTATAGGGTCTTTGCATCGGAATTAAACACATTTATTTCTAAAACCAGTTGTTGGCATGACACGGGTTATGTTCTTCTCATATATTTTATGACGGTATAATACTAAACCCCTAACAGGAGGGATTGTGCCTGATATTCATATGATGAAGACATAATCTTTTAATCAGTTTAATTGAGGTCTGGAGCTGGCATGTCAGTAACTGCTAGTAGTCTGTTCTTATTTATGTATTATTGTCATTTTGTTTATTTTCTTTTGTTTCCTATTCTGACATCGGACTCAGACTTCTCTTATACTGAGTTTTACTGTACGTACTGTTGTGCATTTGTTTTTTCTACATTGGCTAGAGGTATAGGGGGAGGGTTGAGATCATAAAAAACATGTTTAACCCCGCCGCATTTTTGCGCCTGTCCCAAATCAGGAGCCTCTGTCCTTTGTTAGTCTTGTATCATTTTTAATTTTAGTTTCCTGTGTATTATTTGGAGTTTAGTATGACGTCCATTATCGCTGAACTAGTATACATATTTGTTTAGGGGCCAGCTGAAGGACGCCTTAGGGTGCGGGAGTTTCTCGCTGCATTGAAGACCCATTGGTGGCCTTCAGCTGTTGTCTGCTCTATAGTCGGGTTGTTGTCTCTTTGACACATTCCCCATTTCCATTCTCAATTTTACTTAGGTTTATTTAGGAATATATAGTATCAACTTTAATGTTAATGCCATTTTACAGTGAAGCAATTTTGGTGGATTAAATAAAATTAAACAATTTCAGTTAAATTTATATATGTCTTCAGAAGCAATTAACTTTATTTGAAAGATCAAGGTTAAGGTGCTCAGAATTATGCCTGGGTGGCAAGAAAGTCAATTTATAAAATATAATTTCAAAACAGAGATGGGTAAACAAGCTTGTGTTTGTGTAGGAGGATAATATGCCTATTTATATACTTCACATTTGGAAGACTTGACCCAGTAAGTTTGGCATACAAGCCTGCTGCAGTGGTTTTTGTTTTTTTCTGTTGTTTAAGCGATTATATAGTTAATCATTAATTATTCGTGAAATATTGGATCTTATAATTATGTAATTGTCACATAATTACATCTCTGTAAAAGAGTTATTAAAGAATATATACATGTATTTAGGGTGATAAATCAGGTGCGGATCCAGGATTTTGAAGGGGGAGGGGGGGAGGTTTGACTGGCAAGCCAACGATTGGAGTGATACTTGTAAAAAGTCTAAACTATAAATCAAATATGTATAAATTTTAATACCTTGTAAAATATTTTTTCTAATTAAGTCCGGATTGATATGAAAGCCTTGTTTATATTTTTCTTTAGCTGGCTTTGCTCCTGTTTTCAAAAACTCAAAAAATTCTTCAGACAACATGTACCACTACCATACACGTGATGGACTGTGAAACTCAGATCATGAGAGTCTGTTTCTGCTTTTGTTTTTGATAGTTGTTTGTTGACTGCTCGTAGATAAAGTGCTATGATTTAACCTTTCGATTGAGTACAAATAGAAAATTTAAGCATAGTGTTTTATTCATGCCTCCATCTTTTTTATTTGTATTCAATGAAGTAGATATATATAAGAAAGAATAGATGAAAAATTAACAAACAAAAACAATAGTTTTGCATGGTTTTTAAGCATTAATAAAGTCATTTTTCTAGAAAACTTTCAGCTCTTTTCATAATGCTAGCAAGACAAAGGTTTGTTTGACTTGCTTGCTTTGTTTGTAAAAAATGTTTGCTCAAGCATTTTAATTAAGATTGACAGCTGCAAACAATATAAGGAGGCAGAGTTCAACCTGTGTATAGATAAATTGAGCGTATGACATTTGCGCTGATTTTTAAAATTTTCATTCTTTCATTTGTGCCGATTTCATTTTTTCATATGCGCTGACTTGATATTTGCTCCTAATTGCATTTACGGTTTAACACAGGTGAGTAAATATTTGTACATGTACTATACCTTGAATGTATATTGGTAAAAATCTGGTTATAAACGTTGTTCACTTATGTATAAGTTAAGAAAATCCCGGCCGTTACGTATGTTAAAATGCGAACTCTAGAAATGCCCGCATCAGTACGTTAACCAGAGAAAGAAAAGATGGACTTCGTTATTGACAATAACGACAAATATAGAGACAAAATCACAAGAAAGGAATATATTAGATGTGTTGCCTATAAATACTCAGCAAGAACAGATTTATGATTTTAATGTTGTAAATAGATTTTTAATTCATCATTTTAGTATAAACAGAGTAAAAACAGAGTGCTTTTACTAAGTTTTTTACTTCTTGATTTTAAAGTATGTGAACATAGTGCTTTTAAATTGACTTATCAAGCTCAAAATCCTACTTCCACCTCCCCGTGGTGAGCAGAGGACAACAGTTATATACATGTTATGATTAACAATTCATAACATTTGTACAACTGGCGAACGGAAGAGGTCTATAATGATAAATGAAAAATAACATTCACCTGTAAAAAAATCGGCGCAAATGCAAAACGCCGGGTAAATTTTATTATTTGATAATGTCCAATCAAATTTAAATATAATGTATACAAGTTTAAATCCGCCTTTTTATGTTGTTTTCATATGTCAATCTTAATTACAATGCTTGAGCAAACATTGATACAAACAAAGCAAGCAAGCCAAACAAACCTTTGTCTTGCTAGCATTATGAAAAGAGCTGTAAGACTGTCATTGTTTCAAACACTTAAAATATAGTAGCTATAAAAGCACTGTCTATATTACACCGACCAATGTTATTTAATCACTAAAGCCCATAATGCTTCGTCTGCAAATTGGGAGACATTTTTATTCACGGATAAGAATCCTTGAAATTTATAGGAAAAACTGTTGAGTTATGGGAATAAAAAGTAAATGCAGTAAGCTTTGCAATCCATAAATACATATGTTTCACCTACTGCTAGACCTTTAACCACTGAGTGACTTAGAACATTGAGAAAGATGTTTTTGTCAGTATTATATATATAAAATGTGATGAAAAGTGCCATTTTTTTCTGATGAGCTGACAATATATAAATACACATTAAAGTTCCCTCCTCATACAGTTAATCCCTTTTCCATTTACTATCCTTATTAGCTGGATATAAAACTATAGAAAATTCCTTACAGAAAAAAATATAAAGAGAGAGTCTGAGATGTGTTCAATTATTCTAATTAAATATTGAAGTCTGAGATCACCAGAGATTCAACTTAACACAATTTAGGCTTTTATTTTTACATAATACCAAGGGTTCCATAAAATATTTTCTAACCTGTTAATCAGTATATAGCTTTTCAACAAGTTTAGTAAAATTGATACATAATTTGTCAGTCTTAATGACTGTCGCTCTTTAGAGATAATGACATGAATGCTCTGCAAAGTGTGCATACTGTTACATGCTAATATCCTGACATATATTTAACTTGTACAACAAATGTAAAACAGATGTGGTTGTCATTTATTAAAGCATAGATTGTTCAATACAAAAGTAGCACTACATGACAGAAATCCATTTTACTATCTAGTTTATTGCTTTGGTGTACAGAAAATTGCTACTGGATCTCTGTTTTGTTATTCTTTTAAAATTTGGTTTCAATCATTCAGCAGTTGTTATACAAGATAACAACGTAAAGTTAAAATGGATATAAAAAAAAACTACTATTAGAAATGATAATATAAAGAATAAACTAGCAATGTCAGAGCATAAAATGATGGCACTAGCACAAATGGACCCGATATTGTAAAAGGAGTGCTTCAGTGGTCATTTTCTTGCTATGAAGGTGGAAAGTAGCTGGTTTGATACCACACCAGTTCAAATCACAGCACTTTAAATGCTTATTTGATCAAGATCAACAAAAAAGATTCAATGCTAGTGTTCTAGTAGTTGCAAACAAAATGTTTAATTTATTAAATGAACGAACTGGCTACAGTCAATGTTTTTGCTTCTGTAACAAAACTTTACTTCTAGTGTATTTAAGAGTTCAGTAAAATAATTAGAAACATATATATGTTTATTGAAAAGGCAATATGATGAATCACTAAATTCCTTAAACTAAATTTATAATAAGCTTTATCAAAAATATCTTATTTTCTAGAGTAAGTTATTTATATTGATCTATAAATTTATATCCCAAAATTGTTGTTTATCTTATGTTGAAATGAACAAATGGAACAATCAATTGGTACACTAAATACCAGATAAAGGGAAATGATATTTCTCATGTATAAATTTATATAAAAAGGCAATGGAACTGTCCTAAAACACAACATTTTTACATTACCTGACTGCAAGTGCAAAATAAAGATAAGTAAAAAATGCAATATCTTTTTTCACAATCATCCTTGGAAATTTTGGATTTTTTTTAGAGAAAAAATCTATTCATTGATATTTTAATGAATCTGTTGAACCATTTGGATCTGACACTTAATAAATGATGATGTTCATATTTTACGTGTCATACAGCAGATTTGAATAACAAATGCCATTTGTACCATTTTCTATTAAAAACAAATACCAAGGAAACAAAAATTTCAAGGATAGAATAGATTTATGATATTTGTACCATTTTATCTATATCTATAATTTTAATAAGTTGGATACAAACTGTTGATACAGAGATATGTCTTGCCTGTATGTAATTTTGATAGTAAAATGCAAATGTTGAAATATAAATGGCAATACTTTAACATGTAAACTATGCAAAACATTAAAAGTCAAAGAAACCATCAATAAAGGTGCAGGGCCATTTAATATACACTGAGATAAAATATGACAATGCTTAAACAACTGTATACCAAATATCATTGCTTTATCAAAAGTGGTTTCACTTTTTAACAGACTTAACAAGAATGTGTCCATAGTACACAGATGCCCCACTCCCACTATCATTTTCTATGTTCAGTGGACTGTGAAATTGGGGTCAAAACTCTAATTTGGCATTAAAATTAGAAAGATCATATCATAGGGAACATATGTACTAAGTTTCAAGTTGATTGGACTTCAACTTCATCAAAAACTACCTTGACCAAAAACTTTAACCTGAAGCGGGACAGACGGACGGACGGACGAATGGACAGACGAAAGAACGGACGCACAGACTGAAAAACATAATGCCCCTAGGTGGGGCATAATAAAAAATTTGAGCCACATGTAAACAATGCAAAAGTTCAAAAGTAAATGAACCATGACTGAGGACAAGGCTAATACAACTGCAAACCAAATACTATACACGTTATCACTATTTATTCCAATCCAGAAAAGTTCTAAAATTACACAACTCTTTCAAACCAGTTGAAGCTATCTGGAGCCCTGTTTAAACAATGTCTTGTGCATAAAAAATTTAAAAGAGCTATATTAAAACCATTGTAAACACTTTATTAGTGGTTCCCCTAATACTGACATAATCATAAATCTTAACAAATTTCAGCATGCCTATATCTAGCCTAGTGACTTCGTAGAGGCAAGACAAAAACAAATAAAGAATATTTCAAGCATAGAATACAGATCTGGTAACTTATGAAATACCAATGCAAGTGAGGTAAAATGTTTTGAATGAATCACAGAATCTTGTTTTAGAAGATGCTTCTTCAGTACACCTACTTTTGTGAGATGCACACATTTTTTTAACCTGTCAAAATGAATAGGGCATAATTTCAGATTCTCAATTCTATTGGTTTCCTTTTTGAAATAAAAGAAGAAAGTGTCTGAGGATAGGAATGCCCCTGCTCAAGCTGGCATATACTATGTGAAAATACTTTTGGGATGGATGGAAGGACGGATGGAAGGATGGATGGATGGAAGGGTGGACAGAAGGTCAAGGGTAACACTTAATGCCCCCTTCGCCCTAGGGGCCGGGGCATAAAAAAACATTTTGTGTATGTAAAATAAATGAATGAAAAAAAATACAATAAACATACCGTCACACATGATTTCTAAAGAAGGTACAAAGTAGTCATCACAGATGATTGCAAAACCCAAAAACATATAAACTGCTATAAGGATGTTAATCACTACTGCTCCATGTACACGTTGTTCTTGTGTAAACATTCCATGCGGAAACTGACTTATGGCCCTTGGTGTACAGTTAGGGAGTGATGTCAGGTGCCTCAATTGTTCTGTAAAATACAAGCATTAAATAGAAATATTGATTTCACATGTTTAAAGTCCTAAAATAACCTTTCCTTTATTTATAAAGGGTCTTGTACCACATCTAGAAATATCATCATGTCATTTGTTTAGATAGGAAGATTGAACAGGGTTCAAATTGGTTGTTGATTGACACATGCTCTATGGAGTTAAATCAAGTACTTGTTTAAAATCAATAATTGACACTTGGTAATGAGGATGATTGATTGGTGTTTAACATCCAGTGGCAAATATTACATGCATATCAGGACAAGAACATGTTAACGTGATATGCATAATGTTCCTATACTAAACCCCTTATTTGCTAGTACATGTATCTTTTTTTTCAAACAGCTATATGATATACCGACTATCATGACTAAAAGGGAAAGGATTGAGTATTTGCCAGACTAAGTAGTTATACCCTTTCATGTTTCTGTGCCTGTGCAAAGTAAGTTGTCCCCATTTTTAAGATTTTGTAAAATATGGTGTCGTTGTAAGATTGTCCATTGTCTCTCTCAAATTTATCAAAAAATTGTCTAGATTTAGTTAGAATTAAAACTTGTCTTGTCTATGACCAATGTTCCTATGGTGACTTATAAATGTCTAATTTTGATGAAATGGAAAGAAATGGATGTAGTATATTATTTGATGACACAAAATCCTTACACACACACACTGAACAAGATACTTTTATTGCAAAAGCACAGCAATGTAAAAACTCACACACTGCAAGTTCAAAACTGCCATAACACCAGTTTTAGCAAAATTCTGTTTAAGATGTTGTACAAGCCACACCTGCACATTGAAGTACACAGATGTTGGTAATATAAAAAAATACACCTTTATTGTTAACAAAAAGTTAACAAATATTGTCATAATTTGCCCAACAATCTCATTGTATAATACAGATATTGATGTTAAGACAACCATTGGGGTGTACCATCAACTTATTGTTGAGTTGCTGCCTCATTTCCATTTATCCAACATCTTATATTATATACTGTTTCACTATCAGACTAAAGTCGAAACAATGAAAACTATGACAGCATTATGTTGTCAAATATTAAAATACAGCTCTTAAATACAAATGTACATATTACAAAATCAATACATTGAAAGTATACATTTATCTGGTAAATATCAAACCAATAGAAATGACTTTTAAACTTAAAATTTCATCCTAAAGGAAAAATGAGTGGGTTTTCTGACAATGTCTAGCACCAATTTACCTCAATTCAAGGATGCAAAAGAACTGTGCAATCTTTAATCCATTTGACAAAAAAATAGGCTATCATTCAGTACATGCATGAACATAAAGTCTTCATTATCTCCAATATTTTGCAATAGATTTCATATGACACATTTAAAAAAAAAAGGATTTTGAAGAAATTTAAGGTTGGAATTTACAAACCAGGTGTTGAAAGAATATTTCTTCATTTTGATAAATTCTGTCTTCAGTTGTGTTTGTTTCTTTAATGAAAACACACATCATAATAATTCACAATTCAAGGATAGCAAATATCTGGACAAAAATAAAACTTGTGAAAATGCCTCAATACAAAATTATTACAATAAAAAAAAAACTGCTTTTAGTGATACCAAATAGATTAAAATCCAACCAGAAATGATTTCAAGAGAATTGTAGGAAAAAATAGGGTTTTAATGAATTAGAAAGCCAAAAGTCACAGTTGATAAATGCATTATGCACATTCTGTATTAGTCAAACCCAATTCAAATTCTAGTTGTTTTAAATTTTAGGGAAATAGAAGAAAAGGTAAATTATTACAACCATCAAAATATTTATAGTAACAGCATGGAAGTATTATATCAATATAATACTTCCATGGTAACAGCAACTAACTTCTGATAGGAATTTTTAGGGAGGAAGTAAAACTTTTCATGGAAGAATTTTCTTTATTGTTACCTACCATACATAGTATTAAATATTAGAAAATATAACACATTTAGCTATTTCAAAACGTCATGTACATAACAACGTTAAGAGTTATTAGAAAAACCACAAAATTAATGCAAGATGTATCTTTTATTTTAACAGTCTATGAAAATGTTTTGAGGGTAAAACATAGAACTTGAGCATTGCCTTTAAAATTATTGCTTCTTGGATATATGTTTTTCCATTATTGATGACCCACACAATGATATGGGGTACATATCAAAGAGAAAAAATAACAAATCTAATGGTCAACAAAAGTTAGGTGTTATATACAATATTTAAACTATATATCATATCGAGTCTAAAAAAGAAGTGAAAAATTAAACAGAAACCATCATAGATTCAACATCAATATCAACACCAAATTATCCAAATAACAAAAAACATCAATATCAACACCAAATTAACCAAATAACAAAAAAACATCAATATCAACACCAAATTAACCAAATAACAAAAAAACATCAATATCAACACCAAATTATCCAAATAACATAAAACATCAATATCAAAACCAAATTATCCAAATAACAAAAAAACATCAATATCAACACCAAATTATCTTAATAACAAAATAACAAAAATCATCAATACATCACATACATTGTAAGATAACCGCTGATTAGGTTTCTGAATTAGGACAGTCATTATGTAGTAGGGTTAAATCTTAATACTAAGTAGATTATCTTAGCTGTATTTTGGCAAAACCCTAAATGCTCTTCAACCTTGTACTTTATTTGGCCTTTTGAGCATCACTGTTGAGTGTTTTTTTAGACTCATCGCATGTCTGACGTACAAAATTATGAGCCTGGTATCTTTGATGAGTCTTTTTAATCTGTATCCCTGTATGCATGTACCTTTTTATGCAACTGTAAGGTGTTACAGTAGATACTTTTTTGTTCACCTATGTAAATAACATTTATTTCTCACATTACTTACTATCCATTATAATACGACATGTTTGAAAGATAAACACTAAAGTACACCTTTTTTCTTTTGTATTGATTTAATAATAATAGATGTTATTTTTCAAGATTATTATATCACAATTCATACCATAAAAATTAAGAAAATAAATGAAATCTTAAATAGATTACATCAGATGTTCCGTCAAAAGATATTCTGATTGATTAATTCTTTGTACAAACATACAACAACATATCCATCTGTTTCTTTTCATAATCAGTAAATGATATTTTATGACAGCGTTTATCAAATTTCTAATTTTAAAGACCAGATTTAATTTTTTGCTTGAACATTAAAAACCCTATCAAAAACAATATCTAGTTTTAACTGAATCTCAAATGCAGTTAGAGAAAATATTGTTATTCTGAAAAGAGAGTAATTTCTGCATGAAGCCCTAATACAGCTTCAAGCTGCTTGGATGAGAATCTGAAAATAGACCTACTTGTGGTGATGAGTTTTATTACAAAGACAATGGTTCTAAGTATAGTTTAAAACAATCATCTTCTTATTGTTCAGCAGCAGTGATGCAATCAATAATTAGTACATGAAGTCATATAAATTTACTAAAGAAAGATTACCATGACAAGCTTAAAGGTTGTCCATAAATCAACCGAAAACTAAGTATTAAATGTATAACACTAATATGCTCCAACAATCAACTCCTGAATTTACTAATGCCTTGTTTGATATGCATTCATGCATTTCAATGAATGTATATCACAGATTGAACATTTGCATCATATATTTCTCAGCAGCTACAATATCACTACTTACTCATACTAAATCCAATGTCAAGATTGAATGTTCGTTGTCCCTTTTAAGACCCTGATATTAGAATTTCACAAGGAAATCTTTACACCAAAATTTATGACAAACAGGACGCCTTATCATTTCCTATTTCATATTTTCCATATTGAGATGTTGATTTTGAGGGATTTCATGATATTTTGCCCAGTTTTTATCTGATTCTTGAAAAGGTTATAATTATAGGTTGTTTTTGTTTTTGATGTGTTTAATAATGGTATTATAGGGTTAAGTGCTTTTGTTTCACTGTATATATTTCTATATGTCAATGTTCATTCCCCTAGTTGGGATTAAAAGGGGGGATGGTTAAGTGTTTAATAAAAACTAGTTACACATGTCATCAGTTCATGTTAAGTTTCCATTAATCCTAAATAATCAAGTGTAAGCTTGGTTTTAAGTGAACCTGTTGTACATTTCTATATCAGCAAAACAACACATTTTAAACTGTATTGAGGAAATATGTTTAAAATTGTATAGTTATAAGGTTTAAAGTATCAAGTCAAAATTACTAAGTGTGGACAGTAAAGTCATACTCTGGTATTTGAGTGTAAGTTTAATTTCAAATGAACATGCTGCACATTTGTATATTGATAGCAAAACAAAACATTTTGGGACTGAAATCAGATAATATGTTTAAAGTCAATAGTTGTAAGGTTTAAAGTATCAAGTCAAAATTACTAAGTGCGGACAGTAAAGTCATACTCTGGTATTTGTCATAAGTCAAAAATAATAATCTATTATTACACAGTAACATGTCACTTGTGTAGGGGGCTAACCCAGTAGTCACTTAAGAATGATCAATTAATCACATGTAGCCCCATGCTATATTAAAATCATATGACCTCTTGATAGATCACTTGGCGACAAAACAATACTGAATTTAACATAAGGAGATGCGGTTACCATCTACAACAAAATGCATCAGTTTCTAATGACAAGGAGGATGAATTAGTTAGGATCTACTTAATTTATATAATTATGTTTGATAGATTATTAAAATTACATGCATTTGGTGATAATAATTTGGTAATGATATACATGTTCAATCTATCATAAGTTAAACAAAATTCAGATTTTCTTTTATGTACAAAATTTGAATGCCACTTCTAAAACTGAAGAACAGCTTTTCATTTACAGAAGATTCTATTTTTAGAAAGACATGGAAAAGGCCTCCAAACCGACTGACTGCCTTCAAGAACCACAAAAATTCGGAAACATTTTTTTTGGCATTGAATTTCATACACTTCATATTATTAAATAGCA